ATACAAGAATGAGCAGCATAATATTCGCTCTATGACATTTCTCTTCTCTATTCTCGAATTCCTCTCCTTTTCTTCAGACCGCTCTCCTCTGTGCTTAAGACTGTTCTTCTCTGTTCTTGAGATTCCTCTTGCCTGTTCTTGAAGTTCCTCTTGCCTGTTCTTGAGGTTCCTTTCGCCTGTTCTTGAGGTTTCTTCCCCTGTTCTTGAGATCTCCTTTGGCCATGCTCGAGTTGCGTGACTTGACAACATAGGCGAGCAATCACTCAGGGAGCCGTGCTGTGCCTTGGTCTTGGTGAGAAAAAAATACAAACGAGTTTCAACCTGCTAGAATCTTCCATAAGTCATACACTTGGCATCTCCGGTGACCGTTCATAGCATCCGTCCATCCCAACCTTGACTCCCCAGCATCACTTCCGCCCCTCAAAAACCAACCTCAACCCACCCAACCCCGTAGTGAAATGATCAATACTATCCTCCATCAACGCCCTCCCATCCTCCCCCTCCGCAAACTTAACCTCAAATCGATCCAACAATTGCGCCGTCACAGTCCTCAACTCCATCAACGCCAAGTTCTTCCCAATGCAGCCATAAGGTCCCGAATTGAAGGACTGGAAGGCGTCCTTGTGGTGGACTAGTTTCGGGTTGTGCGGGGATGGGGACCAGCGCTCGGGGAGGAATTGGTCGGGGGAGGTGTAGTTCTTGGGGTCGTGGCCCATTACGTACCCTGGAATACATGTCAGTCGCTGTCGCGAATGCGGCGTGAGTATGAGCTGGCTTTTGGTAGGATAGCGAGCTCGAGACTCAATAGTCGATGGGCCGCGAGGCCTGGTGTGGGACTTACAAGGCATTTGAATGATAGTGTCCCCCGGAATGAACTTCTCTCCAATATGCACACCCTCCTTGGGCGTTTTCCTGAAGATACCCGACGGGACAGGCGGGTTAAGCCTTAACGCTTCATTGATAGCACCATTCAACGTCTCACACTCAGCCAGCTTCTGGTCGTCGAAATGGCTGCGATCATCCTTCAAGCGACATGAGTCAGTCTCCTTCCTGATCTTCTCCGCGATCTCAGGCAGCTTGGCAAGCCAGTAGAACAGGTATGTCAGACACGCAGACGTAGTGTCACTGCCTGCGACGATGATCAGACGGGAGTCGCCTTGTAGCATGGGAAGGACCTCGCGCTGGTCGCTGGCGTCCAGCTTATTGTAATGGTCGATGAGGAAGTGGGTGATGTCCATCTCTTCTTGTGTGTCAGGATTGGTGGCTTTAGCGTCTCGATCAGAGTGCTCGGCCATGCGCTTGTCAAGCTGGTCGGTGCAGAAGCGGATGAAGCGCCACTGTTGCTGTCAGCAAAATAGATGTGCCAAGGGGATGCTCTACCTACGTAGTCTGCTGCTGCGCCCGGGATCGCAATTACAACTCGGAAGAACCACGCGGGCAAAGCGAGGCCCGCAGGCTTCATGCCATCACTCAGCAACTTGATAGCCCAGTGGACTTTGCCCTCGTCTAAGCATCCGAAGCTTCTTCCGAAAGCAAGGTCGCCCATCACATCGAAACTGTACCATGCGAAGACGTCGCTCACGTTGATGCCCGCCTGGCCCTTCTTTGCAAACTTACCATTGGTCAGGCCCTCAGTCAACATATCCCCATACTTCTGGATCCTGGTCTCGTAGCCCTTGATCGCGCGGACGCTGAAGGCAGGCGACCAGATCTTCCTGCGTCGATCGTGCTGGGCACGGTCTCGGCAGGTGTGCATAGACGTCAGAGGCGTGTCGTTGTCGTACCACTCGGACTTGTAGCATTTCGAATTGGGTGATGAGATGACCTGGACTGCCGCAGGGTCTGTAACGCTGATGTCGTTGGGTCCCAGTCGAACGAAATCGCCATGTCGACGATGGAGTTCGAGAAGTGCTTGGTGACTCTTGAGTGTGCGGTTCTGGTAAGTGTGGCGAAACTTGGTGAGCCTGGCTAAGAAAGGCCCCCCTGGTACGGCTTGGTTGAGAGGGTTGAAGAAGAGGCGATAAGTGAGTGTAGATGTGGTCAGTGAGAATAGATATAGAGCAGAAGCTTCCGCGGTCCGAGACAGAGCAGTGGCGAATGATTCGGACAGATACTGCTGACGGGCAACCAGGACGACAGCGGCCACGAAAAGATGAAATTGCACAATGCGGAAGGGCCACAGCTGACGCTCGCCGCGGTGGAAGTAGAGAAGATAGGAGGCGAATCCACTTGCCAATGGGATGACTTGTCCAAGGAGTGCAGTGGCCATGTTGGGATGCGCTGGCGCTGGCGTTGTCACAGTGGTTCCTCACGAAGATGACAATTTGAGCAGAGTACTCTCAGCAAACAAACCTCCCAGACAAGGCACGAGACGGGATATAGCTCACCTGGACCTACCTAACAATGAAGGGCGACTCAGGCTCATCTGAGCGTGCCAGCGCCCGATGCTTGCTTAATCGAGCTGCACGAGTCATCGTTATCGCCAAATAAGGTCCTATGGAAGCCTCTAGAGGCGGCGGGGACGGGTCTCGAGGAGAGGAACGTGTGGTATTGTTGAGTTTGGAATCAAAGCTGGGGTGAAGTTAGAGCCTGTATGGAGCACCACAAAGGCGGGGTCGTCGTTCCGCTGCTGCGATACGCGGCAAGGCAGCCGCGGCTATGTCGCTATGAGGTCGCGCATGAACTTAGGTCTGGGCTAGGTACGTTGCACTAAAGATTTGCAAAGTGCGAAACTGAATCATTGAGATCTGACTCAACTTCGTGGAAGGATTGACCAACGCCTAAGTACAGGCCAATGACATTTCCCACACACTCAGCCATGTTGAGCGCAATGCAGTGTACAGTCGTAATCCATATCATGCCTTCAACGCCGTAAATCAGCTCGTAGGGCTCATCTCGTATACTTAGCCATTCTGCGCTTGCCGATGTGTATCCATCGGGACCCAGTCGATCCGTCAGAGCCGCACCTCACAGAGACATGATATCCTTGGCTGCACGCCGCTCCTCCTCGATGATGTCGATTGCCTCGAGCACATCGCCTGATGCAGCTGCTGCGTAAACGGCAAGTCGGCTTTCCTCGTTGCTATTGCTCGCGTAGCCCATGTTCTTCAATGTCCTCACGCAGTTGTTGATATCCGTGTCTTTCTGATGAACGGGATCGGGCCCGCTTCTTAGAGAATGTGATAGCTGGGACTGGTTCTGTGAAACTGGACCTGAAGGAAATGAGCCAGGCATCGCCACACGCTGATAAGCTGCATGGCGCTGCCGTCGATTGGCCCAACGTGCACTTTGGCTGTCTGTCACGTCCGTCTCCAAGCGAGGCAGCCACTGAGTCAGACTCCTCCTTGGCATACCGTTGGTGCGCAGTGTGTCCACTTGACCCTGGTAGCTTGGTGCGACATTCATGGGATCGAACGGTCCATTCAATCTCGCAGCCGGATTCGAGGCTGTCACAGTCTGTGCTCTGCGAAGTGTATTTGTAGGTTGATCAAAAGACTCTGCTGGTGGACTTGTAATCCGGCACGACAACGCTGGTGAGACTGGTCGCGCGCTCATGTCTTTCTGCGTAAAGAACCTCTTCAATCTCAAGGACTCATCTGGAAAGTGAACAAGGACGGCTGTGGCAGTCGAGGGCCATGCGCCAGGCAAGCTGCCATCGGGAGTGTCGCTGGACGTCTGTGTCATGTTGGAGTCGCCTTTTACTGCGCCTGCTGAAGCTGACTCCGCATCCTGAGGGTCGTCCTCGACAGCTGCTTTGCGGTATCCTCGAAGAGATCGATCTTTGTAGCCGTCCGACACGTTTGCTTGCTGCGACTTTGGACCGGAACCACGCCGCCACGGAAATGCCGCAGACTCGCGACGGGATTCGAGCTGCCCAATACTAGGATACCGCGTAAGAGCAGATTTCGTAGAGCCGGTCGGGTTCGCCGGATCGTCTTTTGCTGACTCCTTGTGAAGAGTGGCGATAGTTCTCGCTCGCTTCAGGGAGATAAGTGGCGGGTATCGCTGAGCAAAATCTACATTCGACGCATCTTCATCCATAAGAAGACTCTCGCCTTGAGCTCTGCTTGTCTTCGTTGGAGCCGGTGCAGGTGGCGGTAGCGCTGGTCGGTTTGGAAAGCTGCGGTAAGGTGTACGAGCTGGCTGGTCTCGAAATGCGTTCTCGATAGCAGGACCAGAGCCAAAAATGGGAGGGCTTGGGCGCTTGAAAGTTGTTGCCCAGACTGGCATAGTAGATTCCACTGTCTTGAGGATGTGTGAATGGACCCGTTCGAAGGAATCGAATCGTTCGGCTGCCTTTGCCTGCACACGACTATTTCCGTTATAGCTAGGTACAGCAAATTCCACCTTTTTGTGTGAATCGATGCTGACTTGCTTTGGTGAACTTCTTAGCTGCTCCTTTGGCGCGGTCTGCGCAGAACTTGTTGCTTGTGTGCCAGATGTTTGTTCTTGTGGCGAGGTCTGCGATTGCTGCGGACTTTTTGGCTCGAACTCCCGGAGAACTTCCATTCCAACCTGACCGACTTCGACAAGGACATTCTTCAAGCCAGTGAGGAGGTTCTCAATGGGTGTGGTGTCGGCTTCCCTAGTCTTCTGTGCAGCTGCTTGTAGTGCAGCAGCGGTCAAGTCTAGAAAGCCAGCAAAGGCGTCGATGTGTGTCTCCAGTCCGCGGCAAGCGGTCCTGAGAACATCATTGGCGGTCGGCGAGCGTGCCTCGTGCGCGGTGGGAGCACCCGCTCTCTGTGTGACCGAAGACGCTTCAGGTACAGGTGTCGGCTTGTCGACTGGTGCTAAGGCTAGTGGCGAAGGCGTATTCGGCAGTGCAGCATAGTCACGCCAGATCTTGAGGTTTTCTGATGTACGCTGAATGTCGAAAATATGGACTTTCTCATCTGAGCTCAACCGAGAGGCAGCAGAGCCAGACCGTCGTCGTGGAATGAACGAATATTGGGCTGGCTCAACTAGGCGCTCACTCAGCTCGAAGCCGGACCCAACTGTGACTGTCTCGCCGTCATCATGATCGATATACGTGAGGACACTGCTCGGATGTGTGGTGATGGTGTCGTCGTACTGAGGGACAGTGATGTCGATGACGCCGTGCTGTGCTGGTGCGTGGAGGTCACGGATCTTGAAGGTGGGAAGAGCCATGGCTCCCAGGCAGTGGGAGACGCCGTTGAGATCGATATTGGCTCGCAGATTTTGTACAGTGCACCAAGCACGTGTTCAGCGAAATGAACGAAGAGAAGTCACGTTGGTCGCTGTAGAAAGAGTCAGGACGACGTGGTGTCAGCGAGTAACGTCGACTGCAGCCTAGGCGCGGGGAAGTCCAAGTTGATGATGGATGGGCTGAGGCCTTGGGGATGCTCCACCTGGAGTACGCCTCATAGGCCCAGTCATCCGGTTTTGTAACTTCCCTTCACTTCTGGCTCAGAATCATCATTCGCTTGCTCGAGAGCCTGCCGGTCATCAGGGTGGTACAAGTCAAGCACTGCTACAAGCTATGCACGACTGAGCAGTGGGAATTACCAACCAGACCGTGGATTGGCTTGACTAGCGTCCCATCGTTCATTGCAATTGTGAGTGCATCAACAAGTATATTTAGTGCCTCAGAACTTGGTATTTTGAAATGATGGTTGTCACTATCTGCCTTCGTCAGACGTGCCTGCGATAGACTACAATATAATATCCAGCTCCGGCCTCGTAACCCCTTCACCACCCAAGTTGGGATAGTAAGGTACCATCGCGTCTGCTCCAGCCACATAGGCATCGTTATACAGCCTCCAGTACGGCACCCTGACCTTCCTCGCCGGGTGGAACAGGCCAGCCCATACATAGTTCATTACGATACCACTGCCTACCGCCATCCGAATAGCCTCAATCGCCTCCACTATCCTGTCAATCACGTGTGGACTTGTCTCGAAAAGGTTCGGGTACAGGAGATTCAGGAGATGGACCATGGCGTCTTCACAGCCTAATCCAACAACGCCGAGTGCGATATGCTTGACGACGGAAGCCGCGGTCTGGCGATGAACTTGGTCGCGGTCGATGAGTGCATCTTCGAGAAGGGGCGTGACGGCGTATACGTAATCCTTGGCCATCTCGCCGATGTACTCGAAGAGGAAGGAGAGCGACTTCAGCACGCCGTTTTGGACGTTGAGCTCGGGAACGCGATACTCATTCATGAGGGCCGGCAGCACGGTGAATGGTGCACAGGTCTCAGCGACAATACCGATGGCAACAGCTGTGCAGACGCGCGACTGACGTTCTTGAACCCGTAGGTTGTTGAGCAGTGTAGCAAGGACATCCTGTGGACCAATAGCTTTGGCGATAAAGCCGAAAGTGTTGTTGGCTGCGCGACGAATGCCCTTCTTGTGGGCTTTGAGCATGTCGAGGAGCTCAAAGCATATCCGCATCCATTCCCGAGCGTTGACAGACTCTGGGCCGCGGTCGGCAATACGGCCGACAAGATCAATCGTGTTCTCTTGCACCTTCTCGTGTCGATTTCGTAAGATCGGTGTGAGGCGTGGAAGGAGGTCCTTGATAGGTGGCTGCATCTGCGCTATGCCGACGACAGTAACGATCGATCTCAGTGCGCCCAAGATTGAGCCAAGCACTTCCGGATACTCCTCACCGAGGTATTCATACAGAACAACACCAAGTTTGCCCATCAACGCATCTTCCTGGCATTGCTTCATGACCATTGCAATGCGTGAGATCAAGTCGGCGGCCTGCTGGCGGACGGTCGCGCTTTTGTTGTTCAGTCGCCAGAGAATCGTCGACACGATCTGTGGAAGGTATGGCTTGCATCGCACACCTAAGGCATTGACCACGGTGCCAAAACCGTTGAGCATGACGATATCTTCGATCGACTGCTCCTGAAACGCGAAGAGCATGCCATCAACCAGTCGCTCTTCCAACCTCTCACCGATGTCCGCAGCGCCCAAGGAGGCAATGACTTTCTCGATGGTCTCGACAGTCATCTTTCGATAAGCCTCAGATTCGTCCTTCAGATTGTTGACGATCCGCTCCACTATCTCGCTCACGCCAACTTTCTGCCCGAGGTCGACCGTCGTTTCGACTACTTGTCGATAGTTACGCTTGTCCAGAGCCATTCTGCGGACCCAGAAATTGGTGAAGAAATCTGCCAGAACGTGTTCCTTCAGGTAGGCGGCAGTAACGCCATTCGTACTGGCACACTGGCTGACCACCTTCAACACTACCTTCTTCATCTCCTCATCGGGTGACTGAAACTCCCGCAGAAGAATCTCCATGATCTGACTCGTGTAGTAATTAGCGTACTCCTCGTCCATCAAAGGGATGATGTAGCCAACGGCCTTCAAAAATCCGGCCAGGCCTTTGCCTCGCTGCTTGCGGGCTCCGGTCCATAGAGGATTGAGGATGTCGTCAAATGACTCGATGCCGTAAGGGTTGGCAGCCTCAGCCAAGGCGGCAATGGCAAGCGATGTGACTGTCCGGACCTTCGCTTGTTCATCCTGCAGATTCTCCGCAATGCAGTCGACTAAGCCTTTCAAATGCGGTAGCACGGCACAGCCCATCAAGATTGGGATCTGTTGGATGATCTTCACGCCAGTATGCCGGGCCTGCCATGATTTTTTGCTTCGGCACACGGCCCTCAGGAAGGGCAACAAGGCTGGAATCCCGAGCGCCGAAGCGACCACAGCAAACGCTCGTGCTGTAGTGTTTCTCACATATTCATCACTGTGATCAATATCAGGCCGCATCGTCGAGATCATGTGCGCGAGGCCAGCAGCTTTTGACAGATTCGAGATAATTTCTCTGCCTTCCACGCGAGCATAGTAGTCTTGATCGATAAGTAGAGGCTCGATGACAACCAGGATCTTATGCGTATACGGTCGGACCAAGTCGTCGAGCTTGTACAGCACGCGGTCAATGACCTTGACCAGCAAATGCCGCTCCTGGTCCTCCAATGACTTCTCCATCAAAAGTGGCAGGATCTGGTCGAAGAGTGCCTTCGCACCGAATTGACGGGCGTTGTCTGTCAGCTGGCGTAGCGCGGTCTTCCGCATGGGCGGCGTGCCATTCTTGACTTTCAAAAGCAGTCTCATGATCTTTCGTTCCTTGAGATCCTCAACTGACATGGTGTTCTCATCACCACCATCAACCAGTTTGCCGAAATACTGCATATCTTCGTTCTTGAAGAATTGCAGGTCCCCAACTCCCGGAATTTCTGTAGGCAGTTGTTTGCCCATCGAGCGCGGATTCTCTGGCTCCTGCATCATGAACCCACCAATGGTGCTGGCTTGCGGCTGCGCAGCCATGGCCAGTGCTCGCCTTGCAGCAGGCTTGAGCGGTTCGTATCCCGGAGGCGGTTCCAGTATGGTATAACCCTCGCTTGGCAGCATAGAGTCAAGCTCTTCGTCGGACCAGACACCCTTGATACTCGTCTCCACAACAGCAGACTCTGTCGGCGCAGCAGCCGCACCGAGTGCAGGTGCCTGATCCCATCGGCTTCTCTTCGTTGGTGCTGGCGCGCCATCGATCGCAGGAGCCTGATCCCAACGTGACCGTTTCTTCGAGTCTGCCTCCGCTGGCGCCGCGTCGCTTGCAACATCCCATCGCTTCTTCCTCTTGCGGCCTACCGCCTCGACCGTGCTGCCCTTATCCCCATTCTCCTTGTCCGGCTCCTCTTTCAGCAGCGCCGGTCGCTCAACTTTCACAGCATCATCATCGTCACCATTGCTAGCGTCCAACCTCTGCTGCTCTTTGTCATCAATCAGTTTCTGCACCCGCGCTTCTTCTCTCTCCAACTCCTGTATTTGCATGACCTCTCGATATGTGCTTCCCTCCGCAGCCACGGCGCCGGCATGCTTGTTGGCGGCAAAAGGATCCGCTCTCGTCGGCGTTAGAGGACCACGCTCGAACCTCCGTTTCTGGTAGTCGGATTCTCGATCTGATATCCTCATGCTCTTTTCTTTGCCCATCAGGATGTCCTCCTCTTCCGCGCCGCCCGTAGCCATCTCGTTGATCATTGCTTGTGAAGCAGTGTAGTTGTTCACGAGTCTTCGTCCGCCGTCAGAATCTGGCATCTCTTCGTCATCGTCTTCGCCATTGACGGCAAGAGATGTGTGAAACCCGGCGTACTTGTTGGCGCCATTTGAGCCGGTGTCGTAGAGGTCGGTGTCCATATTCTCTGTGAAGGAGACCTTGTTCGAATCATTGCGTTGTGAGGAGACGTCAAAGGTCTTTGATTTCTTTGATGCGGCATTGCGCTCGGCCTGGAGGCGTCGCACGCTCTCGAAGTCGGCGTCGGACATGTTGTGCGACCCGAGTCCAGCGGACAGCGGAGGCTTGTACAGCAGTGAGTATGAAACACTACGATATGGACGAGTGTCCAGGCAGTCCTGCGCGATACGATGAGATCTAAAGTGAGAAGTCGATATGGTGGCAAGGCTGCCGGAAAGCCTGCGGTAAAATCTCGGCTAACTCTCAGTCTCGATTCACGATGTTGCTTCAAAATGTGAAGATGCTTGGCTATAATTCACAACGATTGCCAACTACTCCTCGATGGTGCGTGACTGTGTCAACCATGTTTGGTGATAGGCTGAATTTTGGCGACCCTTGACCACCACGTGGCGGTCTCTTAGCCATCTCGTCGTCGAGGGAAGATTCACTACGCCATCAGGTGCCACCAACCTGCTTAGAGAACATGCTTTTGAAGGGTATCATATTACTGTCTCTTATTCTTGAGCCCTAGTAGGCACCATGCTGTCTCCAGACACTGCCGTCTTAGCCTGGCACGAGCACAAAATGAAAGAGCAGATAAGAGACATCCCAGCAACCATGACCATCATCCCTCGTGCCGTGGCCGTTGCCTCATCACCCGTTGTCATCCCAATGCTTCTCATTAAGTTTTCCTTGGTGGTCGAGAATAAAGAGAATGCGAGCGTGAGCCCAATGATGACCAGTCTTTCTACGAAACCCAACCTTGCTGTAAGCTGGAAATACAATTGCAAAAGCAGAAGTGGTATCACAAACCCGATGATCGGGAGGAGGAACAACGCTAGGGGCAAGTGAGGTGGTTGTTGTGGCGCGCGGCCAAGTCTGATCAAATCCTCAGGTTCATCCAAGAATCGCAGTCGAGAAGTGGTATGGGCAGCGTTGTAGTCCTTGCCCTGACGCATGAGCTGTGCTTTGAATGCTTTGACGTCTGCAGGGTCAACAGAGGTCGGCCCTCTTTCCTGCCACCTTTCAATGTCGCTCAGAGTCTTGTCTATTATCAGAGGTCAGCATGGTATTGGAGACCTCAAGGTGGACACTAACAATATTGATCCATGACCACTTGCAGCCGGTGCATTAGGTCGACCTTGGCTGCATGAGCATCGAAGCCATAGTACGGGGGCGCCCGGTCAGGGTCATGCACCGCTTCTGGAGCCATGCTGTCGACGCTGTGGCGGCGAGATTGACAGTAGCTTTCCAGCCTGTCGAGTTCATTCTCGAGGTTCATGATCTGATCTTGCAAGTAGAGCAGAATTCTATATTTGACCTTCCGGAACATCCTGAATAGTGGCGGCCTATCCATATCCGCGTATTGGGCCGCCAATTGATCGTGTCTGGTTGGAAATGCGCCTGCCTCGGTGAAGACAGAAGGAGGCGGTGTCCAGTAGGTTTGTGCAGGCGACTCTACATACGCAGCCTCGAATGGTCGTCGACCGCGAGCATCGGCCTGGTACAGCTCATCCGGATGTGGTGTCCTATATTGTGGACGTGGAACCGGGGGGTACTCCAAAGTCGTATGAACATCTCTGGTGTACTCATCCTCTGAGGCAGCATGGATGTGGCCATGTCCAGATAGCTTTCCACGAAAGAGTGAGGCCTCGTCCATGAAGATTCCGGAGTCAGAATTGAAGTCACGCTCGTGTACAGCATCATCAGGATAAGGCACCGGCGCCGGCTCATCGTCTTCATCACATTCAGGCTGATGTACAGCTTCTGCTGTGCCAGGCTGAGCCTCGTCTACCAGGAACTCGAAGACGTCGACAGGTTCTGCGCCCTCCTCATTCTGGTCCGGATCTTGAGGCAACTCTTCCAGCGGTGGCATTGTTGGGCGTTGGGATCGGTGCTCGCCTCTTTGCTCCTTTGCTATCGATGGCTTCCTCTTCCTTGACTTGTTATACGACTCCTGCGTTATCGTGCTGTTGCTCCCACCGGAGCCACTCGACTGGACAGTGAAGGTTGATAGTAGCGAAGCTTTGGAGATCCGAGCAGACTTATGGCTCCCATAGACGGAGCTATGGCTGAGGCTCCGCCTTCGGTCCTGCCCTGGCCTTGGTCTCGAAATGATGGTAGCATACTCCACCTTGTCACACGTAGAGCTCACTGATGTTGGGGCAACGAGAAGAGTATTGTCGAGGCTCTCGAGATCCAGAATGATGTAGGTGGCAGGGGAGGACGAGGCGCCATCTTCAGGAATGGAAGAAGCGAAAAGTCATCCCTTGCTTTTCCAGGAATGGAAAGATCGCAGTAGGTCTCGGACGGCAAGCACAGAGACCGTGAGACGAAGTCAGCAGTAAGGAAGGGACAGCGTTCAGTCGAAACAGAGAACGCCCAAGACCCAAACGCCCGGGAATTGTGAAGTCAGTGACAGGGTAGTACAAGGATGGCAGATGGCCGTCTGAAGCTGGTTATCTCTGTCAGTATAAGAACAGGATTCAAGACATGACCTGACATGCCGGCCATACTACGGTAGCGAGACCTTCGAGCCAGTCAGTGACGTTTTCATATCGTTCATGTCAAGGCAACGAATCTTGTGAGATTCCGAGCATGATGCCCAACGGGAGGAGTAGCGAAGTCTGCACGGATGTTCCCTGTGCATGATGACCGGGCGAAAAGCTCTCGGAGTTTGACGGTTGGCAATTACTTGCAGTGCTCTAGATGCTCCATTTGACACACGTACAAAGCTGCAGTTATTGGCGGTGCAGGTGCGAAGCAGTGTTGCTGGAACAGCAAGCGGAAGGAGGAGAACAATAGAAGCTGCAGAACAAGTGGGGGAAGCTGCAGAGGCCGGAGGCGGCTGCCCGCGAGTTGGGCTGCAGACTCAGCGACTGCGATCGACTCATGTGCTGCCAACACATCACTTCACAGCACCTTGTCACTCCATTGATAGGGACACATGAGTTTTACAATCTGATCTGCACAGAGCTGTATGCTCTTCTGGCGTCCGCGGCGCCCTTCTGTCTCATATGCAAATGCTCAGATACTCCTTCCCCGCCAACCTCGTTCGTCAGGTCGCACGAACTCATGCTCCATGATACATCTGCTTTCCATCCCATGGCCTCCAGTCCGGCCGACCCTTTGTTGTACACTTTTCGGGATGATTCGTCTTCCAGATCTGATCTACATTCGGTGGAAACTTTTCTTGTCCCCTGGGTACAAGCCTGATAGGCACGGTACCTTTCCTCATCTGAAGGGTGATGACCGCCGCCATATTGTTCAACATCTTTTCCCTCACATCCTCTGCTGCTTTCTGCCAAACATCAGCCTTCGCGTTGTCGTCCATCTTAGCTACCTCTTCATCCGTGGCGTAGCTGTCCACAGCGAGCTCGACCGAGTAGTTCTGGAAAATGATCGCAAGTGCAACAAGTATCTCTACTTGCGCAAATCGACGACCGATACAGGATCGGTGGCCGTCGCTGAAGGGTGCGTATGCGCCTTTGCTCGGTTTGTACAATCTCTCAGAAGTGTCTGAGGTTTCGTCAATGTTGAGGTCACCACCAGCCCTAGCCGCCATGTTCTCCTTCTTCTGTTGCCTGGCGTCTTTGTTGGACCTTGACTCTTCCTCCGTCACGATCCACCGCTCTGGGCGAAACTCTTCAAGGTCATTGTCGAGGTTCGAGCGCGGATGCACAGGCTTACCACCCGGGTAGGTCGGCGGACTTATCGGCCAAAGCTTAGGGTTTCTGTGAGAAGCTGCCACCACTAACCCGATGTACGTCTCGGCAGGGACTGTGACTGTCTTGCCATCGACTGTTAGAGGAGCGTCGGGTGCGCCCCAGGTCGATTTAGGAATCGCGACAACTGGCGATACTAGCCTCAACTCCTCATTGAGCACAGCTCCGACCATACTGCCGAATAGCTGTGGCAGGTCGCGATCATAGTCCCACTCTGAAGGAGGCTTTCCATTGAAGATATCATCAACATCCTTTTGCAAGCGAAGCTGACTCTGTCGGTGTAGCGCAAGATAAAGCATAGAAAAGTGGATCGAGTTTGCCGCCGTTTCGTGCCCGGCCAGGATCAAGACAAACATATTGCCTAGGATCTCGGAGTCCTCCAGATGAGCCTGCTTGTCGGCCTTAGTCTGGCTCTTGACCAGTCCAGCCAAAATATCCATCGACTCGGAAGATTCTTTGACCTCCTTGCCAACATCCAGGTCTGTCCTCTTCTTCTCCACGGCTTCTCTCATGTAGTTCCCCCATTCCGAATATGCTTCGTTGGCCTTTCTGAATGCCTTGAGTGGCACGGTACGCAACAGCCACCTAGGGAAGAGTAATTGGAAGAGAATGTTGTCCAGCAAGCAATGAATGGCATAGGCATAGCTCATCGAATGACCCTCGTCGGCGCCAGCCATGTCGTTCTGAATCTTGGACGGATCGACATAGTCCTTGTCAACCTGCACGTCCGTGTTGTCCTCCGGCCACTCCAACTTCCGACCAAATCCAGCTCTACTGATGACGTGCAGACTCAGTCGCATGGTATCATCAGCCACTCGATCGATCGTCTTGTCGCCTTTCCCATCACGACCAACCCAGGAGCTCAACATAGCAAGGGACTGATCAATCGTCTCCTGCCAGACCAGGTGATTGTTCTTTTCGGTGAACGGCGGACTGACAGCTTTGCGATGTTGTCGCCATACATTCCCTTCAGCCGAGACCACGTTCCCGCCGTAGATCTTGAGCGCTCTGTAGATAGGCGATGGTTTCGGGAAGTCGTTCCTCCGTTGAACAACCTGATTGATCACATCTGCGTCACATGTGTACATGACGAGGCCACTCGGCGCAACCGTCAAGAATGTGTCTGCGCCAACTCGCTCAAATGCATCCATGCGATGTGCGTATCCAAAATCTGGAATGCAGTATTCGATCCAAGTCATCCAACTCCGCGGTAGTCTGCTGAAGAGCGGCAGCAGAAAAACATGTCCGGCCAGCCATAGTGGATGCAAGAAGAAGACCGGGACCAATATGTAGGGCAATCCCGATTGTTGTGCTTTCTTGACGTTTCTTCGCCATGAGACTGCTGTCGTGCCGCCGTAGTACAGCACTGCTGCCAGCACAGTATATGCTAACAATCGCAGCATCTTCGCAATCCTTCCTGCTTGAGTAAGCAGAGACGTGCGAAGGTGGCCGTAAGTCCGAACTTCTGCTCAATACCTCAACTTGAGGTGTCGTCGCTCTCCAGGAGGCTGGTTGCTGCACGCGGCTAAGCGACAAGGAGGTGTCTGTAATTAGGCGGAGAGGATGATTCAAAAGCGTTTCATGATATCGACTCGGCTCGACTTGCATCACTAAGCTATTTATATGGATGCAGAAGGTTTGGTCTACCGACAGAACTTCAGGTAATCGAGAGATCGGGTCGCAAACGGTTCTCTTGCAGCACCTTAATAGTTTCTTTCTTTCCCACGAGTCTGCTCATCCAGAGCCGGATGTGAAATGGTCATCAACGCCGAGGTGGACCCCGGCTCGTGCCCCAATCACCCAGTAACCATCATTTTCCACCCTCGCAATCGTGTCGTGCTTGACTGCAAAATGAGAGGGGTACCCACTTTGATCTACCGGAAGACTGGGTGTCCGAAGATATTGAAGATTTTCCCGATGGAGCTTTGTACAAGGTACGACGTACCTACGACCTACCACAGTTAGTCGCTTGGTGAGCCGGCCAGTTATCCAGGCAAGAAATACGAGCTTTCGGGGAATGCAATGCTGGTATCCTTGGACTGCGTACAACTCACGGGGCATAAGATTTTAGATCCCGATCAGTCCTGCTGCTGTACTTGCACGCCATGGAGGAGGACAAACGTTTGAGCAAACCGATGGAGACGTGGCATAAGTACAGCGCATTCACGTTGACCTACGAGGGCCTCCGAGATTATGCTCAGTCTTGATATGTCCAGTGCTTCACGATCGAGATTTCGCATGCCTCAATGGAAGTTTCTCGGGCGGTGTTTGGAACATTAACTCTTACACTCCTGCAAGCATGGCCGTCAAACTTCATACATAAACCCTGAGTCCTTCGACCAAAAGAAACCCCAAGCTCCTGTTACTAGACCATGCTATTGCCTGCGTGCGACTGCCTGGACCCTTCCGTTGTTCAGCTCAACGCTCAACTATTATAGGTCCTTCACCAGCCATCGACATTGTGGGTCTCCTCGGTGCGCGCTTCCTATGCGTGCGTTGCTTGCTGAAGGTGTGTGCCCTGAGCTTCTGCAGCGGACTTGGTATGAGTGGTCTCGCTTGAGGGAGAGGCCACCTCCTGCTCAGCAGTGTCAGCTACAGAAGACTGGCCCGTCGCTACTTCCTCTGACGGCATCAGATTGCTTCCAAGGCCCGCAGAGTTGACGTGAACGGGCTCCAGGTTTGGCTGCCACATTTGGAGATCGTGCTCAGCGTCTGCGAGAATCTGTCTCGCATCTGTGCCGTGCGCAAACGGGTGGCGGACATCGCCCGGAACGACAGGCGTGTCGTCAAGCAGGTTCAAGAGTCGGCGACCATGTTTGGCAAGGATGATCTGCTTCTCAGCACGCTCTATCGTAGCCGCGAAGTTGAGATCATATGCTTCCTTGAGCTTCTGGCGAGTCTGCGGCAGTCAGTCTAGCACTTGGCTCTTGCTGGATTGAACTTACGATATTGGTCAGCTGCGCCTCAGCGACAAGATTCTGAGCCTCTGCTCTGACCAGCTCCTGCTCAAGCGTAACGAGCTTGGGCGACGACGGCTCTTTATACTTCAACTTCTGGATCTCATCTGCGATCTTGTTCTTGTTGTCTCGCGAGGGCTGCACGCTCTGCTCGGTGTTCCTAATCTGCTTCAAGATGCTGCGATAGTCTTCGAGGTTCTGCGCAAAGAGATCTTCTTGCTCGCCAATTTCCGACATCAACACGCCGATCTTGTCCGAGATATCCGAGATGGAATCGTCGTTGGTGGACTCGCCCCAGTCCGACAGCTGGGAGGCGATCGACAAGCGCTCGCGGCCGGCAGATTCGTAGGCACCAATGGCATGATTCTCGCTCTTGATGAGTTTGGCGAGACGCTTGGATAGCTCTGAGCGCTCGACGCTCGCAGCGAGGTCATGAAGCCCATATGGTGCTTGGCTGGGGCCAGCTTGTGGCCATCCTTGTTCTTGGACCGTACACTCAAAGCTCTATTCATCTTGGATCGAGTATACGGGGTATAATTGATACTACAGTTCCAGAAGTGCAAGGTATCGATATCTTATAAAGTGAAGAGACCTGCGTGCAGCTGAGAGTTTGTCCTGCATCCGCGCCTTCCACCTCGCAGTCAGTGCACCTCAGATGACGTAGCACGGGCTTTGTATGACGTGCAGCCCACCTCGCTTCTTACCTCGAGTTGCTGACTCTCCTGCAGTACACCCCTCTGTTCGACTCGAACAATGAGTGAGAGGGCCTAGAACAAATCGATGATCGCGACGTAGTACAGCACATTCATGGTCAATTCGTCGTTGAAATATGTATATACTGAATCATTCATCATAAAACATCCAGATGCCGCATCGCGAGTTCATTCACCACTCCAACACGTCAAAATGTCCTGCTCGCTAGTATACCAATCCTCCAAACTCATCGTCTTCGATTGTTCATTCAGTCGCGATACACTCGACGCTCCGAGGTGATTCTACTTCGCGACCGACTGCGAGAGTTGCGGTTGTCGTGGTGGTGTTCACGGTGATGGTCGCGGCTCGGTCTGTGGGCTGATGTCGATCTGCGCGTGACCACTTCCTTGCGATAAGAGGATACCTCTGGTCGCGACACATATGAGTCGTATCGTCTTGGACGCTCCCGTTTTCTAATGACCACGGTCTCGCCTTTGTTGCCGCCGAAGCACATGTTGCTGGATGAATGGAATGTTCGGTATAGTCAGGTTGGTCTTGGTTGAGGTGAAAGACCACGAAGTAGATAAGCGATCAAGAGGTCAAGTCTTCGACAGCACGAGGAGTGTCAGCCTAGGAGGAGGATGCTTGTCGTATATGTGCCTCGTGACTAATTTATCGGGCAGTGCCTTGTGAAATCCAGGAAGCACTACAACCCCGGGGATGGTTCAAGTGGTATATACTTTCCTGAGACAAAGTCCCTCCCAACCTCTCTGTTCCGCTCTGTTCTTCACGCGATCTACTTCCCTGACATGGCCCTGGTTGCAAACCCGAAAATGCGGCCATGAAGCGAGAGCGAAGGCTCCTAAAATTCTTGGCTTGACATCATAGCGCTTGCGCAAGTCGTTGAGGATCCATGATTTAGGGCACACCTTCAGCACAAATGGGTCGCTACATTGTGCGGTCGGCTTGTGCTAACATGGCCTACAAAACGCTGTACTTTAAGAGGCGTTCAGGGTTTGTCCAAATCAAGGCGAAGCACTTCAGGTGTGTATAAGGTATGGACGTGCAGAAGATCTAACGATCGTACAACGTGCCGATCTGGGGCACGACCAGGTGTGCTTGGGCCATTTGGCTAAACATCCTGCAACGAGAATTTAGGCTTTCAACCCCACATGTTCGAAGTTGCCTTGCACATCATAGACATTTGACAGCATCTGGTAGGCAAGCACGCTCAAACCAAGAACGGGTCACAGAGAAACCCGAGACCATGTCTGAGGACGCGAGACAGACTGCAACTTTGCTGAGCCTGCCATCGGAAGTTCGTGCACTGATATATGGATACCTACTACAATCCTCGATCCCTCTGGTGATCGCTGCCGCTCCACCGAAACCCCATGGGACGACCACGCAAGCAATCGCAGGACCTCACGCGCTTTCACCCCATCGCAGTATAGCACCTCACTATCTCTCTGCGCAACTGCTGGCCACTTGTTCGACCATTCGTGATGAAGCTCTCCCTATCCTCTACGGCCACAACACATTCGACATCTCCTCCCGTTCCGCCCTCTCCCTCCTCCAGGACAATTTCCCCCCCACCAACTTCAGCCTGATCACCTCCCTCATCCTAGACTGGGACGCCTCCAAGATTTCTCCTTCCACCTCGCCCGCCCCTCCTTCCAGTCCCTCCTCCGCTCCCTCACCACCCTCGAGACAAAACACTGGCGCAACCGCATCGTCTCCCCCACCGCCAGCGCCTTCCTCTGGCGCGACGTCAAGTCCTACGAGCGCATGATTTGCACGTCCGCGCAAGCTATCCTCCAGAAGGCGCCGAAGTTGGGTGTATTGGCGCAGAGGAAGTGGGTTGGGCCGGTGGGTGGACGGGGGGAGGAATTGAGGCGGAGGAATGCGGAGAGGGCTGCTGCGTTAAGGCGGCTGGAGGAGGGATTGGCGGTGGTCGACGACGGCGCATCTGTGAATGCAGCATTGACAGGAGTGGGCGAGGCGTCGTCTGTCTTTTCAGCACTGGGTGCAGCTTTGCAGCAGGCCTCTGGCGAGAGCCACGTCCCTGCTCGGAGGAAGAGTGCCGCGACGGTCCGCGTGAAGTGGCGCCTCCTGGCCGACGTGTCCCAACTGCGCGACGACGAGGTTGTGGTGGATATCGACGCCGAGGTCGCTGCCTTGTCGCCAAAGCATGGCGAGGAGGAGACGGGTGCGAGGCAGATAGCACTGGATCCGATCTAACGTACATATCATACGAAGAAGAGATGCCGCGATACCTGCCCAAGAATTGAAGATTGGGTATCAACAAGTCTGAATTTTGATGATAGTACAAACGTAGTAGCTCTTTCCCGGCACGATGCGCGCTGGAGTCTCGGTCTTCTTGAAAGGACGTGGTTACCACACATCTGCGCAGTATACGAGGCAGAAATAACATCATACGTCAAACCAAACCCCACCCGCAAGTCTGTTGACCCCATGCCAGTGTCGGATGGCCTGAGGAGCCGGTTTCTGCTGCCCAAGGACAAGCCTTTCGTCCTGCTTGCCGGGCACTGACCAAGGCTCGCCTGGCAAAAGCCCCTTTTGTTTCTGCCCATATGTCTCGAAGCCTAGTACTTGCCATGGCTCTTCATCAACCGCTTCGTCCTTGACAGTCGGCATTTGCGCTTTGTGCTTAGCCATGGGCACTGGCTCAGCTTCGGGCGTCAATAGTCCGGTCTTGAGCGCCGCGGGTTCCGTAAGAGGGCTCGCAGAAGCTTTTGAATCCGGACGATCGTTGGCGGGCGCCTTGCCTGCTCCAAGTTCCGCCGACTGCTAACCAACGTCAAGTGCTTTACCCTGCTTCGTCAGCGCTTGCACAACCTCACGCGGGGAAAGTCTGGAAGCGAGTGCCGTGGGTTGTGCGGATGGGCCAATGGGAGCTGCCATATTGGAACAATCATTGGGAAGCGCCTTGCACAGATGAGCAATACACCGTCGGACGCAGTTCGCGCAGGGACGAGCCCAATCACACCCCTCCTTTCGCTTGTGACATTCCGTGCAGACAACAACAGGACGGCCTGTTTGCGGCTCCTAGCGCTGCTGGACTTGCTGTTGCTGTGGCTGCTGTTGCTGATCATAGCTTTGCGCTGCGCCGTATTGCCGCTGTGGGTGAAATTGTGGGAAGCTTGCGTTCATGGCACCAGGATTCGTGCCGTTGAGCTGATGCTGTTGTTGCTGTTGTACAGGGCCTGCGGTGGGATACGCCTGGGAACCCCCGTACCAGGTCTGCTGCTGCTGTTGCTGCAACTTCTGCGCAGCACGCTGTGCGTAGCCTGGCTGGCTCGGCGTCTGTATACCGGCTGGTGTGGGTGTGCCGGTGGCGGCACTTTTTGTGGTGTTCCAGCTGCCATTGTAGCCATTCGCAGGTGTGGCAGTTGGTGGGCGCTGGAATTGCTGGACTGTCGGTTGGGCAGCGTGTGTAGTGCCCTGCGTGACTGAGCCAGATTGTTGGTAGCTGGCGTAGCTTGGTCTATGCTGGAGGCTTGAGGGCGTGGCATAGACCTGGGCTTGGCGTTGTGCATGCTGCGCTTGGATCCTGCAAATGTGAGTTAGTGGCACACGAGAATGGAGATGCAAGGGACATACCCAAGATTTGCGGCATAAGCCTGGAGATTGCTGTTGAATTGAGCGGCTGTCGATTGTTGCTGTGTTCCGTACGTTGTGCGAGCGACAGGAGTGTGGCTGACAGCCTGGGGCAGCCGAGCCGCAGCGGCTTGTTGGGCCGACCGATACTTGGCCAGTGTGAAGTCATCTGCTTGCATTGTACCTTTATAGTCAACGCTGTCGACTTTGATATTGGTAGAGATGTTCAAATCCGAGAGCTTGTCTCCATCAAGCTTCGAAACGGCAAAAGGTGGAACGGCGGCCACCAGGATGGCTAGTTGTGATCGTAGTACATCAAAGGCGTCGAACTCCGGGCCCGAAGGTTTGGACGGATCTGTGGATTGTCGTGTCTCCAGGCTACGGATGCGCTGGTAAGAGTGGACGGTCTCAAGCAATTCTGATATCTCTTCCAGCACATCATCGATATCTGTGGGGTCGTCCCGTTCGGGCAATTGTAGCTCCTCTGTCGAGGGCTCATATGACAGAACTCCTTCAAAGTCGTCTTCTGCGCTCTGCTCTTTCACAGGCTCTGGCTCATCCAGGTCCGGATAGCTGGCTGTGAAAATCTTCTTCATTTGTTTCGACCCTTGTTTCCGCCACCAGATACGGCTCCGATCCTCATTGTTCACTAATGACAGTGAGCTGTCCGTGGTGGGAGCAAATGACGAAAATGCCTGCTTGTAAAGGGCGATGTTGTTGTTGGATTCATTGACACTATGGTCGTTGGCGATCAGGGCGGCACGGAAGTCGTTCGCAGCTACACCTTTGTCTCTGTATTTACGACTGGCATCTAGTTCGTCAAGGGTGTGTCCTCGGGAATAGTCAACCCAGGTTGCCGTAGCCAGCTGCTGATGTCGGTAGTCCTGTCTGTTCAGGGGAGCTATACGCTCTGGGAATGCTTCGGCGCTGAATCCTAGGACGTTGCTCCTCACTGCTGGGCGGCCCTTTGGCATCTCCAGGGCTTTGGTGTTCCGATGAGGCCCGAACACATCAGCAAATTTTCGTGGTTGCTTGGGGGCTGCTAAGAATGCTGGATCAATTTTGGCGGGCCTAGCAAGATCGAAGCCATTTGGCAGACTTCGGCCATCGATGGGCTTCCGGGCGGCCTCTGTACCTGCGGCTGTCTGCAGCCCAGAATAGAGGGTTGCTACACCTTTGTCCGTCGAACTCCGCAATATTAAGATCTGATCTGGGCTGTCTTCCGATTCTTTGGACTTCGAATCTGCTCCGCTGGACGACTCGTCCTTGGTGTCTGAAGCCCGCCGGACGCGCTTCGCTTCGGGCCTGTCGGCGTCCTCTCTGGATAATACTGATTCGGAGCTGGAAGACGTTAGACTGTGCGAAATGCAAGCTGGAGGCGCCCGACGTACCCTTTGACCTGGTCTAGTACACGCTCGTGATCATGCTGGATCGAATTGCCGGCATGGCCGTTGACTGCGATTTTCTTCTCGGGCGACGCTGATCTCTTTCGCTTCCCAAGATTCGATCCGGTGTCCTGAAGAGCAGGCACATCTCCGTTGACAGGCTCCATTGTGCCCGAATGTGCTGAATGCTTGAAGACAATCAACTCTGCTCCAGCTACCGGTCAGGCATGTCTGTGCGACTTGTACAGGGTGGGTGGTTTGCCAACGACAACCAGTATTGAGATTAATTGAGGGTTGCGGAGATGGGGTATCGCGTCGCGAGTTCGAAGGGTGCGCGTAGTCCTTGCGCGCTCTAGGCCGAAGATACACTGTAGAATCACCGAAACGACTGCCTTACAGAATGCGAGCCAGCAGTCTATGAAGGATGAAGACTAGCTTGACACTGAGCAATTAATGAAAAAGAGACTGCTTGTTACGTGAATTGAACGATGCAGAGCAAAATGCGCAATCTCAGGTTGAACCTGAGGTGATCCGCCCGGCCTTGCAAGTCAAAAAGTCTTGGCACTTGACGGGCTTCAGATACCTGAGCCTCGACTTGCATGCCCCGGGCTACTTTGCGACTACCTCTTATCCGCACTCGACTCAGACACACACCTGACGCAGAGGTTGTCGCTCTTTAGCGTCGCTGCGCTGGCCACGTCAATGGATGTCCCACGTCCGATGGCGAAGCTGGCTTCGGTGCTGCCGCCGCCATTACGTCCTCCGCCCTCATAACCATAGCTGGAAACCCGTTTGCGACCGCGCCGCAAGCACTTGGTGGCGTGACCCTAGTCTGGGGCAAGTCCAGGAATTCCCACAAGGCCAAAATCGCAGTCTGAACGGCATAACGTCGTCAGAGGACGCCGTTAGCTCTGACTCGGACGGCGTTGAGCAGGTGACCGTCGACTTCGACGCTGTCGAGGAGGCGAAGACGGAGCTCAAGAATACCCTTGACGAAGCGAAAAATGCTGCAGTCGAAGTCAAGCTGGACATTTCGCAAATCGAGGGCCTCAAGATCAACAACAAAGGGCTGGTCGTGGACCAACATGGCCACCTGTTGGCCGAACTCTCCCAAGGCTACGACCTCGAAAAGGTGCGAGGCAAGAGAATCAATGGAAGAGGCGAGATCCTTGATGACGAGGACAATATTATCGACAAGCGTGACTTCCTGAAGCTCCGGCCTGGTGCACGTTCTACATCGGATACTTCCAACTGGCACAATCTGGATGAACGTGAGCTACATAGCTCACCTGCGCAGGAACTGGTAAAGTCCTGGTCCGTGAACGTCTTCGAACAACGCCCCGAGCTGTTAGGAGCATCCTTGGACGCGCACTTGGGCTGTGACGACCTGCGGAAGACAGTCTTCAATGCTGTCACTTCCTTCGACCTATCGCACGTAGGGGTTTCAGAAGATGATATTATCACATGGTCTTGGGTGCTCATTGCACGTACTTCAAGGGCAGCCTTAGGACGTTGGCTCGAAGTTGCCACCTCCCAAGCGGAAGAACGCCGGGAGATGCCAGATTTTGTCCTGCTATGGATTCTGAGGGCGAGTGAACTGCCAGCCGAGCATTTCCGTGCCCTCGTGCAGCATCTGCACACACAACTATGTGCTGACATGGAAAACAGCTCCGGCCAGAACGAAGCTCCTGCGAGTACATTCACGAACCGAGGCGCCAATAATGTGGTACTAGAAAGACTGATTGGACATGCGCTTGCTGTAGCAGTCGACAGGCTGCCAGCTATCGCTGACATAGCCTCTGTTCTGCTCTTTCAAAGAATTGATATGGATTGGCCCGGCCTCGTCAGCGACAGCAATCGGGTTCTCGCGCTGCTAGCTTTCCCTCCAAGCAAGAATCCATTGAGACTGGTACACTTCCAGAAATCCGCCCAAGTACGATTGCTCCGTAAGATGTTCGCTTCTGTTCCAGAAGTAACCCTGAACCGGAGAGGTTATCAAGCTCTGATAGCCGTCCAGCTTGCTCACGCCAAAACCGACGAAGAGGCGGCATGGGCACGAGTCAAAGCGCTATCATGGCCACCATGGCGAAAGGACAGGCTAGGCATGGACCAACGTCTTGTATATCCCGGCCAGATATCGCGAGCTGGTAGATTGCTCCGTCGCATGAATGAGGCCGGATACGAACACGGCGTGTGGGAGCTTACTGCCAGAATATATTCGGGCTGGGATACCGATGGCAGCCCGACCATTCAAACTCGTACGCACCTGCGCATGGACGACCCGAGATGGGCACAGCAGACAAACGAAAATCTGTCAGTCGACCAAGTTGATCAAATAACTCCTGAATCCGGTCCCAACGTAGAAGTCCGCAGCCCGCCAAACACTATCATCAGCTCTACGGAATCTATGATCTGGACTGCCAGGGTCACCGCCACGCGCTCGATCCGCGAGGCTTGGGCTGCGTTCCTGTCCTATAGGAAGGCTCTGAAGGCTGCGAAGGAAGATCCTCACCCTCGTGTCTACGAGGCAATGTTCGCCAAGCTTAACGCAGACGTACAACACCCAGAGCCGTATCTTTCAGCAGTTCCTGGGGACGGACCGCAGACCTGGCCTGATTCGAACAACGCTCAGGACCTCGTCTACGTCGAGATCGAGCCTCCCAACGTCAAGAAGTTCTACGCAGAAATGCGACAAGATGGTCTTCCTGTGTCGCGAGATCTTCTTGCCGATCTGGTTAGGCGATCGTCTTCCATTCCACAAGCAGTCACTTACATCCGAGAGTGTCTTTCGTCTCGGACTGCCAAATCGCATCTACTTGATGGCGGAAAGACCTTTGCTAATGACCGGAACGTCCGCGACATTTTCACGTCACCCAGTGGCCAGAGGCTTCTAGCAGCGTGGTTGGAGCGATGTTTCTCTGTTGTTCCCACTCGATGCTACCTATCTGCTACATCAGAGAAGCCGACGGCGGATGATCTAGAGGCGACCAAATGGCCAATACTTCTGCTCAAGAGATCTGCCTGGAAGGATAGCAGACTGTATAATGCGGCACTGACCGGGCTGCGTCGGCGGCTTGACCATCACACCACTGCAAAAGTTAAGTTCAACACCTGGGAATTACTTATGTCAGTGTGGTATGAAATGCGGCTTGTCTTGAAACTTATGCGCACCCGAAAGATATATCCCGACAGCATAACCTTCCGCCTTGTCAACGAAATCTACCACCAGGTCTTCAACCGAGGACCATCACTGAGCTCTGGCAGAAGCTCTGGAACGGTGGATCATCCGGTCTCATGGGCAAAGAGTGTCTTCGTCCAGGTCGTCTATGGCACCACCGATTCCATTAAATGGATTCGAGACGACCAGATTGGCAGTCGTCAGCTAGTCGATCCTCCCACCCCATACGAATTACGTCTCCTTGTCGAAACGTTGGGAATATTCCAAGACAAGGAGGGAATAGTCGAACTCTTGTTATGGATGTCGAAGAATCAAGAAGCACTAGACGGAGTTCACAAATACTTCCGCCAAAGCGAGCGGCAAATGCTTATTGTACATACCGTCGCTCGAATATTTGTGGATGGTTTGATGGACGGCGTCAAGGCTGATGCAAACGATCAGCAGCTGTTCCACAGGCTCTCGCAGTCGATCGATCTGCCATCAGTTGAAGACTGCCACGCTTATATGGAATCGCGACCGAGCTGGGTACGTCAACACAGACGACATCGTCGCCTGAGTGGTAAGCAGTTCTGGCACACATGGAGCAAGGCATTGGCTGGAGACGCCCTGTTCTAGATACAAGCATAGAGCGTGAGCCTGATTTTCATTATGCATCTGATGGTTCTGAGACTGAAGCGATACCCTGTACAATTTGAGAAACAACTGTCGTTCACCTGTCTACGATTTCCTTACATACCTTCTCCTGTCTGATGTTCCTATTTGAGAACATAAATTTACGGATTAACACCTCCGTACCTCTCCGAATGCCCCCACGCGCAGAGCCGATAAACTTGAAATTAGAAATGGTCATAATAACCGCTAAGTGCAGCTTTAAGCGCGTCGACCCCTCGAACATATTGGACTAGACCTCTAAGTGACAGCATATCCTGAGGTCTTCCCTTAAGTACAGTTGTACGCGCTTTTCACGGAGTTGTCGCATTCTCAGATGGACCAGCTTTGCGAAATTGCCTCCCCGTCGATAGCCAGCTCGGCGAGGAAGGGAGAATCGCTGTCAGTGCGTCCCACATGCTCGTGAAGTCAATGATTCAAAAACAAAGAGGTAAGTGCGGAAAAGGTGGTATTCTCAACCTCGTCTTCGTCTTCTTTCCTTCGATCCCTCACCCGCCCCTTCACTTCACGCCTAGGTCATCCCTTTATCATTAGCGATGCCGTCGTCAACATACACGAACGGGTCTTCTCTCACCCACGAACTCAGCGGTGCACCACACACTGCATCGACCAAAGCCACAAACGGATCAAAAACGACGATGACATCCCCATCCACCATTCCCCAGAAATTCTTGAGCCATCCCGCCGACCTCGGCGTCGTTGCCGTCGGTTTCTCGGGTGGGCAATGCAAGCCTGGCGTCGATGCCGCACCATCCGCGCTCATTTCCGCAGGCCTTTTGGACCAACTCCGCGAAGAGCTGGGTTACAATTTGCACGGCGATTCTGAGGTGTACAACTATAATGAGATGAGAGTTGGGAGGATGCACCGCATCGAGGGATGAAGAACCCGAGGAGTGTTAGCGCAGTGACAAAAGAGCTGGCGGGCAAGGTGTACGAGCAGGCCAAGGAAGGAAGGATGGTTGTGACTCTGGGCGGTGACCACAGCATCGCGGTGGGAACCGTGGCGGGCACATCAAAAGCCATCAAGGAGAGACTGGGCAAAGAAGTGGCAGTCATCTGGGTCGATGCTCATGCTGATATTAACACTCCCGAAACATCAGACAGCGGCAACATCCACGGCATGCCGGTCGCTTTCCTCACAGGCCTCGCCAGGGAAGACAGGGAGGATGTGTTCGGCTGGCTCAACAAAGACTTTGGGGAGAAGCCAGCCCTGTCCGTGTCGAAGCTGGTGTACATTGGTCTACGAGATGTTGACCGAGGCGAGAAGCGCATTCTCCGGGAGAACGGGATCAAGGCATTCTCGATGCACGATGTCGACCGTCACGGAATCGGGCGCGTTGTTGAGATGGCACTCGCTCACATCGGCACGGACACGCCCATTCACCTGAGCTTCGATGTGGATGCTCTGGATCCGCAGTGGGCTCCCAGCACTGGAACACCCGTCAGAGGCGGGCTCACGCTGCGCGAGGGTGACTACATCGCGGAGTGCGTACACGAAACCGGCCAGCTGATCGCTATGGACTTGGTGGAAGTCAATCCGAGCTTGGAAGTCGCAGGTGCGTCTGAGACCGTTCGGGCTGGCGTCAGTCTTGTCAGGTGTGCTTTGGGCGATACACTGCTCTGAGTGGATGGAAAGAGTAGCCTGCATCGAGACGAGTCCATGGGTGCTTGCGAGGAAATGCAAAAGTCAACCAAAAGCCATAGATTACGGGAAAGCTCGGCTCACGCCTCTTGGAAAATAGACGGAACAAAATTGGGTTCACTTGTTGTTGAGAGGAAAGCCGTTAATGCTGTGCGACTGTGTGACCTTCAGGGTACTTTGTAATAGCATGGACGCATCTATATCTTCGAAGTGCCTAGCCCAGCCCCTGTCCCCTGCCACCTTTGCGATATATAGGAACCTGCCATAATGATGAACCACTATTTGTTTTGCTGGCAACACTCTCGCGACCGCCTCCTTATGAGCAGTGAGAGACTGGTCCAAGGTATATAGTTGTCAGTGCCAAGCAGGTCGCGAAAAGGGCCTGTTGCCCCTGACGACGGTCAAAAGCAGAAAACAAGGCAGTTCTTCGACGACGCCGCTCTAGTCCTGCTGCGTTCGTCGTCGCAGTCCAACTTTCAGCAACAGCGACGGCGATAAATTGCGACTTCTCAGACGGCTGCAGCAAGTCGCTCATGGCGTCAACGGTGGATGAAGCTCTGCCCATGACCGATTCCAGTGACTTTGCATTCCAGCACTCTTCTCCACTTTCGCTGCGTCACCCATCAACATTCTCAAGCCCGCCCGCACCTCCTCTATCGAACCCATACGACGACGAAACCACCTCCGATGAACTCCACGACACGAGCGAGCGCGTTATCAGACCAAGTGAGAGCATCACACACCACCATGCCTTAAGCTCAGCAGACCGCCGACTGTCCGGCCATTCATCCATATCCTCTTTCCCAGCCTCGGTCCTGCACCACGACCAGCAGAGGACGCCGTCGCGCTTGAGCCATCATGAACGGCATGACAGCTTCGGGAAGGCCGTCTCGCCGCGACGGCACAAAGGCCTCTCGACGGCCTTCAGGAACCCGAGCAGTGTGATGGAGATGCAGCTTAACGATGACACAGGCGACGAAACGGAGAGCGTGGTGTCGCATCATGTAAGAAGCGGGTCGAGGATGTCTGTGCGCAGTCACGGGAGCAGTCACTCGTCGCCGTCGAAGAGGGGGACGAGAAGTGTCGGCTCATCGCCTAAGAAAGGCAGTGGGTTGCGCAAGGAGTTTCCGCTTGTGCTGCTTCATTGCACGCTGCTGCCGCCAGCGAACAACTGGGTAAGCCCGACTTGTCCTAAGGAGTTGTTTGCAGCTCTTCTACCAGACGGGTACCGGCAGCGATGGATCCAGCTGCACGACAAGCTCAGCAGTGCTGAAGTAAAGCTGCGAGGGATCCTTCTTCCCCACCCGCAGGACGACTACGAGCTTCTAGAGGAGCGGTTGCTGGAGGCTCTCGAGCTCGAGTCGCCTCGAATACAAGGCAGCCATTTCGACGACAAAGGCGCGGACAGTGGCTTCGAGGACGGGAGTCAGTCTGAGAGCGACGCTGACGATAAGTGTCCTGACTGCGGCAAGCAGATCGGCAAACGGGAGCGGAAATGGGAGATCAAAGTCTTCGCTGCTAATGGTCTGATGAGGGGCGCGGCATGGACAGCAGCGTGGCGAGATATGGAGAAGGTTGACGTACAGGTCGATGTCTTCATGCCGGAGGATGTTCGCCGGGAGGTCAACACCAGGCTGGAAGCTTTGCAGGCTGCGGAGGAGGAAGCACAGATGGAGGAGGAAGCTGCATCGACGACAGCAGCGCAGCATGAACCAAGAGGATCCGCACACGAATTACCAAGGGAACGGACCAGACCAGATGAGCCGTATCAGCAACGAGCGCAGCCGCAGGCACATGACTCCAGCGCAAGAAGTCCGCGAGCCTCCAGCGCGATCGAGTTGTTGCTGCAAGATCGCAAGAATATCGTGATCTTGCTGTTGAGCATAGTTGTCGCCGTCTACGCAATCATCCTTCCCAGAATTGGGCAGTTCAATGAGCCGTCATCAGTACTCGCCTCCCACACCGGCGCTCAGGCCGTGAGTCCCGTTGCAAATACTGCAACGTGGTCGACCACAGGCATTCTTCAGGAGGTGCCGCCCATTCCTGTAGCGACAGCGAATCACCGTCTTTCGATGCACGAGCCAGCAAACAGGCCATCTGGACCAGCGACCAAGCCAGCTGAAGTCTTGAACACAGAGACAATTGGCAAGCACATCCCCATCGATGAAGCTGCGCCTTTGGCAGCAGCCAGCGACAATACGGACAACACGAGGGCCTCGCCAATCGTGAACTTGGCTCCAGATTCGCGCGATAACGAGCACGAGATTGGACACGAGATGCAGCCGCCGGATGCGGTGGCGGAGCTGCAACGTGAGCTTTCGAATAAGGAAGAGCAAGTATTCATCACGCAGGATGGCGAGGACAGGAGAGAAAGATAGGTTTGGCTTGCCAGTCGAATGTAAATAGCACAGCAACGAGTACATAATAATGAGATACCCCCTTTTGCTGAGAGATGAGGCTCAGGCTTTAACGTATTCGATGTTTTGGCTTTCCGGACTCCAAGGTCGAGGGTTGTCCTCACCGTGATGTGGGCTGCATGTAGGCTTCAGCCGCACTTTTTCAAGCCAACAGCAAGGTGTTATGGCAAGCACGTTATGCAGGATTTGCGAGGCTGAGGCTGTGCGCCTGTGATAGCTTGGGCTGCATCTGGCTGCATCTGGCTGGAAGGGCCTTCGCGTATCTGCCAGGTGGTCCTGCGGCTGCGTTCTTTTGGACGGACTTATTAGTGGTCAGTTTCAACACACGGTATTGTCGATGGTACAAAGCAGCGGAATTCTACAGAATGCATTCCCGTCGCTCGAGTCCGAAGTTTCGCCATCTCACGGTTCATTCTATGCCGCCGATAGAATGCCGACCGTTGAGCGTTCCACTATTGTAGCAACGTGGAGCGTAGATGAGATGATCGGCCATGGATCCGAACTCTCGGAATTCCCACGTTGGCCCCACCTGGAATGCTCTCGGGACGTCAAGGATATATGGATGGGTGGTGCTGAGAGAATTCCAACAGATTTTTGAGTTCCAAGGAAAGCACCTACTGGCACCTCCCACGTGCGCCAGAAACTTTTCGAAGTTGTGATGAGCACGGCCGCACCGTGTAAGGCGTGCTTGTCAGTAATATAGTACGGTAATTGCTTCGCGATTGGGCTCAGACTAGGGATCACTGCAAGCTGGGAATAATGATGCCGGCGGGCCTTATGCTCATCTCGGATCTTGGACCCAGATATCTTACCTGGTAAGGTAACATTTTCTATGCTGTATGCGAGCCTTGCATGGCACCGTGACTTCGTAAGGCCCGCGTGTGGTTTGCCTCGTCTTGTCAGCATTGCTGTTGCGGTAGTTGCCCTCTGGACTTGGTGATTACGGCAGCAATGTTTGCCGCGAAATTCGACCTTGGTTCGCGGATGAGATTTTTTGGATAATGACACACCGCTCCACAGGGAATAGCCTTGCGGCCTTTGTCGGAGGGAACGAGCGGTGCCTACCGCCGGCATTCGTTCGAAATTACGCACGCAGAGGCGTGGTTTAATGATTCAATCTTGTGCAGCTCTATCTTGTAAACTTCTGGCAAGTCTAGACTGGAGTTCGCGGCTGAGTACGACCAGCTGCATTTGGAGGAGTGCGTGCTCGTCGTGCCAGAAACTTTTTACCTGTTGTACAAAGTGTCCAGAAGTAATGGGAGGTATCGGAAACGGGTAATGTGGATAGCTGATACGGCAGGTTTCCCATAGGGCTACCAGGGTGTGGCTTGGTTTGGGAGATGGCTTCATTTGGGCTGACATTTTCGTATCCATTTCTTCCTCTCACCGTTCAAGTTCGGAAATAGCACTGCGGCGTTTCAGGAACGGTATGGCAAGGCGAAGTTTGATAAGCCTGATGCTAGATGCAGGTTGATATAGATAATGTTAGGATGCCGGCCTTATGTTGCTGTCGCTTCTTACTTGCCCTCGAATCTTCGTGCAGTCACGCCTTCTCGGATTGTACTCGTACCCAATTCAACGCGAACGCGATACCCAGCATTGTTTTTGGCGGTCTCGAGCAGTGAAACAGCAGCCACTGTGAAAACATGACGACCACGAATTTTCTCTCGTTACCTTACGAGATCCGCAGCGAGATCTACGCGCAAGCCTTTGGAAAGTCGAATAAGGGTGTGCTGAGCACAAGTCGGCTGGACTCGGACGCCCTTCTATTGTTGCCCACGCCAGAAGCAGGTCAGCAGTACTCTTGTCCTCGAAGCGGTCAGCTCTTGCGAGTGTGCAAAGCCATCTACGAGGAAGCCATCCCAATACTATACTCCCAAACCACGTTTCACACCATGTCACATCTTTTCGCCGGGAAATTGCCAACTGCATTTGCCACAGAGAACCACCCTTTCAGCGCAAACGTCAAGCATCTGATCTGGCAGGTCGATTGTGATATGATGAAGCATTTGTATGTGGAGGATTTGCAGCTGAGGAAGGAGGAGTTCGTCAACCTGCAAACACTGGAGATCCGCGCAAGGGCTGAGACGTGGCGGGACTCGTTTCTGGGAGAGGAGTGTGATCGTGAGCGGTTCGTCAAGGGGCGCGAGCAGACCATTCAATACGCCAAGATCCTGCGTGAGCTCATGCGAGATCCGGCTGACGAGGACGAGATTGTTGAGGTGATTGAGGACCGGACATTCCTTGGCAGGGGATGTGTGAGAGTGAGGCTCAACAGGATAGGCGGTCGGTTGCGGTCGAGAAGGCCACTGTCTGCGAATGTGAGTTCTGCATGTTGAAGCGTCTCTAAGTGGTAGTGTGCTGACCATGAGGCCTAGGAAATGGTGATTTCCTGATGGTCAGAAAAGTGTGAGACCTGGCAGAACTACTCAGGCCATCTGCTTGAGCCGTTGAGACGATGTCTGACGGTGACAACGTAAACAATCGGATCCTTATTGGACGACAGACATGCAAAGAGAGCCAGAGTCGGGACTGTTAAAAGGTATAGACCATGAACTGTCTTTCGAGACTTTAGCAAGCTCGTCGGTGGCAGCATCTCGTGCTCAGTGGCACCAACACAAACGGATCACCGAAGATCATCGATTCGATATCGCCTCATCACGCGAAATGCTTCTGGTCCATGAACGGACAGAACGTGCAGGAGCATGGTGGTTGCAGTTCCTTAAGCGGACACCTAGGACTTCAAGCTCCAGTCAACCGGATGCGCAAAGAGTCGAGCGACGCTCAGCCAGAGACGTGGGAAGTCAGCACTGAATCAGAGGTGTCGTAGGCGATGAAGCTAGGTAGCTGCTTCGCTCAAGAAGCTTCTAATAATGATCGCGCCTTACCTTACAAAAAGAAGGCCGAGTTGTAGCACAATTGTGGTTATCACAGCAGTGATGAATGAAAGCTCGAACTAGCTCGTGAGTACGACCACGAAAGAGGGCGCGGCAATACCCTCTCATGCTGGTTGTTGAGCCTAGACTGAAGTAAGTCGTGAACAGTGCCGTCACTAAGTACTTGTGCATCACCGATGAAGAAATCCTCAGCCTCGTCAAGCGTCCGGCGTTCATGATGATTGGCTCAGATTCGATGGGACGGGGCGCCACTCGATGGACACAACCCTGTTGCCCGAACGCAACACGTCGTCACCTCTTTTGTCCTTCCGTGCTCCTCCCCCGCGCGCCCTCTCGAGCATCGCTCTTTCCGGTAGGTCAACACTCTTTTGACAAAAGATGGCGGCTCTTTTCTCACCTACCACGCATTCAAGTGTGCTCCAAACTCAGTTGCAGACCTGTCTTTGTCTCCCGCGTCAGCTACCACGGAACAGCCTGTCCAGGTATATGGTACCTCGTGGTGTTAGCCAGCGCTCCTGTGTCTGGCCGAGCATGTCAATCACCTCCGCGCAAGCCCCTCTTTTCACTCTGCATGATGCTTCAATTCTTTCGCACAGCATTTACGAACTGTTCGTCCACCCTGCTTTAGGAGGGACACCCCTCGCCTAACAACAGCTATCATGACCCTACCATCGCTACTACCCCGCAACCCAGAATGTACACATATCTGGCCTAGTCCAGAGCGACCTCGACTGCTCATAGCTTTTGAACATAGATACGAGTACCTATGCTCGTCATCGTTTACGGTTCTGGACTCGGTGGACGGCAAGCCATAGCTCAATTACTTCGCCTCTTCATCGTCACTCGGCCAGAGGCCACCGCCCCTTCAATTCAACCTGACAATTCTCTCAGCCCGTCCTGACACTGCCGATGCGGATCCTCTTTCGACTGCTATCTTGAGCACTGGCCACGAATATGACCAAATTCGATACCGATTGGTTCAACTTCTCTACAGCTTAACCATTTGCGGTCTCACTCTGACCTTGAATCTGTGCCGCTCGACAAGTGAAAGTGCCAGTAGCCTCAGGTTGTTATTTCAGCACACGCAGTCCCGTTCCCGCCGTCGTACGACCTTTGAACTTGGACTGCACTCCGCAGGCCATCATTGCGCACTCCGTTCTGCATGACATCTCGGCTGCGATAACTCGACTTCGCCAAATGGCCGACGCTACAGTTCCTGGCAGTATCTACACATAGCATCAACAACCTCCACCATGTCGTGAGTACTCCCTCGCTGTCAAGTGCATAGTGCTTGGCGATCATTCAGAGACTCATCTTGGAGACCGAAGAGGCTCAACGACTGACCTGGTACCTACTCAGCACACCTCCACCTCACAAGAGGCAGAAGTCCACAGCGACCAATGCCTCGTCGAGCGACGGTCCTGCAGACGTGCCTCCGCAGCCTAGAGCAGTGTTCGATACGGCGCCTCCACCATCTGCGCAACCTCCACCACCAAGAACGCAGGTCTCACTTGTTCCGCCACCAAGAACACCGCCTCAGAACTCTCGCAAGCGTCGCGCATCGAACAGTCCCAAGTTCAACACGCTTCCGCCAGGCATGACTCCATCCAGACCCGAGCCTACTTCCAGCCTCTCCATATCGTCGTTACTCAGTGAAGACAGCGGCAAAAAGCGCACTGGCAGGACCAACACGCCATGGACGGCGGCAGAAGAGCAAAGACTTAAGCAGATGCGTGATCTAGGCAACAGCTGGAGCGATATCGCCAAGGTCAACTACGACAACGTTCACCACGTGAGGTCACGGCTGACCACTGTGCAGGCATTCCCTTCGAGGACGGAAGGAAGCGTAAAGAAACATTGGTACAAGGTAACAATTCACGGTACTTTGCTGGAAGATCTCACTCAACCTCGATGTGCAGGACATGCATTACGCGGAGTTCGCCGAAGATGAGGTATGTGCATCAGCCTTCCTGCTTAACAGGCACTAAGAACTTCCAGTCAGTTGCTCTGCGAGACGCTATACGCGAGTACGAAGCAAACAAGTGGAAAGCTATCGGCCAGAAGCTCGGGAAGCCTGCCAAGGTTTGTGCCATTCAGCTACTTTGAGACATTTTCTAACAAAATGAAGGCTTGCGAGCAGTACGCGAAAGAGCATTTCAAGAATATGTGACCTGGTCGTGCACTTACGAAATATAGCGAGGCGTTTTGGCGTTGCTCTTGCACACATCGCTGTGGTTTCTCTAGCGGTCTTTCTCACTATATCCAGGTACATCGTACCAGCATCCAATTGGGAGACCAGACAGCCTGGTCTTGCACAACGGGAGTCAGCATGTCTGCAGTCACGGTCGCTACTCGATAGAATGGCTAAGGCGTTGCTTCGAGCTTGCCATCAGTCCTAGGTTGGCTATCTGTTCTAGCACGCTGCACGTGCAGCGTGAATGTGGCGACCATCATGCCGTTGAGAAAGCACAGTCATTACCTGTAAGAAGAGTCGGCAGCAATCTCTGTATCAGCGACTAGAAGGAAAGTACCACACAGGGATACAGCCGCGAAGCAAATCAAACCACCCAGGTCAACTGATCCATTCTTGCCCAGAACTGCGATAACTAGTACTTCGCCGCCAGTCCCCACAGAACTCGTGATGTCGATCGCACATGCGGTCAACCTTGGTCACGCCTTAAGGCATGAGCAGTCAGGAACGTACGTCGAAAGTTCCACGTTTCGTGCAAATACTCCGTCGTCAGTGTCAGAGCAAGCGGGTGGCCCGGGTTGTCGAGTGTTTTCCATGTAGGTTACACGGCTAGCTTTGCGCCTACGAAATGCCTGCTGTGCGACAACGCAAGATAAGCTACTGCCCAACGCTACTTCGTCAATGCTGGTAGCCTGGGACCCTTGAGAAGGACTCACGACGAACCAGCAAACCAGATCGATGATCGACGCAAAATTGTCAGCTGTGAGGCAGGCCAAGGACTCATCCGTTACATGCCACTCAATATCACAATGAAAGAGTAGCATAGTCACTCAGTATTGTTGGCGCAGCTTGCAATTTAGCAGGGAAGAATTTGTCGAAAAGTCACTCGTGGTTTGCAGATCACTTCGGAATAAGTCAACCAGCAACGAGCGTGCCACGTCGCGGGACAGGACTTCGGACAGCCGGAGCAGGCGACTTTGAAATACCTGCGAAGTGCCTCAGCACCAAGCCTGATGGGCACTTGCATGAACATCAGTTCACCCCGCGGGACCTCAGCCCATGTTGCCTGGAGCATGTACGATCATGGGACGTGTTCCACGTCGGCGGAGAAGGGAATGATAGATATTCGACCGACCCTCGCCTGTGCTTCTTCCTGTGGATGTACCTGTGGCATGCGCCCTCCACTTCCAGGATTTGTGGTCGCATGTTCCTGTACGAGGTCGATGTGTCGCCTTGTCGTCCTACAGCGATCGATGACAGCCTAATTGATGGCTGGACCGAGAGCAGTCTAGGTAATGTCATGACGGAGGACAAGATCCGCACATACCTTCCGAGCACGCCTGAGTTCACGACACTACTGGCTCATTGTGGTGGATGTTCATTTTCTGCGTTTCAGCATGCGTTATCATGAATTCGACACAGCAGTGGTACGAGAAGTTCTTCGTTCAGTAGAGGGTACTCCCTCCCAGGGTCGCTTTCGTGTGGCTCGCCGTGATGAGCACTCATCAGCAGCGTATGTGTCAACCCACATTACTACGGTATCCTGTGGGAAGTACCCGACCTTGGAACCAAGGCGTCCACTTCCTTTCTGGTGCAGATAGGCTGGAACTCTGACATGCTCCTTGCTGCCTTACCTTGGCAAAGGCCGTTCGTACAATGCGGGATCCGCTGGAGTGTCGGATGTCGTTCACCTTCGAACACCCTGAGCATAGTAATTTCACCCTACTCTACTCCTTCGCTGTCATGCCGCATGCTGCCATCACTTGCGCGTTTCCTCACTCCGAGTCGGGTAGCCTTCGCCCTGTCACTGTATGGCAGGTTCCGCGATCACCACAGCTTACCATTGCGAGAAGCTAGCGGATGAAAGTCGCAAGAGAATCGTGAATCCAGAACTGGCTTATCTGCTGCGCCACAACCCTTGCGACCAGGATTTGCAGATCGTGAAGCTTCGATTCACGCCTAAGCCACACGTTTTGGGAGCTCTTTAGCCACAGCTAATGAAAAGCCGCTGACGCAGTGCACTTCTCCACGCGCGATCTGCACTTTTCCTGACCCGCAAATGCACCGTTTCCAAGGTTTCGAGCAATTGCGCGGGCCGTAACGCAGGGACTCTTCTTTCTCGGTGCGTTATCAATGGTACCAAGCCAGCGGAAGTGGATCTTGACCTGGCTTGATAATAGAGCTGCGGTGACAGCATCGGCGGTGCTAGAATGTTTCTGCGCTTCGGGTCCATGTCGGTGAGCACAGGGTGAGGCCCTACTAGAAGGTACTTATCTCTAGCAGACCCAGATTACTCATGAGGAACATTTTTTGACCTCAGAGGAACTTCCTTGACCAGTGCTGTTGGACGTCTCCGAAGGTTGGGGTTGACTTAAGACAACTTCCTACGCATCACCCTACCATTGTGCCGGCGACCGACAAGCATGGCTCGCATACCGATGGGCAAGCGAATGGTCATCACCGTCGCCAATGTACTCTTCCCACCACTAGCAGTCATGTTGATCACTGGACTCAACACCGACGTCCTCATAAATTGTGTTTTGTTCCTCCTCGTGGTGTTCCCCAGCCACATTCACGGCCTCTACATTTCCCTCACTTACTTCAATCGAAAACGCAAGGTGCGAAAGGGCATCTATCCTGGAGACAAGAGGAGTGGCATCTACAGCGAGAAGGTACAAAACGGTGGCGCTACTCGCCGAGAGGTCGCTAAGCTCAAGGCCGAGCGCGACTTTGGAAAGCTGGAGAAGAAGGAAAGCCGACAAAGCCGACCTGGTATTCCCAGGCAGCTCAGCAACAGGATTGATGACTGGGATGATGGACTCAAGGAGGTTATGTCGAGGGAGACCAGCCTTAATCGCCAAAGTACACGGACGTCTGGACGCAGTGCCCGGCAGCCACAGGCAAACGACACCCCAGTATCTCGAAGTCGAAGTCGCAGCAGAAGTTTGACTAGACGACTGTCCAATCGTCTGGAGGACCAAGTCACAAGACGGCTTACAGCCAGAGAAGGTCGACGACGGGAACGAAATGATGATGACAGCTATGGTGACTCGACTGAGGTGCCTGATGGCGTACCTGTACAATCCGTTCGCAGGTGGAGATGAACTTCTCCTCACAGCAAGCTTGGAATACATCCATCCTGGACGATAAAGGTTTAGGCAGGCGACAGAACTCACTAGAGCTTGCCCACAGTATGTATGAGCAGAAATTTGTTCATGATGCCAAGCATCTATTGGTATCAGTTCTCGACCGAGGCATTGATCGGGAAAGCAGCAATTGGTCACTGATCATCCTGTTCGATCGAGTATGGACATCATCATTCTCCGCAGCCGCTATACCTATACAACTCTTCTGCCAGCACGCGCACCCCTAAATTTTGAGTTCACCAGATATCTCCCCTTGAACCTTCAGCCTTGTGCTTCTTGAACCCTTCTACATTGCATTCCTGCCGTTAACAATCCTGCAATCCACATTCCTCACCACACCGACAAGCACGGACGTGCCTTCCAGCCATGACCATCCCTTCCTTCCTTCTGCGTGTTACTACCTCTGTTGTTCCTTCCTGGCACGTTTGTCTCACTCCCAAACATATCCCTACCGCTGCAAACAACCTACCAGTACGAGAAAGCACGCATTCCTTGACGAAGCGAGTACGATATCGACTCTGAAACACCACAAAAACAGCAAACTGATTCGAAAATGCGCAAGGCAATCCTCTTGTCCGTACCGGTCGCTTCGGCTATGATAGACTGGACGCCTGCCAACCTTCATCTTCCCGCGTCCCTGGCATCGTTGTTGCACCCGATCTCGAAGACGGATACCAAAGCTGTCGAGGATGTCGTCAACGCTGCTTGGACCAAATCCCAAATCCTCTCAATCGAAGTCGAACCCGTACCGGCAGACGTCCGTCAGCTGATTGACGTTGACGAACTGCAAACTGAGGCACTGGTTTCGGGGAGTGAGCCTGGTCATGCCGGCAAGATTGAGGATGCAAACGTCGATTTCCTCTCCCGCTTCATACCGCCTCGGCCAACAGTCGCCAAGGGCGATCCGAATGCACCCATCTCGTCGCCTACTTCGGTGCCTGATCTCGAACGACTCATCGCCGGTGAGGTCATTGCAACTGCTGCCACCATCGACGATAGTGGTCTCCTGGCGGACGAGTATCTGCCCGTCACGGACAATGACTCGGGCGATGCCACCACTGCGCCCAACGATGCAGGTGCTGCTTCAGCCAAGGAAGGCACTGCGGACGTACCTGTGGCCCACGACATCGCCAGCCAGCTGAAAGAAGAAATTCAGACGCAACGTCAGCAGACGTCATACTCCGCTGGCTTCGCGGACTGCTTCCACAGCACACTGCAATACTTCTATCGACCTGGCTCACAAGACGTCCACGCAGAGACAAACGACAATCTGACTAATCACAACGGTCCCTCCACCCTCCACTCCTTCCGAAAACTTGTTGTTCCTGATTCGCACTTCCAGTGGATCGTCTTTGGCACCAGCTTCACAGTCACGCTGCTCTTACTCTTCCTTCGAGCGCTCATTATTCGTCAGCGCAACCAGCGCAAGTGTCACAATGCAGCGACGACAGATCTGGAGTGGTCCAAGCTGACTATCGCCGGGACCGAGGTGGGCCATGTGAAGAGGAAGACATTACGGCGCGGGGAGAGCGTGTGGGTCTTGGTTAAGGACTCGGTGGACGGCCAGGAGAGGATGGAGAAGGTCTGCTTGGAAGACAGCGTCGGTGTTCGAGGAAGGGAGGTTTGGAGTGACGCTCACTGACGAGGCTATATCTTGCGTTGCTGACAGTGGGACTTTGTTTGACAGTGTCGAGCTCAATCTCATTCCCGTGCTAGGGCCGAATTTAAAGGCTGTGATTCAACGGGCGTTCGGGAGAGGCGTCGGGAAACCTGGTACAGCTGAAGCAGATATGAGTACACCAGGAGCACTCCATGGCAGCGGAAGCGGTTGGGACGGCCGGGCCATTGTGCACGGATGATCGGGCAGAAGGCTGACAAGCCTTCGGCGTTAATGATCGTTCAGGTGATCCTGCCGCCTGTCAATGCGCAATGGGTCCAAGGAAAGCAGCAACGAAATCGCATATACGTACATCTTCAAAAAAGGTGTTTCTGTGCGATGTACGTACTGATAAAGCGCTATGCTCATAAGAACCTGAGGCTGCTCAAGTCCACTCATGCCCTATCGTCCTCGCCTCTAAGCCGCCGCTCAGGCTTCTCCGCCTTTGCCATACCCGGTGGTGCGAAGTTCTTGCCTTGAAAATGCAACCGATAATGCTCCTCTTCTTCCTCCTTGAGCCCATATCGGTTCGGGTCCCGCCTCGCCAAGAAATGCCGTACTCTTTCATCCGCTGCAGCTCCCAACAACGGCACCACTGGCTCCGGCGTTCCATGTGATCCCTCGGAATCAAAGTATGTTGCATTCTCGACCTTCCGATCATTCATGAATTTGTGTGTCTGCGCAGTGAATGCTCGAGCACGTTCCTCTACGCCGTCTGCTGAGGAGCTTACGTGCGTGGCCTGGAGAACGCCGGAGATGACTGCGACGACGATTACAAGCGAGGCGAAGGCATTGTGGTTGAAATAGACCCCTTCGGAAGGGCCGGGGCCGTGGCCGTACGCAGGGTGGCCTGTTTGTTTGTACCAGCGTTCCCAGTCTTCCCAGGTGGCATTGGCATAGGGAGACTCGTTGGCGGCGTAGTCATAACCTCTGGCGTAGGTCGTTGTCACAGTCTTGCTGCCCCATCCTGCGCCAGTCATGTCGAATGCGTGTCGCTTGGCTGGGTCCGAGAGAATTTCGTGGGCTTGGACTACGAGGCGGTACCGGTCAAGGCGTTCGACGCGGGTGAGTGTGTGGATAGGCTGGTCGGCAGGGGTGGAGTTGTGCCGGTCGGGATGGTAGATCTTGACGAGTTCGTAAAACTTGTGTTTGGAGTATGCGGCGCCTTTCTCGAGTTCGAGGATGTCGTAGGGTGAGGGCGTGGTGGGAGACTGCTGGCTGGTGGATTGGGAGGGACGGTCGTAGCATGGCCAGTTCATGTTGTCCCGGAAGTCGTAGGACTTGCGAGAGGAGTCCCTGACTGTGGCATACCGGCGTTCTTGTGTGCCAGTGCCGGTGTTCCGTCTCTTACTGGGTCTTGCTCGGGGAATCGGCAAGACTGTGGGGGAAGTGCTCGTGGTATAGGTCGAGCAGAAGCAGCATTGGAAGCCGCCATACGCTCCGGAGAGCGCTTGCCTCTTCAACAGCATGGCGTGTGTTCCAGGTTTCTAGGATGCCCTCCAGGGGAACGTGTAGCGGACAGCATCTTTGCTTTGTGCACTTGGTCGTATGACGATGGGGTGATTGGGGAAACTCAGTATTCAACGCTCGTGGTGCACCGCCTGCGCCGTAATGCCTCGGCTTGTTTGCCTCGTGTTGATCAAAGGTTGCCTTGCTCGAGCATTTAATTCCGACTCTGGAAGACCAACACAGCAATGAAGCACAGTCTCGAAGACAACTTCTGTGGCTCATGTAATCACTAATTGTATACGATCGCTGAGCTCATGAGGCTCTGCTCGATTCAGGAGCTTGACGTTCCTCATTTGCCTATCGCATCTGATGGTCGGCTTAGACTGTTTACGGCAATCAAACGCGTGCGACTGGCGCGGGCGCTCCAGTAAATGATTTCGACTTCGACGACTCGGATTGCTGACTACTGCCAGGGCGGAATCTGTGGCATGTTGAACGTAAGCGCACCAAGAAGCACTGGCGAGGCGGAGAGCTAGAGAAGAGTGGAGAGCGGTCCAGATCGCGTGCCTGCCTGCCGAGCCTGATTCGCTTCTTGGAGTCCTATTTCGGAAACCGTTCCCTTGGACTCATGTGATTCTTGGCACATTGAAGTCGTGAATACATATCTGAAGGAGGGAAGGTCATCGTTCTTATTGATGCTGTCTGCAATCTCACAATTCTTCCCACTTCGCGTCTTGCGCAAAGTCACCACTAACCACAGCTGAGAGTATACGATGGTTGCCTACGCAAGCGGCGACTGCGAGGGACCTCCACCGTGGATGAGGGGCGAAGTAGACGTGTATAAAACGGGTGGGTAAGCCAGAGAGTTTCTGTATGATGTCGACAACAATCGAGGTCGAACACCATGACTGTGATTCTAGCAACTTTTACGCCCACCAAAGGCAAAGAGGATGAGGTCGAGAACATGTTGCTGAGATTGGTCAAGAAAGTCCGCGACAAAGAGCCAAGGATCGAAATCTTCAAACCCTACAAAGCCGTCCGGCACGCAGACGGGTGTCCCGAGTTCTGTGTGTACCAAAGGTAAATCAGATCAGTCACCGTGTAAACTCGCGCTGATGATCCAGATACCCAGATGAGCAGACTCTGGATCAGCATCGCCACAGCGAGCATTACAAATCACTGATCGAGGAGGCAATTTCGAAGGGACATCTCACGACAAGTCCGCACTACCGCCGGGTGGGCTCCAATACCGAAAGTATCGTGAATGACATGTCGTTTTGGCGAAACCTTGGGTATGATGATTGGACGTACCTTTACGGAAGTCTTGAAGAGCAGAAGTCGCGCTGAGTGCTGGCTATTAGGCTCGGAGTCCTATCGCTCGAAGGTTGGTTCTCGAGTCTGCCAGGAATGGCGGGACCCTTAGGTCGTTCAGAGCCGCATGCGACTGTCTGATAGGACCAGTTGGCGGCCGATATCTTGACGAGTATACCAAGTGTGCTTGTGCGTCAATCAAAGCTCAGCGACTTCAGCGAGGATCCGCTTCCTGAGATCAGCTGGGATGGTCCCTTCGCCGCCGCTGTCCACCCAGTCAACCACAATCTCGTACGCTTTTATGACAGCCTCTTCATCGACCCTGATTCCACCTTCGGTCATGATCTTTACGCATTGTGAGACTCGGGCGAACGCGTTTCGTGTGTCCACGTTGATCTCGTCGTTTTGACTGGAGTAGATCTCTTTGCCAACAGCATCGTCGAGATTGGAGATGCTGATGCCGCCAGCCTTGCTATCGTCCTCTTGCTCGACATGTTTGCTGATCCAGATGTAGCCGTTCACGCCCAGTATGACGTCCACTTGTGATGGCATAGATCCTGCCACACTGCCGCTGAGAGTGAAGACCTGTCTCCTGCTTCTGATAATCCCACCTCCGCCTCCAGTCCCATTGACAGACAAAAAGATGCCGTTCCGTAGCTTGCCATACTTCAAGCTTCTGGTGTGCAAAGTAGCCACGCCGTCGGCATTACCGATGCTTTGTACTTCCGCAACCAACAAATCTCCTTCCTGGAAGTATTCGCGCATTTGCAACTCGTCCGCTGTTGTTCGTCGTCTGAGGACGCCTCCTGGAAGATTGATGCTGCTCAAAGGCAAGTTGGCGTAGAGAGGCGCGGCTATGTCGACCTTCCATCTGGATTGACCAACTTCTATTATTCGGCCAACAACCAAATCACCGATTTCGGGAGTGTAGCGTGCTCGTGAAGGCGACACAGAGAGCAGTCTGTTTGTAACTATCAAGTTTCCCGCAACAGAAGCTATTATTTTCGACGACGCTGTGGATGGCTTGAATGTGCCATGTCCAGGCATGAATTGAGAGTCGCTGGTGATGGTGTCGCCCGGAATCACGAAATTCGGCATCACAGCCCTTGGCGTTGCTGGTGAGCCTTCGGACATATCTTCGTCTCCATCGTCATCATAACGTTCTGCACCTGCCTTGTTGACGATCTCTTCCTCCGAGTACGCTGGGGGATTTATGATCAGAGGCATCCTGCTAGAGTGTGGAAGTACAACGACGGTCAAGTCCACCGCCTTCCCTCGAACTGGTCAGCAAACAGACCCTGCCTTTGCGTATCCCAGGCCTGAAAGGGAAGAAGTGTGCTTGGCCCTGCCCGCCTTGATGCTTTGTCGTAATGTCTTTTGCAATGGATATTACCGAAACCTGACGACGATGATCTGCTTGATTGAGGGAACATTTCGATATTGCAGCCTTCCACGTGATCGTATGTAAAAGCGCGAGCCCCGTTTCGAAGTCTAACTTCGGCTTAGCTTGATCGAAAACTTGGCGGCTTGGCGCCCACCTGAATTCCTGCACAACCTCAATCTCGATCCGCAGTTTTACGACTGTCGACACGGTCCATCACCTCTCCTTCAAAGACCTACGCACAAACCCAGGTCAAAATGGGTATCGATCTCGACCGCCATCACGTCAAGGACAGCCATCGCAAGGCTCCCAAGAGCGACAATGTCTACCTCAAGCTCTTGGTGAAGCTGTACCGATTCCTTGCCCGTATGTATCCTGCAGAATGGACTTGACTTGCGACTAATAGATGAGCAGGTCGCACAGATGCCAACTTCAACAAAGTAGTCCTTCGCCGACTGTTCATGTCAAGAATCAACCGACCTCCCGTTTCGATTTCCAGAATTGTCGCAAAGACCGGCACCGAGACTGCTCAAAAGGCCTACAAGGGTCAGACTGTCGCTATTGTCGGCACTGTCACCGATGACAACCGTCTTCTGACAGTCCCCAAGCTGTCTGTCGCTGCCCTCCGCTTCACTGCGTCTGCTCGCGCTCGCATCGAGGCTGCAGGCGGTGAGTGCTTGACCTTCGATCAACTCGCCCTCCAGCACCCCACTGGTAGCAACGTCGTCCTCCTCCGTGGCCCCAAGAACGCCCGGGAGGCTGTCAAGCACTTCGGCATGGGTCCCCACAAGGGCAAGAAGCCATACATCGAGAGCAAGGGTCGCAAGTTCGAGCGTGGTCGTGGTCGCAGACGATCCAAGGGTTTCAAGGTGTAAAGAGCGGAAGCGAAGAGCATCAAAGTGGGGTGCAAAATCACACACAACGCGAGCTGAAGTCTTCACTTCTATGCTCGAGCGAGCGGATATTGCGGTCTCTCGTCGGCATTGCAGATGCTTTGGCATCGCTACACCCCCCGACCAGGCACGCGCAAGCTGCAAGATACCATACAGATGGTCGTCGAAATGGTCTGAACGACCTGGCTGTCTAGCAATGAAAAAGCACGATTCAAACACATCTGCAAGTTGGTCCCTTGTGGACCAGCGCCAGGTCTCTTTCCAGAGCCATGAGCATTTGTTGTCCCTTCTCCGCCTTGAAGTCTGACTTCAGGTGTCGAGAGTTCGATCTCGCCAGTGTGCAGTTGTTGGCGAGAGCCGAGCAGTACCTATACCCCGTGATCTGCGTGTACTCACACCCCAGCAGGATCCCGCACCGATAGAGAAGTCTTGGCATTTCGTGTAGAAATTTTGCCTCGTGTGACTCGAAAATCCGCCCTTCGCCTTGTTGCCTCGCTCATTTGTCACCACTGAACGCCAGACTTTTAGCAGTAGGAATTAGATGCGAACTACCAATATGTGACGATCTGATTATTCGCAACCATTTTGGCTTCTCCCATCCTGTGTTCAAATATTCCTTTCTGTCATGTCACTCACTGAATCGACACCAGAAGCAGCCGCGAAAGCGGCGGCATACTCAGCCCGCAATCTCGCCGTCCTCTCTGTAGACGCACGGAATGATGCCCTTACCACAGTATACGATGCTCTCAAGGCCGACAAACAAGCCATTCTGGACGCCAATGCGCGAGACATGGCCCTCGCAAAGCAAGCATCTCAGGACGGCAAACTCAGTTCTAGTCTGATCAAGCGGCTAGATCTTGGACGCCCAGGCAAGTTCGAAGATATGCTACAGGGCATTCTAGATGTACGGAAGTTGCCAGATCCAATCGGCAAGATAGATCTACGCACAAAACTGGACGAAGGTCTAGAAATGACAAGAGTATCCTGCCCGATCGGCGTACTGCTCATCATATTCGAAGCCCGACCAGAAGTCATCGCCAACATCGCCGCCCTTGCAATCAAATCCGGCAACGCCGCCATCTTGAAAGGCGGCAAGGAATCTACAGAGTCATTTCAGACTATCTCAAGCATCATATCGAAAGCTCTCGACTCAACACAAGTCCCCAATGCAGCCATTCAGCTGGTCAAGACTCGCGACGTGATCGACCAGCTGCTCGACCAGGACAGGTATATCGACCTCGTCATTCCTCGTGGTGGCAACGAGCTCGTTAGATACGTCAAGTCACATACCAAGATCCCAGTGCTGGGCCATGCCGACGGACTCTGCAGCATCTACATCCATGATGACGCGGACAAGGACATCGCTGTCAAGGTCGTGGTTGACTCGAAATGCGATTACGCAGCAGCTTGCAACAGCACTGAGACACTCCTTGTACACGAAAAAGCGCTCAAGAGCGTCTTCCCATCTGTAGCACAAGCACTCCTCGACAAAGGCGTAACGCTGAAATGCGACGCGCCATCGAAAGCCGCCATTGCCAATCTTACAAGCAACAGCGGAGGCTCAATCCAAGACGCAACCGAAGAGGACTACAATACCGAGTTTCTCGACTTCACTCTCGCCGTCAAAACCGTCCCATCAACTCCCACACCCACCACAAACGGCCACACCACCGCCACAAGCCACGCCAGTGAGGACACTGCCCTCGACCTGGCGATAGCGCACATCAACGCCCACTCCTCCAAACACACCGACTCCATCATCACCACCTCCTCCACCGCCGCCGAGAAATTCATGTCAGCAGTCGACTCCGCTGGCGTGTACTGGAACGCGAGCACACGGTTCGCTGATGGGATGCGGTATGGATTTGGGACGGAGGTGGGGATTTCGACGAACAAGATACATAGTCGTGGGCCGGTGGGGTTAGAAGGCTTGACGATTTACAAGTATAAGATTCGGGGGAGTGGGCAGGTGGCGGGGGAGTATGGGGAGGGGGAGCGGAAGAGGAGGTTTCTGCATGAGCGGTTGGATGCCGTAGGGGCTAGAAAGGCGGTTGGGTCGTGGGTGTGAAAAGGCCTGGGGATTACCTCACTTCGGTCTGAGATATCATAATGAGCCACGAACAAGACAACTTCGCCAAAGTGAATATACGCTAGGCAGCAGTCTGAATCTGAATCATGTAGCAAACAGTGAATGCTTTTGGCCGACTCATTGACTCTGTTGAAGTAGTATAAGTAGGTGTGTTGCCCTCGACTTTCTCTGCTTTTTCTTTCTTCACCGTTCAGTGGCAGACCCCGGATTGATCGATTGCCATGACAAGTTGGCATCTGCTGCTGCTTGATGGGGCGAGCTTACATCAAGCCTAGCACCATCTACAAGGGCGTCGCATCGCTACCCAACGACTTGACCGTCACGAGTCCGCATGCGTACTGGGAAAGACAAGCGCAGATACACATGGCAAGCATTTGGCGTATAGTTCAATATGGACACTTTTGGGTCCAGCTCAACTACCCAAATGTTGCGCCTCAGCTATGCACACGAAATGCTAAATCTCTGGTATTCAATGACGACCACGATTCGGAGCACGTCACCACTTGCTAGCTTCATATCCATCTCTTTCCTTTTCACAGGAGCTCGACCACCTCACAGCATCGGCTTAATGTTCTCAGCGACCTTGAAGGGCGCCTCTGTCTTGCTCTTAATCTCGTCAACAGTCACACCATCAGCAAGCTCGATCAATGTCAGACCATCGGTAAAGTCAACGTCAAACACGCACTTTTGAGAATATCGTCAGTCTGAAGTCAAGCACAGGAAAGGGACAATCAACTCACCAGCTCGGTAATAATCCGACTCACACACTGCTTCCCCGTCAACGGGAAATCGCACTGCTTCAAGATCTTCGCACCGCCTTTCTTATCTGTATGCTCCAGCAGCGCCACCACCTTGGTCTTCTCCGGGTTGCTCACTAGATCCATCGCGCCACCAAAGCCCTTCACTTTTCCTGGCAACATCCAGTTCGCCAAATCGCCCTTGGCACTCACTTGCATCGCACCCAGCATAGTGAGATCAATTCTTCCGGCACGGATCATGCCGAAGGATTCTTCCGACCCGAACGTCGCCGCACCGGGGAGTAGTGTGACGGTTTCCTTACCCGCGTTGATGAGGTCTGCATCCTCCTCGCCCTTCAGTGGGTAGGGACCGAGACCCAAGATGCCGTTCTCGGACTGTAGGGTCACAGACACAGAGCCATCGAGGAAGGAAGGCGCCAGCATGGGCATACCAATGCCAAGGTTGGCGTACATGCCGTTTTTGAACTCCTTGGCCGCGCGCCGTACGATGCGTTCGCGCTTCGAGGCTGTGTCGCCCTTGCCAAGAGCGGCTTTGTCGACATCGGCGCCCTCCGCAGGCCGATTGGTGTACTTCTCGATCCCCTTCTCAGCAGTCGACTGAATGACCTTCTTGACATAGATGCCCGGCACGTGGACTGCTTCCGGCGCGATCTCGCCTGGCTCGACGATATGCTCGGCCTCCACGATCGTAACTTTCGCGTTGCGCGCCATGGCACCGTTGAAGTTCTGTGCGGTCAGGCGGAACTGCACGTTGCCCAACTTGTCGGCCTTGTATGCCTTGACGAAGGCGTAGTCGCCCTGGATGGCCTCCTCCATGACATATGACTTCCCATTGAAGACCTTTACGTCCCGAGGCTTGCCGTATGCGGCGATGCTGCCGTCAGGCTTGTGCTTCAGGGGAATCTCGCCGGTTTGCACTACAGTGCCGAAGGCTGCGGGCGTGTAGAATGCTGGGATACCCTTGCCACCAGCCGCACAGCGCTCAGCGAGGGTGCCTTGGGGCGTGAGCTCGAGCTCGACTTCGCCGGTCAGGTAGGCCTGTTCCAGGACCTTGTTCTCGCCCACGTACGAAGCTACCATGCGCTTGATCTGTTTCGTGTCTAGCAGCTTGCCGAGTCCATTGCCGGGGACACCGGCGTTGTTTGAGACGGCGGTGAGGCCAGTGATGTGTGTGTTCTTGCTGACCTCGTTGATCAGGGTGTCTGGCACGCCGCAAAGACCGAAGCCGCCGCAGAGGACAGTGCTGTCGGACTGCATATCGGCGATGGCTTCGGAAGCGGACCCGACCACTTTGTTGATTTCTCGTTGGGTCAGGGATGTCGAAAATGCTCGCACGAGAGGGTTACATGACGGTGCGTTTCGTGATGTGAGGTGTCGAGCTGTGAGGAGGGCGGTTTGCGCCAGTCGTTGTGAAGGCATGTTGCTGGCTGTGCGGCTTGACCAGCCGGTATGAAGAGATCGTGGGCAGTGCCTAGGCTGTCGAGACTGTGTCGGCGAGGTCTTCTCTTTCAGGAGAGGAGTAGCCCAGTCGATCTCAGTGCGCGCGTACCTAGCAGCTCGATAGCTCTCGGAGCAACAACAACGCTTGGATATACCGACGAAATTGCTCCGGTCGCGACAGCGTGCTTTATATTGTCGGGTGTTTTTGGAGAAGAAGAAGACTGTTGCCGAAGACCGAGTCGTCTTCCGGGATCCTTTACAGTGTAGAGCTCTTGTGTCGTAGAATGAGAATTGCGGCTCGGAAATTGATGTCCTGTGCAACTTAAGCCCTCTGGAGGTCTTCACCGAGAGCAACGATGCTTTTATGCTCGAGCTGTCACTTTTCCGAGCGCAAAATAGCACCTTATGAAGGTGGAAGGTGCTGTGGGGATGTGGGGATGCAACCTGAAATATCCGTTGTTGGTGTTCGGATAGTGCACCCATGCAGGAACAGCGCCAGGGGAATTGGAACGCGAGAGCGAGGTCCAAGCGCCGGAAGAGTTCTTTCCCAAGTTGACCATATTCGTCTTGCATTTTTTGAGCAGGAGGCATCAGTTGAAGACGAAAGCAAAGGCATGGATCCAATTTCAAGTTCAACTGGGTTATTGAAATGCTTCAGTGAGCATGCTATGGGTATAAAGTGCAACCTTAGGCAGGTTGTCTGCCGGAACGCCAACGCTCAACCAATCTGTTCACACATATCATAGTACAATCATTTTTCATCAGAACTGTCGCTGTCATCGACATCCATACTCGAAGCACGATCAGGCACCTCGTTGCCTCCTCGTGACGATCCAAATCTGCTCCCGCCAACGGTTGCCGCCAAACTGCCTTCGATTCTTCTGGTTGGCGCTTGATTGAGCAGAAACTCGCGTTCCTGGGCCGCGACTCGGTCTGGGTCAGCCGCTCTAGCCATCTCGAGCATATCAACGGAAGACATGTCGTCTGAATCGTCGTCCGACTCCGTTGACCACTGGTTCAGGAAAGCTGGCGGTGGTGCGTTGATTTCTGCTGCTTCTGAGCTCGTCTCGTCCGAGTCAGACATGTCCAGCATGTCGGGATCATCTGAAGAGCTGCTCGCGGTGAAGAAGACGTAACTGGGCGGCGGCAATTTCGACGGCTGTAGGTCGTACTTGTCGCAATCGTCGACCTCGTAAACGTACCTCTTTCTCTTTCGAGAACCAGTGAATGGCACCTTGTAAGCCAGCGTCGGCCGCTGAGACCCTGCCACCCTACGCAGGATCTTCACATCGAGCGCAAAGTTGTCCTCCGGGACCACACCACCGATGCCGCATACCACAAATTCGTGCGGCAGCGTCTCAATCTCGCCACCTGACCTCACTGGCGGCATGTCGCAGTGCAAATCCTGCTCGTTTGGGCCAGGTTGATATGCCTTCGGTGCGAACTGTGGTGTGAAATAGCAGGCATCGTGATGGCGAAGTGGAGATTCGTCAAGTGGGTCGGGCATCAAGCCCAAGGTATCCCATGGCAGAGCCTTCCGTTGTGCGACCCAATTCGTTGGGGCATGGTCTGCACTGAGATCCGCACAGAAGTAAGGATTCTGGTAGAAGGTGATCATGCCATCGTCCGAACCACGTCGATTCAGATTTGACTTGCTCAACGCATGCACCAGACCACTTGAGTCGTGAGAGTTACTATGCGAAGATTCGGAAGACTCCAGGTACGAGATCGCCGGAGAGTACCGTCTTCCTTTGTACACCAGAGGCTTATAGTCAAACGGCGACACCGCTACTTTGCTTCTTGTTGGTTCTGTCAGCATATTGGACGTCGCGGCAGTGGACACCTTGGGCTTCGAAGCGTCGCTGGTATTGAGAGCGCTCGTCTTGTCCTCCGAGGACGGCTCCTCTGAGACGAGATTGTTCGAGGAGCTGTTGGTCTTGGATCTCTTGCTGCTTGTGCCACCAGTGTCGTCGTTGAGCTCCGCCGGGGTAGGGTCATGATATATCATAGCTTGCTCCTCCTCCTTCGAGAACACGGTGGCTCCTGGACCACCAATCCAGCGAACCTTGTGCCCATCCGCAGACAATTGGAATTTGGTGCTCAATTTCCGGATAGCCTGTCGAATGAAGGAAGGGGTAACGTTGATGGTATGGAGCTGCGCCATACTGATAAGGAGATTGAGGTATACCCATCTCGATTCAGAGCCTGACTTATCATGAGGTACAATGACCTGTGGTGACGACATGCCGAGGTGTCGGAGATACTGAATGTTCTCGTCGGCTACCTGTGCACGATGGATATCCAAGTCCAGCGGTCTCGTTGGTCTCTGTTCTGCAGGGGATCCAGGACGGCTTGGGGCAGCGCTGTGGCCTTCCGACTGTGTGCTGAGTTCATAGCCCAGCCTTGGCTTCTTGAGTGGTGGTGAAGGGTTCTCACGTTCGAAGGCATCAAGATTGACCTTTGTGTCCTGTGGCAACATATGGGCCTCTCGCGATCCCTCGACGCCGCGTGGCCGACTCGCAGGATCATCGGCATGAGCTGCGAGGCGTGACACCTCTTGCTGCTGGATTGGCTGACTGTGGTCGCCAGGTGCCGCGACACGACCAGTGAACAGATTTTCTAACCGGCGCACTACCAATGCCATTTTGGCTCTTTTGGACATTGTAGGTGAGGGCTTCGGCAGGAGAGTGTCAGGTATGTCATGCAGATAGTTCTGTATCTTCGTAGTTCTCGCTCGCTTAGACGTCTTGGGTTCAGGTTGTCCGCTCAAAACATGTGGCGCGGTGTTCATGCCCGAAGTGGAATTGGAGGCGTAGCCAGAGTCCGTAGGTAGTAATGTGGACTTGGCCCGGGACTGATGGACAGGGACAGACGAAGACTCCGCACTAGAGCTCTGCATGGCACCGGATCCGGATCATGAGTAGCTGAGGAGCTGGGGTTGGAAGTGGCATGGAGGCTTGTCGCAAAATTCCGCAGTAGCGACTCAAGCTCACGCTTCTTGCTCACACTGAGGCCGTGGACTCTAAGGTCGAAAAGGCGGTCTTGTGCCCGAGCGTCCGACGACGACGAGCTTGGTAGAGAACGTGTTGTCTTGAGTAACATCTTCAGTCTTTTGTTCTCGACAGTGAGGTCGTCGATGACACCGCGGAGGTCTTCGTTCTCGCTGTCATCGCGATGTTGCTCACCACCAAACATTTCATCGTCGCTCCCTGATGACACGAAGTTATTGGGATAGTACTGTCGCTGGTTACCCAGGAAGAATGGAGGGTCGCCTGTTCGGAAAGCGTTAGCGACCACATTTTCAGCCGTACAGGCACAAGACTTACCATCCGTGGAGGGAGACTCTCTTTGGCCTTGCGGGCCGTGCTTGTTGGCTTTGTCGAACCACTTGCCTGCGCTTTCATCACTTCCATTTGAGTCGCGAGTCTCCTCGTTGGGTATGCGATTGTGCTGCTTCGAGGGGTCCTGGGCCTGGGTACCAGTAGCAGCCTCGAGCGCAAGCTCTTGCTTCTTGTGCGCAGGCAAGGATGTGGACTCGGTTGGCGGAGTACGTCTGGTCGCCTTTCTACTCTGCGGTGGATGGGCCACCTTACGTGACTTGGTTGAGGGTTTGGTGGTGTTCATGTCTGGACATGTCGCCAAGGACTGAACTCGTTCAGCGGCCACGACTGATGCGAACTCGAGTAGAAGTTGTGAGGCACGCTTAGATCTGACCGAACGAACTGCTTCAACGTGGCACTGAAGACCTGAAGTTGGCTGATGTAAGGTATATCCCGGAACTTTGGAACAAGCTGGACTGGGTGGTCAATTGTGTGGTTTTGCTACGCTGCGACGTCAGGAACTGTGAGATTGCGCTGTATGCAATATCTGGGATGATGGATAGCAAGAACTGCAGTGTTAGTCAAAGTAAGACGTGTAGAGTCTTCGAGGCTTGAGGACGGCGAGGAGGAGGCCCGTCACCCATCGAGCAGTGGATGGCCATCGTCGAGGCCATCAGAGGCACCCAGGCCCAGTACATTGCCAACGATCAGTATGGGAGTCAGTGATCGATTTGCAGCCGTTCAAAACTTCCACGAGTATCGAGGTCAACGGTGATGGATCGTGGTTCATCGAAGTCACGTGGTGGGGACCCTGAATGCTGCCAGTCTCACAGACAGACAGATCCGGAACGTTCCAGACCACGTCCACCCGTATTTCTTGGTCATTCTGTCATTCTTTGCCGCATCGGCGATCCAACACGCCGGAATGTTTCTGATTGCTGGTGATTGGTGGGGTGGGCCCTCAGGCACTATGTCACGGCGGAAGAACAATTGCACAGCTTGTTCGATGCAGCCGCAAAACCTCAGATTGTTTACTGCTGTAGCTAAGGCTGCTCATCTTGTATAGTGGTGGCCGTCGGTGGATTCTGGTTCTTCATCTCGATGAATCGGAAATGATACAAATAACTATGTGGTAGGCCCCGCCTATCGATGCTCTCTCCGTCATGCGTTCATGAACCCTTATTGAACATCGGAGGGTGGCACATTTTGCCTTGCACACACAAAGGAGAATCGTCGATGTAATCGCATCGTCTGACCTTGGCATCATCATTGCGCCGCACCACCGTAGTGGGTGTGAGACAATCAGATTGTGGCGATGTCACGGTACTTCAAACCGCAATGAGCAACCGGCGACAGAAGCAACGACGAGTCGTATCTCTTGGATTCAAGTTTGCTCAAAGTCGAGGTAAGGCAACCTCCTGGTCTTCTGAGCTTCAAAGTGGCCGGAAGGTCTGCGTCGAGAATTCGAGAGATACACGACCTGCGCACAATTGTATATACCACAAAGGCGTCCTGGGCGGGAGTGACTGCTGTTGTCTGTCCTTGACACGCGAGTTTCTCGAGGACGGATCTATCGAGGTGTTCAGAGCCGGAATATGTTGCTCTGTGCGGAGTCTGTCCTGCTTCGTCCGTATGGCGTAGTCAGTCTGAAGTCATCCGTCGATGTACCAGTCCATAGCTAACGTTATGCATCGATCGAGACCATTCAGAGACAGAGTGCTCTGGCGCGTGGCTCACTCGCCTCACTCGCCTCACCTTTGGACTTGACGCGACCGTCCTAGAACATATGTGAGTCCAGTCGAACAATACCCTACCGGGTGAAATCGGTACCTGTGGCAGTGCGCGATGACTGCACATTTCTCGAATGAATGATGAAGCGGGATCAAGGGCTTGCGAGCCCTGTCAATATCCATGACACTGTGAGAGGTTTTGGAATTCCCACACTATTCCGGCAGGGATTTGCTCATTACGGATGCACAACCACCTATCTTAACGCGCGTCGGCTTGACACCGCTGTAGTCATTGAACAGTTGCTCGAAACATCAGCACTCCTCCAGCGAACCAAATACATCTCGCTACATGCTTTGGTCGGCATCAAGCACGTTAGTTTCGACTTGAGGGTCAACAATGGCAGAAGCAGGAATACTGGTGAGGCATGGTGGCCGTCAAGCAGTTCCTCGGATCGACTAGGTGTCTGGTCTTGACTGACCTTTGCGACCCCGAGGACCTGCAGAAGAGCATGAATGGCAACATAGCAGAAAATCTGCTGCGGGAGCTTCCACGACCTACAAGGTCGTTGACGTGAGTCCAGCTTCCCCTGCCAGCTGTGCTTCCAACCCTTGACCGCCAGCGGAACCAAATCATCGATTTTGGGACATGGCATAACACTGCGTCTTGATACCTTCGGCGACCGGCCTCTTGTAGCGTGCAATGTGTTGTGCTTGCTCTATATGTAAGCAAGGATCCAATACCGAATTATTGAGACTGGTAGTGACGAATCTAAAAGGTGGTCGAAGTCTGGTCGATGGCTCGACCTGCCCAGAAAGTTACACCCGCGGCTCGCCACGATCTCTAAGCCAAGCACTGAGGCAAAGCTTGTGGAGAGCTTAGAATTTTAGCTCGATCTCGCCTTCGTGACCCAATCAACACCACCTAACGTGCATGATTTGCAATGCCACTTCCACGACGCTGACAGGCTATCGTGCCCTTATCGGTAAGTTTGCAAGCTTTAGCTTGATCTACTATGCCTGGTACTGCCGTGTGTCCGTGGGGTTACTGTCGCAGCTGATGAATTTTCCGCGAGTGAACGCCGTCGGATGTAGCTACCATGGTATCCTTCGAAAGAACATATTCCCCGCTCGTGCCACGTCCTGTCTCTCGCAGGTATCTCGTGTATCACGACCATGTCTGCACCGAACGCTGGTATTAACGCTGCGGCGGCATCTGCCGCATCTGAAGATGCCCATCGTGGGTCCATCGCATCGCTGAAGGGGCAGGACCCCGAACAGCCGCTGTCCTCTGGTGAGGAAGAGGGAGACCATCCTACGGCGCCAGATCAGCATGATCCCAACTTTGTCGCCGACAAGAAGGAAATTTGGTCTTACTACAGCTACTACGTCGGCAACAATGGCCTGAGCATGTTCAATTTCGCGCCCACAGCTTATCAGGACCTGCTATATCTGGCAGCAGGTGATAGCGAAATCCTGCGCTTCCTTGGGCAGGACCGAACCATCAACTCGATTGTCCTGCTCTCCAACGGCATTAGTTTCGCTATTCAGGTCGTGCTATTTCTTGTGCTGGGCTCACTAGCCGACTATGGCTCGTGGCGGCCCTATATCTTGATCTTCTGGTCGATTGTCGCCTTCGCTCTTGGCTTCGGCTGGCTTGGTGTGCACCGCGAAGATCTTTGGCCCGTCGGAACTGGTATGTACATGGTTGGCTTGATTGCATACCAGATGTGCTTCACCTTCTGGTTCGCGGCATTCCCTGGTCTTGCCCGCAATACACCAGAGATGCGCGAGAAGGCGCGAGAGTACGAAGCAGGAAAGATCGACCGCGAGGAGTACGACTTCGAAGACATGATGCAAAGGAATCGCCTATCAAATGTTGCATTCATCATGCAGTCTGCTGTCGAAATTGTCATACTTGCCATCCTGGTGGGCATCCTCAAGTCCATCAATCCGGAAGCTAGCGATGCGAACAATCTATGGTCATTGAGTGTCACTATTGCTTACGCGACTGCAATCTGGGTTGCTTGTGCTATTCCATGGTTCATCTTCGAGAAGCACAGGCCAGGACAGAAAGTGCCCCCGGGCATGAACCTGGTAAGTGTTGGATTCTGGACGCTGTGGAGAGCCGCTATCGCCATTTGGAAACTCAAGCAGAGCTTGATCTACCTGATAGGATTCTTCATTCTGTCCGATTCTCTGAACACCACAGTCACAGTTGTGGCGACACTACAGAATGAAGTCCTCGCTTACGACCCATTGACCATCACCTATCTCTTCATCGTGGGGATTGCAGCACAATTGGTCGGCATCTGGGGTTTCTGGACTGTTCAGAAGCGCTTCAGACGTGAGTAACATTATATCGTCTGTGTTTAGTTGCTGACAATGTCATTAGTCTCGACCAAGAACATGTTCGATGCAGTGATCGTGGGCATAATAATTTTAGATCTCTGGGGAATGATCGGCATCTGGACGCAGACCATAGGCTTCCACCACAAATGGGAGTTCTGGCTGTATCAGGTGTGGTACGGAATTGCGGTGTGCCCATGGTAAGTTTTCCTCCATGTTCTGAGCTAGGGACTTGATGTTGGAAAATGACTGACACTTTGCCAGGTACTCTTATTCACAGACAATGATCTCCGAGGTTACGCCACGGGGCAAAGAGTTTCTGTTCTTCTCCTTGTTTAGCATCATGGGCAAGACCAGCGCCTTCGTTGGCCCTATCGTCTCATCTGCCATCATCGACGCAGACACAACTGCCGACAAAGCCGGCAACAACAGCCTGCCGTTCTACTTCCTCTTCGGGCTGTCAATACTCAGCGGAGCCGTCTTGTTCTTCCTTGTCAATCTCAAGAAGTCTCGAATCGAACAGGAGGCGTTCTTGGAAGAAGAGCGCCTTATCAAAGAGCGCCGAGCCAGCATTGTGTCTGTTCCACCGCAGTCAGCATTCGGTCCGGATACTGGCCATGACATCTCGGAGGTGGAAAGGAAAGAGATCAAGACATAGGTCTGGCGAAGGAACCGAAGGTGTGATCAGACCGAATTAGAAGTGCCAGCGAACAACGAGAACGAAGACATCGCAGCGACAGAAAAGCAGCAATAAGTGTCGACGAATTGCACAGGTTCGAGCACATACTCTTCTATGGTATGCTCCCGATTGTATGTTTCGTCAGAAATTTTACGTGCCTATGCCAGAACCAATGCACTGGACGCACTTTCACTCATGTGCTGGCAGCATTTCCACGAGCGCTTAGTCACTGGTCATTGAACCGAGGGCGAGGGTAAACTTCGGACTTGGCGAGATCTTCTACTTAGCTTGCTCTCCTCCTGCCTCTTGATTCGCCTCCTGCGCCATGACCCTTGAGCATGTATTTCGCGGCGGTCAAGCTCCTGCTGCCTACAAGAGGTTCCGCGCCGCCTTGATGCTGTCCGTCAGTTATGATTCAGTCCTCAAGGTGAGAGGGATCAGCGGCTATGGATCTCGACACGCCACAGAAGATGTTTGTGCGTCCATATCGAAGTGGGGATGAGGAGGCCTTGGTCCATGTAGTCTGTGCGACATCGTCCAGCACACTTACCCGACTGACAAGCACAGTTCCGAGAAACGGCTGATGAAGTGCTCCGCAACGGCGGAGACGAAGCCTGAACATTGCTTCGCACATATGGTGCAAGCCTTACCTAGTACTGAGCCCGGAGACGTGCTTTGTACTTGAGGATGGAACGGGACGAGGAGTCGGCTACATCGTCGGTACTGTCGACACGAGAGCTTTCGCAGAGCAGTGGACGGAGCAGTTCATATCAGTCCTTGAGAAACAAGGCATTCCCAGGCCAGACTCTGACACGAACACGAATTGGAATGAGAACCTGCCAGGTGCACTCGGACTTCTCGCCTACTCCCCGGACCAAGTCCTCCACGACAACTTTCATGAGCTTCTTGGGCAGTATCCATCCCATCTACACATCGACATCTTACCGAGGTATCAGGGCCAGGGAATGGGTGGTGTACTCATGCAGACATTTCTGGAAGCATTGCGCAAGCTGAGCTCCAAAGGCGTGCATCTTGGCATGAATGCTTCCAATGATAGAGCGATGAAATTCTACCAGCGCATGGGCTTCCAAAGATTTGCCGAAGTGATGGACGAGGGCAAGAGCGGGGAGATCGGCCGCGATGGCACAACGATCTACATGGTCGCGTCGCTGTAGGCTCAGCAAGGAGCCTCTTTCAATGTTCCTGGTGTCATTAGCATGAGGCCACTCAATTCAGTGGCGGAAGCTGAATCTAAACGGTACGAGTCGTTGGATGGGCCGTTCGGGTGAACATCGACTTCAGATCACCTGGCTCGCTACTCGCCCCGGTGTACGTCGCTGTGCAAGTCGTTAATCGCAGTCTCGAACTCGACCTTGGGCGACTGGCGGCGCTTTTAGCGAAAATGGCTGAATTTGTTTTCGGCTGTTACCCACATACCTACCTGTTCGGGATACTGTGATCATCTCCATAAATAGTGGATGAGGTTGTCGAGGTTGCGAGGGTACTAGTGGACTCGGATCATGTAAGCACGGCCTCGGAGCAACCGCTACTCATGCAAACTGCGACGGAAAGTGCGACCATAGGTAAGTCATATCTCGCCTCTATGGCAATATGTCAATCGTTCCTGCAAATCGACACTTCGAGCCACTTAACGACGAGCCAATCAGATATCTTCGCATCATTGGGCTGGTGCCTCACACGTTTGCCTCGAAGGTATTGCGATACTCTTCGGAGCTCATGGCATAGCTCCGGGATGGCTTGATTGTGCGTAACATGACTGGCACTGTACAGCGGTCTTATCTATTCAGCTGCTAAAGATGCCGCGTACTCACCTGCAATGTCGCGCCAGCCCTGTGCAGCGCCTAAAAGTTTAGTCTCGTACCGTACCTAAGACCCAGACCACCCTTGTCAATGTGGCATAGGCTTATTGCGAAGAAGCCTTATCCTTGGCTCTGTGGCCCATTTAGCTCAGCTCGTTTCCGGATCTGTAGTAACGAAGGCTACTAGTATGGCTGGCCTGGAATGAAATCATATAGGCGCGACCGTTGGACGCCTGTCACTAAAGAGAGACTTCGTAGCAGGCACCAAAGTATAAGATGTAGAGTCTAGCTGGATGTCAGAACAACATTCGATGATTGCACTCCTTCGGTCTAGAGACGCCTCGCTTTATTACTGAGTGTTTCTATATCGATAGCCATGGTCTTCAAGGGTCGTGAACCGGGACCACTTCCCACAAAGGACATATTGAGCTGGATCTTTGATGAGACGCCTCAAAACGCCGATCGACCGGTTGCCATAGATGCGACCGAAACCAGCCGCAGCCACTCGTTCTCTCAGGCCAAGACTCTGATCCAACGATACATCGCTGGACTAAAGGCCAGGGGCGTCAAGAAAGGTGACTGCGTCTTGCTGCATTCATTCAACGACATCGACTACCCCCTCCTGGCACTTGCGATCATCGGCTCTGGAGCGATCTTCGCAGGTAGCAATCCCACCTATACGGCCTTTGAGCTCGAGCACCACATGAAAGTGACAGCAACAACATGGATCATCCCCGAATCAGAAACGTTGCCAACAGTCCTGAAGGCTGCCAAAACCACAGGCATTCCCAACTCTCACATCATTGTCTTCAACCCGCTCAAATCGCAAAAGTGCCCATCTGGCTTCATCAGCTACAAGTCCCTTCTCAACCACGGCTCCTCATCCTGGGTCCGCTTCGACTCATACGACATCTGTAAAAACACCACGGCAGCCCGATATACCTCAAGTGGAACGTCCGGTTTGCCGAAAGCTTGCATCAACACTCACCTGAATCTCATCGCCCAGCATGAATACAATTTCGCCGAAGCATTCTACAAGCCTCAGTACGACCCAGTCAAGCTCCTGTTTCCCCTCCCATTGTTCCATGCCTCAGTCTCACCACGAGCTCTGACCACGATATGGAAGCGCAACGAGATGTGCTATCTGATGAGGAGATTCGAGCCTGACAGCTATGTCCGTTATATTGAGCGTTTTGGAATCACAGATCTGACCGTGGTTCCACCGATGGCAGTCGCTGTGCTCAATCACGCTGGCGTAAAAGATGGCACTGTCAGCTTGAAGTCGGTAAAGAATGGCATTGCTGGGGCAGCACCACTTACGAGAGAGACTCAGAAGAGGTTCATGGCTCTTCTGGCACCGAACACATCATTCAACCAGATCTGGGGAATGACAGAAACCAATTGCCTCGCGTCGAGATTCGAGTGGGATGAATTTGATGACACAGGCAGCATCGGATGGCTCTGTCCTGGACTAGAAGCCAAGTTGGTCGACTTGGAGACTGGCACAGACCTAGGCGACGCTTGCGATGTACGTGGCGAGATGTGCGTGAGAGGAGAAGGTGTTGTGCCTGGTTATTTCGACCCTGCCTCGGACAAGCCGAACCGAAGAGGATGGGATGAGGATGGTTTTTATCACTCGGGCGATGTCATGTATAAGAGCTCGGAAACTGGGAAATGGTATATCGTCGACAGAGTCAAGGAGTTGATCAAATCTAGGGGGTTCCAGGTCGCGCCGCCGGAGGTTGAGGGCGTCCTCCTTGCGCTCGACGGGGTCCTTGATGCAGCCGTCATTGGCGTGAAGGATGTCGCAGGTGAAAGCGAGGTCTGCAGAGGCTATATTGTTCGACGGCCTGGATCAGAATCAACTTTGACAGAAGAAGTTGTCAACAAATGGGTTAGCGAGAGGCTAGTGAAGTACAAGTGGCTCGAGGGAGGCATCAAATTCGTGGACGCTATTCCGAAAACACCGTCCGGGAAGATCCTAAAGAGGCTCCTGAGAGAAGAGTACGAACGTGAGCAGAGGAAGTCGAAGTTGTAGAGTAGCGTCTCTTCCCATCGTGGTGGAAGCAGGCGCGTTGCACTGCGTGGACGCCAGAGTCGATAGCAGAGGGCTCCATGGGCTGACCCAGTATTGCTTGGACAACACCAGCGGCCTATATGTGGACGTCCAGGGTGCTGTAGCATCGGTATTCAGTATCAAGCATAAAACTGCCCGTCACCAGCACAGCCTCTTCCTTGGACAGAGTAGAGGTCCTTTTGAACTGTGCATCAGCTAGCCTTACGGGATGTGTTCTAAAAGCGCATGTTTCGCTTGCCGTTGCCCGTTGCGGATACTTCAGCCTGTTCGTGTTCAAGGCTTGCGCAGTGTCACCCAGTCCTGGTCATCTAAGAGTCTAGAGTGAGCTGCTGAGTGTGCCCCTGGAGTAGTCCAATGGTCATGCACAACGTCTCGTGTTTGCATAGGCTGCGCGGCTCGTGTGCAAGCACCAGGACTAGGCTCGTAAGATGCGGCATCAGGGAGCTTTGGCGTGACCTCAGAGTGAACACCGGACCTTACCCCAGGTCATGGAAGCTTCAAGAGGGAAGTATTGGTAAGTCAGACGCATAGGATCTGTCTTATAACTGATTAGCGATCAAGCCAAAGCCGCGGCAGCCATGACATGATGGATTGCGGGCCATGGAGGATCGGTCTTGAAGTGCTCGAAGTTTGATTCCTCAGCAACATTTGCTGATTAGCGAACTTCCCCACGCACAGTCAGAATCGCTACCGCACAGCCTCTGCCGCTGCAGAAAGCGGACGAGGCTGCCGGCACCGAATGTCGCCCGTTACCGGACTTCTTCCTCCAGAGCACCCCTCCTGCCATATTGGGCAAGCTCGGTCGAAGACACCGCTGGCTTGCAGTGGTCGCAGATCACCCAGACAGCAGATTTCCGATGGATCGCAAAGCTTGATCAGATCCTTCCTAATGCCGGTATAGCCGTAAAAGGTGTTCACCGCTTGATTCGATCCCGCGCTTCAGTTTTCGTTGTGCAGATGATATTGTCTCGGCATGCTCAACATGAAAACCAGCTCACCGAGAAACGTTCGATAGCAATAACGCCAATATGGCGGACCATCGCCCGGACGGCGACCGACCTCGGCCAGGAGGCGTGCGTAGGAGATGAACCCGAGATGATACGGGTACGATCAACGAAACGTTATTCGGCGTACTTTGAAAGCAATGAGAACTTTGGTGACCTAAATGTACGACAGCTAATGCACGTGCTCTCCTCGATTGGTTGGATGTTCGGCACACAGGGTTTGTCACAGCTGGCGGTTGCAGTAGCTGATTGCCAAGTCACTGCTTACTGGGCTTTGTGAGTCAGGCAGCAACTGCTCCGACAGCTCTTCGGATTTCTACGCCTTACGTCCATCTGATCTCTAAGCAACCACGACAAAACACGAACGCTGGGCGAAGCACGCCTTTATGACAAACTCCGCCCTACTTTCCTTACGCCCATACACAATGGATATGCGGCCACCTACGCGCCCTATCACCGAGGCTCCGAACAAGGTGATCCTAGATGAGTGCATATACATCCCCCTGATCCTCATTCCTGTAAAACCTGCCTTCTCTTTTGCACTCTGCATATTGCACCGCAAGCTCTCCATTTTGTGAAACGACGTGTTCCCAACAAGAACCGGTCGAAATCCGAAACTCGGCACCGCCACTAAAATTCTCGAGAGCCACCACCAATTTTTATATCCATCCACCAGTTCGGGCTTCGTCGCCGACCCGGATCTTGGCGAAATCAAACCCAAAATCTCTGCCAGTCTTGGGACCGACCCAACAGCGAGTACGAAAGGTCCTCGTGGTACTACTTCAACAAGGCAAATTTCTTGAACTTCCATTTCGAAGATTTTAAACTCCACTTGTGACTCGAAATTCGTGCATTGGAACACGCAATTTTCGCTTCCACGTGTTTGATCTCCGATCCAACGGCGGCATAGAGAGTACATATAGACCCTGGCCTTGGCCTCAGGTATCAAACTCAACCACAACATACACCTAGTCACCACCATCATGACATCGAGACCTCAAATATCACCTTTACAGATCGACAACACAATGACCGACCTCTGCACCATCACAAAGTCTCTCTCCCTCGAGGAGACATACACACTCGCCGACCGAGCACGAAGGAAGTCATCCGACAAGCTCGTCCGCGAAGACCTCCGCCTCAAGCTGGGCCACACCAACGTTCTTGATTCATTACTCAAGGACATTGCTCGAAGATCACCTCCACCCTCACCAACACAATCGTGCTCACGCCCTGTATCTTCGCCGATGAAGCGCCAGTCGTCAGGCAACTCAATAACCTGGGCGACGCAAACAGTCACGAAGGTGCACGGCGTAGACGACTATGGTTTCGCATACGAGGATGACGGAGAGGAGGACATGGAAAGTCTGAGTCTGTGCCGGACGAAGTCAAGGAAGCCGGAGCGGTGAATGTCGATTAGACATGAACCGGTATTTGCGGTGGACTTCTTACGACAATGACTTTATGACGACCATTCTTCACGACCTGATATCCTAGCGACAGCGAGCATTCTACGATTTTTTAAAGCGATACCCAGATTGTTTACGGTTTCTACTTAACACATTCGGCATTTCAGCACTTCAGCATTTCATTGGTGGCATTTGCACACCAAAACCGGGCTTCAGATTTCATCCAGCTTATACATTCGGAAGGATCATTGCAGTGGAATCAATATTGCACCGAGAGGCAATCTGCCCGGAGCTTTAGGGGGCATTCGGATTCGAAAAGCAGCTGAGGACAGCATGGAACGCAAGTTGCGAGGGGGGCGAGGCCCCGAGTCTGACTCAGACCGGCTCTGATACGCTCGTATGACCGCCACTCCTTCATACGGAGGACGAACGAGGACATACGGAGGAACAGACTTGGCTATGGGGATGCGACAGAAAGGCATCCCACGATCTCAGCAGATCGACATGACGGATATGGATTCAGATAGTGATCAATACCAGACTGTTGATGATCGGCACATTTTTCCGCTTCGGTGCTCTCCTACTCGTATTGTTCGTGACTTCGTACAAGTTTCGTTCTCGCAGAGAACACCGTACAACACGCAAATTTCAACCTAAACTCTATGTTGCCGCGGGCCGCTCAGTCCCATGAGCGATACTTGCCTCATCATGACATTTTGCCTCGCTGGTTGCCCGCCGGTACCGAGGCTGAGATCACCAGGGACGGGCAATCTGCCCCAGATTGATGGCATAAGCATACATATGATCTGCCAGGCGCGCTGCTTAGTGCATGGGTACCTAGGTAGGCAATAGCTTGTGATGCCGCCTTCCTGTAAGCATATTTTACATTTTATAGAGAACGCCATTGCGCACGCAGCGATGCTTTACGCCGCCTGCCCTACAGCCGCGCTATCTGCTCACAGGGATCAACGTGACACGAGGTACGCACACGGAACAAAGCTGGCAAGTCCGGCATGCTGCGGGCGAATGCTCTTGCCATCGGAAAGCTCACTCTATTATGTGAGAGACACGAACAGGAAGCAAAGCGTCATGAAGCTCTCCTCAGCATAGACTTGCGTACCCATGTCTTGTTGAGGAGAGCGACGCGGTTGAGATGACTGGTAGCTGGAACGCTGCACTGTACTACTCGAGGCATGTGCACTTCTCTGGTCGTGTCAAAAGCACCGGAAGAGCTTACTGAGCCGACGTGTACATTCATCGTGATTACTATTGTCAGTCGTTGAACGTGCAGGACCGTTGCAATGGGCATGGCTATCGCGTATTCCGCTTTGAGGTGATCGAGGCATACATGCTAAACGCACCTCCCCTGGAGCATGTGGTCGCAGGGACCGCATGCTCCTAATATGGCATGTGTGAAATGTCCTGGCCAAGCCGCGGGGCTTCTTCATGTTCTCCATGAGCCGTAGTACGAGCTTCCTAGCTGTCCGCATGTGCATCACCCAGGAGTCGTTGTCTGAGATGCTTCTCTGCCACTGGAGCCTGTATGCGACTCCTGTCGCCGGAGCTCATCATCTGTCCCATCAAGAACTTGATCTTGTTGTGCTTGCCCTTCTTGACAATATCCTTGACGTGATCCGGAAACTGCGCAATCACTTTTTCCACCAGCTTCTTGTATTCATCCTGCGAAAGCGGTCGAAACGCCAGCTTTTCGGTATCCACGATCTCCTGGACCGTACGTTGTCCCCCGCTCTCGAACACTGTCTTGAGGACGTGCTTCGCCGACGTTGTGGTGAGCTCATTCGAGTACAACATTCTCATGAGGGCAGAGAACTCCCGGACAGGAACGAGGGCTTCAGACCAGGCGCGTTCGTGCGTGGTGAGGAGAGAGCCAAGTTCGTGCAGGACCCAATTGCCTGTCAGCTTGCCAATCTCAGTCATTCTCCGCTGCGCGGCGAGTGGCTCCGCCATGGCCAGGAGGCGGGGCTCGATATGTGAAATGATGTCCTGAAAGTAATTGAGCCGCATGCTTCATCCAATGCCACCAGTGCCCAGGCATCGACGTTCGAGAGACCGTGTAGGTCCGTGAGCATCATTGCCAGCTCTTCGGGTATCGGAGGTAGTGTTGCGGCGATGTGCTGCGTGAGATCGGACCCAACGTAGAGCGGTGGAATGTCGGGGTCGGGCATGTAGCGATAGTCGACCTCGCCTTCTTTGCCGCGAAGTCTTCGCGTAATGTCTGGGCGGGTGATGGACCAGCCCCGTGTCTCCCCTTCAATCACGCCTCCGTTCTCGAGGACTTCGATCTGACGGTCTCGCTCGGCTCGGATTGCGTCTTCGACACCTTTGATCGTACCAAGATTTTTGATCTCAGTGCGCTGACCCAGCCCGGTCACGCCTCCATATGAGAAGGTTGCATCCTGGTCACTATTTGTCCGACGGACAGAGACATTGACGTCTGCACGCAGACCACCGTGCTCCATACCCGTCGTGACAGCATCGACGGCGTACAGTAAAGCCTGAATCTTCTTCACATAAGCTGCAGCCACACGGGGAGAGTGAATCTGCGGCAGCGAAATGATTTCGAGGAGAGGATGACCTGCTCGGTTGAAGTCAACGAGAGTCACCCCAGCATCCTGGTCTTGCGTCCTTGCCGTGTCTTGTTCCAACTGCACTTGCTTAATTCCGATGACCAACTGTCGATCTGGCTCTAGCCCATCACTCGAGTCAAGAACCACCACACCATCCTTTGCGAACGGATGGTAGTATTGCGTGATCTGATAACCGGATGGCTGATCATGGTAGAAGTAGTGCTTCCTGTCGAAGCGACTCTCTTGTTGAATGTCGCATCCGAGAATTGTCGCAGCCCGGATAGCAGGTATCAGTGTAGCGTATTGAAACTGCGGCTGGCTACCGGGAAGAGCAAGATCGAACTCGGCGACTCTGGAGTTGGGCTCGGGGGAGGGATCGGTCAGGGCGTTGGAGAAGAGCTTGCGCGTTGTGTTGAGCTGTGCGTGAATCTCGATGCCGACAGTCAATTCCCATCCTGGAATGTCGTCGAGATTCCATCTGCTCGGACGCGTGCCATTCTCGCGTCGATCAGCTCTGGAGACCTTAATATCGTCCTTCAACTGTTTGCGAAGGGGCACTACGTCCCCTCGTAGCGGCGACCCAGCATGTAGATGGCGCAGTAGACGTCCATCGGTGTTGCGGTAGAAAGGCGATACGACCGATGAGCAGGCATGAGATGGCCGAGGCCAGGCAGGACGCCTACCGTGGAGACGCAGGCATCGCGACAGCATAAGCCTATGAGGCTCCTACAGACGCAATGCCCGAGCAGAGTTGAATGAGAGAGAAGTAGAGTGAACGTGTCCATGCTCCAGAAATTATGTCCAAGAAATTCTTGTCATCCGGTCTTTGAGAGCTGCTACGGTAGCACATAAGAAGATATAGCGCAACACTGCGCCGGATGACAGGAATTTCCGGGAAAGTGCGTACTACCACTCATCCCGATGGCCACACCATGTTAGGCATGTCCTTGTTGGCTACGAAGTGTACGACAGCTATTGAATACACTGGGCATACTCATAGTTTTACTGTCCGTCAAACAGGTGCGAACGAGATTTCAACACACAGTGCCCAGAGTGCAACAGATCGCTCTATGCATGCAATTATATACTAAGCCCTTGCAGATACCCTTCACAACTTGACAGCAGGATCAAGTAAATCCTTCATCTCGTATCGTGGATAGTCGGGAAACATGCATGGATCTGGCCATTCGCGATCCCACGACCACTTTTGCATCAACTCGGGCGACAACGTTCCTTCTAACATCTCGATGACATACTTGCCGAGGACTGGGAAGAACTTCCACCCGTGGAAGTTGCCACAGGTCGCCACATAGAGACCCTTTGCGCCGGTGTGAGGTGAAATGATGAAATCGCCGCTGGTCGTGAATGCATCCCTGGTATCGGTCAGTATGTTCGCACTCCTCCACAATTCACACGACTCACCAGCAAATACGGTGCTTCTCGAATTTCCATCCCGCTGCCTTTTTCCCGTAGAAAACTTCACTGGCGTGAACGATGTCGTCCTTTAACCGGTCAGATACCTTCCACTGTGCGTAGTCTTCCTTGGGAGGAGGCATAGAAATAAATCGACCCGGAGACACTTCTTTCCTGTTCGTGAAGATGGTCTGTCCCCACCACTTCAACTCTCGATCAGGAGTCGGAGGAAGGCTGCCGATGAAGGGACCGGTCCTTGCACTGTAGCCTTGCATTCCGACAGGCATCGACGCGAACGTTTTATGTGACTCGGTGTCGAGCTTGTGCATACCGGTGGCGATGCCTCCAGCCACGATCCTCTGTCCAGCGTCCAGAGCTTTGATGCCACTGCTTTGTGCACTGCGCGCCAGCAATTTAGGGGTGAAAGCGCCAGTCGAGAGGATTGTGTGGGTCGCGGTCAAGACCTTCCCATCGGCTGTCTTGATTCCGTGCACACGACCATCACTGTCCGTCTGCAGTCCAGTGACTTCCGCGGTGACATACTTCACACCTAGCTCGATGGCCTTCTTGGTGACCGCCTTCAAGCAATCTCCAGCAGCACCCCAACCGCTAGTCTTGTTCACCAGGACTTCCTTGACCCCTGTATAATCAGCTTCTTCAAAAAGACCACTGTACAGCTTCCGGGCTTCTTCTATCGGGACAGCCCGGAGGTCAGCCTTGCGCCCGAGCTTTTGGTAGTTTTTGATCACATCCTGGGCGTAGTCGGTCCTGCACATCCAATAGATGCCTGTCTCGTGGAAGTACGGCTTCCATAGTGGGTCTGACTTGAAGATATCCTGTGCTTCGACGGCCATTTTGCAGTAAACGAAGTCATCATAATCTGCCCTCACGACCTTATTCCAGTCCCAAGACGCTGCGACACGAGTGTTCGCATCGTAAGCATCACGGTCTACAATCGTGACGGATGCCGTTGGATACTTTTGAATGAGATAGTATGCTGTCGAAACACCAAACACGCCGGCGCCGACAATGATGTAGGAGTGCGATGGCACTGAGTCAGCCAAGATGGCCATGGCAGCGAGCTTAAGGGCAGCAAGAAGAAACGAAGAGAGCGGCTTGCCCTCGAGAGACACGACGATAAGACCTCGAATGTTTATACAATACCTTCATCAATAGCATTACCGGTCTGGGCGCGCCCTGTACTCATACGAAGCATCCACACTCGAAAGTGTGAGACCAACGGCAAAGGCGCGGTTGAGATGACCCAAGAAAGAAATTCGACCCCCAGCTTGAAATCGGAGACGGCTGCTGATCGGCGAGGCAGCCCGGCGCTCGGCAAAGCTACTGTTCCGGGACACACAATGCCTTGACGCAAGTGACTCCAAACTCGCGAGGCTGTCTGCTTCAAGTTTTGGCAGGAGGCACCAATAATGATTCACATTTACAAATTTGAACTCCCACCATGCCAGCTCTTCGCGTCTTGATGCACACTCACGAACAATCTGCCTGTGTCTTACAGAACAATCAAGGATAGAAATCAACACGCGTGCAGCATAAAAGCGTGATTCTCAGGGAGAACTATTTCTTCTCCTGAATTGCCGTTCTTGGCTGTGAGGGCCGGACACCATACTTATGCCTCCCAAAGGCCAGAAAGCGCCCGCGGGCAAAGGCAAGGGAGGAGAAGACAAGCAGGAGGAAGCATTCCGAGCCATTGTCCTGGCAGACTCTTTCGAGACCAAATTCACTCCATTCACGCTCGAACGGCCAAGGTGCCTCCTGCCACTCGCCAACACGCCTCTATTGGAATACACGTTCGAATTCCTGGCCAGCGCAGGGGTCGGTGAGGTGTATATGTATGCGGGCGCTCATACTGAGCAAGTTGAGACCTACGTACAAGCATCGAAATGGTCACAGAAGTCTTCACCCTTCAGACTCTCGTTTCTCCGAGACGAGACCGCCACATGTGTTGGCGATGTCATGCGGAATCTGGATTCTAAGCACATCTTCGACAAGTCCGCGGATTTCCTGGTCGTGAGTGGGGATATTGTGGCCGATTACCCCATACACCAAGCCCTAGCCGCCCATCGAACGCGACGGGAGCGCAACAAAGATGCCATCATGACTATGCTACTCCGGGAGGCTCCTGAAGAAGTTCGACTGCACAGCAAAACTCCTTTACCGACGTTTGTGATCGATCCTGTCAACGACAGATGTCTCCACTATGAGGAGACACCTCCGCACAAGCAATACAGCGCACACATAGAAGCAGAAGCACTCAAGCAGCCAGAACTGGACATACGGCAGGATCTCCTAGATTGTCGCATCGACATATGCGCACCAGATGTGCTCACGCTCTACTCAGATAACTTCGACCATCAGTCACCGAGGAAGGATTTTCTTTTCGGCGTGTTGAAAGACCATGAGTTGAACGGCAAGACGATCCATACCTACATCACCAGAAGCCATTACGTTGCCAGAATTGCTGATCTGCCATGCTACGACACGATATCGCGTGATTTGGTGAGCGGCAAAGTTCCGTCCCTCGCGATTGAGAACAACATCTTCAGGAACGGTTCATATTCTCGGTCATACGCAGGACCAATCCTCGGGCAAGGAGTCATCAGATCTCGACCTTCGCAGATCGACAGTGCGACAGTGATCGGGCCGGGCACGAGTATAGCCAGGGATACGAGACTGGCGCGGAGCTTGGTCGGCAGCAGATGCAATATTGGCAAGCGATGCCGGATCCGACAATCCTATATCTGGGATGATGTTACAATCGGGTCCGACGTCAGCATCGAGAACGCAATAATCGGCAGTGAGACTTTCATTGGCGACAACTGCACGATCGAAGAAGGCGCACTGATCTCTTTTGGAGTCCATCTGGTCGCAGGCACGAATGTGCCTGCTGGCGTGAAGGTCACGAAAACCTCGAATGGAGCATCGGGGACCGAAATTGGTGGTGGAGGATATGAGTATCAGGACGATGAGGACGACGAGGACGATCTCGATGCGGCTCCCGGCCTTGTATACATGCACCGGAGGGCGGCTGATTCGGTCTCAACGCTTGGCTCAGATATCTCGGAACCAGAGTCACCCATTGACAATAGTCGGAGCCAGAGCTTCGCAACGACCCAGTCAGACGAGGACAGCACAGATCGATTCCAGCACGACACTGTTGCCATTCTCTTGCAACGTATGCAGGAAGGGCACAAAGTGGACGATATGCAGTCTGAACTCATGGGTCTCAGATTCAGTGGCTCGGCCGATGAGGTCAGTGTTCGAAAGGCTGTCGCAGCCGCCATATCGAGGAGAATACACTCGCAGGTGGAAGAAGGGAGATCCGCAACGGAGGCGGCCCACGAGACAATTAACACATATCAATACCTGATACGCAGAGAACGTGTTGAGCAGTCCACTGCCGAGCAAGTGGAATTCCTTCTCGAAGTTCAACGAACTCTGTCCCGTCGCAATCAGGGTGGCAAGGTGTTCGGTGCCATAGCGATCGAGCTATACAATCTAGACATTGCGGAGGAGGATGCTATCATGCTGTGGTGGAATGACAAGCAATCTCAAAAGAATGAAGAGATGGCTGGCGTTAGAGAGCTGACCAAGCCTCTCATTGACCGTCTAGAAGAAAGTGACAGTGAAAGTGAGGAGGACGAGGACGAGGAGGAGTAGGAGAACAAGAGCACTCCGTAGACCAAGTAGACTAAGTCTGCAGCAACATCCAACAGAAAGATGTGTTGCTCACAGCCACGAGTTGAATTGACAGTATCACAAATGCTCAAAAGTGAATACGCAGCATGAATGCCATACCAGATGTCTGGTAAGGCAAATGAATGCCCCACTTTCCAGCCGAGGGCGGAAGTGACGAAGTGGCGGCCTGGACGTGCCTGTGGCTTCGCCCTGAGGCGTCACTGCACCTGATCGGCCCTTACAAAGATACCCGGTTCATCACCTTATGACTGATACTCACAACCAACTTCTTACGTCCTCATGATCTCTCCATTTTCTACATCAGATCATCGTCGTGACATCTCTCTACAACTGTCGTTCAGTCACTGGCCATCGGACACCTGCAGCATTCAACAGCGGCCGCCCGCAGCAGGTGCCATCCTTGCCCACCCCTCTTAGCGCAGACTGTTGTCTCGATCGAGACGCAGCTGCCTTCGAAGTCGCCATCACGTCCCAGTTGAGGAAACGAAAGGTTTCTGATACTCTACAAGAAGACTATCCTCAGCCAGACGCCAAATCGCGAAAGATCACTACGCTACCTCAAGAGCCAGGAACACCAGTGTCAAACCGCCGATCTCCTACACCAGTCATGGATTCCGATGATGACATGATGTCTGTCTCTCACAGTGAGGACGAGCTCGAACTCGACGAGGGCACACAAGATAGCGAGGTCGGTAGCATCGATGGAGGTATGTAAGCACCCGAATCCTTCGCCACAGTTGCTGACACAGCCTAGATTTCGAGCCAGAGGACGGCAGCTTTGGCTACGACAAAGACTATCTCACAAATCCAGCAAAACCATACGAAATCGAGTTCAAGGTCCTCGATCCTCAGGAGATCAAAGCCCAACAAGACAAACAATTCGAGGAAGTATCCTCAGTCCTCGAGCTTCCCCCAGAACAAACGGCAATTCTTCTCCGTCACATGCGATGGAACAAGGAAAAGCTGCTAGAATCGTATATGGAAGATCCAGAACGCGTCCTCGAAGCGGCTGGACTTGGCTTGACATTTGCAGCAGCACCTCAGACAAAAACTGTGCCTGGCTTCGAGTGCGAAATCTGCTACGAGGACGGCCCCTCACTACAGACATATGCCATGAAATGTGGTCACCGATACTGCGCGGATTGCTACACCCAATACCTGACTCAGAAGGTCAAGGAAGATGGAGAGGCTGCAAGAATAGAATGTCCCAAGGACGGCTGTACACGAATGGTGGACGCCAAATCACTGAGACTCCTAGTCACACCCGAGATCCAGGCGCGTTATGATGTGTTACTCACCAGAACTTACGTCGATGACAAAGAGAATCTCAAGTGGTGTCCAGCACCAGACTGTGAGTATGCCATCGACTGTCCGGTAAAGAAGCGCGATCTCAACCGGATCGTTCCGACGGTGCGTTGTTCCAAGCAGCATGCTTTCTGTTTCGGCTGCACTCTCGCAGACCATCTACCGGCTCCTTGTGCCCTCGTCAAGAAGTGGATGAAGAAGTGTGAGGACGACAGCGAGACCTCGAACTGGATCTCAGCCAACACGAAAGAATGTCCGAAGTGTAACTCGACCATCGAAAAGAATGGAGGCTGCAATCACATGACTTGCCGAAAATGCAAGCATGAGTTCTGCTGGATGTGTATGGGCCCTTGGTCGGAGCATGGAACTAGTTGGTACAATTGCAACCGATTCGAGGAAAAGTCAGGCAGCGAAGCCAGGGACGCTCAGGCCAAATCTAGACACTCGCTCGAGCGATATTTACATTACTACAATCGATACGCCAACCACGAACAATCTGCCAAGCTGGACAAAGACCTTTACCTGAAGACCGAGAAGAAAATGACGAGCCTCCAGACACAATCTAACATGTCGTGGATCGAGGTTCAGTACTTGGATGCTGCATCAAAGACGTTGCAAGCGTGCCGACAGACCTTGAAGTGGACGTATGCTTTTGCGTACTACCTGCAGCGAAACAATATGACCGAGATATTCGAGGACAACCAGAAGGACCTGGAAATGGCGGTCGAGGCTCTTAGTGCCATGTTTGAGAAGCCTGTCAACGAATTGGGCAGCCTGAAGGTCGACATTCTCGACAAGAGCACCTACTGCAATCGGCGACGGGAGATCCTGCTCAGCGACACCGCCGACAATCTCAAGAAAGGTAAGCTGATGTCTATTTCCACAAGGCCCGGATTGCTAACATGAGTCGTAGGCAATTGGGAATTCATCGTTGAGGTATAGAATCCGCCTCAGACAAGTTGGGTCGCGCGAAGGGAGGCACCACGAGCAAGCCCAATCAACCCCCTTTTAGGACCAAGATCGATCAATCGCGAGCGCGTTCGTGCTACAATGCGACTGTTCCGCGAACGACGCCGAAGGAGATTATTGGCTCTGATCAGAGTGAGGAATGGGTTGAACGCGCCGTTACCAGACCCCTTCTCAACCATTGAAGGACCATGGGTATGTCCACCACATTATTATATCGCATGCAGTGCATGCGCGGCGTCATCAACTGCGGCGCAAGATTTATGCAGCAACCAACCTTGGCCTACATAGGTAGTGACTGGCGCTGAGCGGCTGTCCAGCGTTCTTTGTCGGCGGCTGCATCTTCTGTACAGCAGCGAAGCGACACGCTTGCATAGAGAGAGGTGCCAGGGTCGGTGACGTTTGGCTGATTTTAGCGATAGCATCTCTGGCATGGGCGGCGGTGGCATACATGTCCTTCAGACTTATGAATTACACACAGATGACATTAAAGAATGGAAAGCTTCAATACGTCCAGGGCTGTAGAAAGTATGTACAAGAATGAGGTACAGTAGGCGCTCGCTCGGGCCTAGATTCCGGGGCACTGAGGCATATCCGACTCTACTATCAGATGATCGGATCTGATAGGGCCAGGGCCACGTGAACATGCTCGGACTCAATGTTGTATTCAGCGAGTTCAAAGCCGAACCGAACAATCCCATGGACGCGCAGGCAGTATGACTGTAAATTTCTTGATCCACTACAGGTCGATGGCCTCGCAGGAAGGGGTAAGTAGGTAGCGAAGTGAGCTTTTCTGGAATCATCACGCAGATTTGCCCCAAAGTAGACATGATCAAAAGTCAGCGCAGGTGCATATCTTCTCGGCATCATCGACGACTGCGTCTATACACACGAGTCATTCGAGCTGTGCTATGACGGTCTGCTTCCTACAATAGTACAATCTTTTCAAAGGCTCCCTCTTCATAATGCAGAATTGTTTGTTGGCTTGATTGCATTGAGTTGTGTTTGCTACATCATTGATCTGCTCTGGCCCAAGTCAAAAAAAGTTGACCGTGCTTCTCCATTTCCCGCCTCCGTTCCAAATCTACACTCGTACCGTAGCCACGAACATACGGAACGCAACAGTGGCGACACAACCCAAGTTTCCTGCGGCGCTGCCCGCGGACATGTCATTGTCCAGCAACAGTCCTGACGCTGTCCCTGGAGAAGAGTACGAGTGAGTCAAATGTCACAGGGCCACGAGCTCTATGAAGTACCGCGGAGATACTAACAACGTTGCGCAGATATGAAGCTCTACCATCAACATATGGCCTCTACCATAACATGGCAGCGGGCGCGTTCGCTGGAATTGCGGTATGCGAGCATTGCATGAGTCCAGGGGAAAGGGTAAGACTGACAAAGTTGCGCAGGAACACACCGTCATGTACCCAGTCGATCTTATGAAGGTGAGCAAGAGCTGGTACAATCGTAGGATAGCGGTGCTGATGAGCTCTACCAGACTCGAATACAAGTCATCAATCCTGCCTCAGGCGGCCTCTACACCGGCATTTCAAATGCCTTTTCCACAATCTACCGAATGGAGGGCTTGCGGACATTATGGAGAGGCGTCAGCAGTGTCGTAGTCGGAGCCGGTATGGCGTTCACAAGATACAAGATTAGGAGAGAGGAGCTGATTTTGATACACAGGTCCTGCTCACGCTGTCTACTTCGGTACCTATGAGGTGGTGAAAGAGGCAATGGGCGCAAATTCTACAGACGGCACACATCACCCCCTCGCCGCAGCGGCCTCAGGAGCTGCTGCAACAATCACCAGCGACGCTCTCATGAACCCATTTGACGGTATGTCGCTCGACGCCACGCCTTCCATCCTACTAATACCGGCGCAGTGATCAAGCAACGAATGCAAGTACACGGCTCGACATACCGAAGCATAACAGAATGCGCAGCTCAAGTATTCCGAAGAGAAGGCCTAGCAGCTTTCTACGTCTCTTACCCGACCACCTTATGCATGACAGTCCCCTTCACAGCTACACAATTCATGGCCTACGAATCAATATCGACAATGATGAACCCGCGCAAAGAATACAACCCAATGACGCACTGCGTAGCTGGTGGTCTCGCCGGAGCTTTCGCTGCTGGCATCACGACACCTCTCGATGTCATCAAGACGCTTCTGCAGACCCGCGGCGTAAGCCAACAAGCCGAAATCAGAAACGTACGAGGACTTTGGCACGCTGCACAGATCATTAAGGGCCAGTTCGGCTGGAGTGGATTCATGAGGGGCTGGCGGCCGAGGATCATCACTACTATGCCGAGTACTGCGATTTGTTGGTAAGTTACGACCCTCAGCTGGGCGCTGGAGCAGCCATCCGCTTGCTTATCATGGCGCGCAGTTCCTTCTTGTTCAACCCATGGTCGTATCTAACCGAGTGAATCTGCAGGTCTTCGTACGAAATGGCCAAGGCTTACTTCCGCCGAACGCTTCGTGAGGAGGAAGCTGCATTGGGCCGGTCTAGGTCGAAAAGTTTGTGAACAGCATATTTTGGGGGGAGATCGGGGGATGCGCTAAAGCGGGCGGTCAACCCTCCGACTTCCGACATTTAATGCAAGGCGTCTTGGTGTCCTGGGCGACTGCCTACAAAGGCTTTCTATGAGGCTGCTGCACTCACCTACAAGTGAACGATGCCGCGAGGCCGGCTCGCAGGCACAGAGGGAGAGACTTCTCTGACATTGTGCAGCCAGCGAGTTCTCGGCTGCTGAGGTGGGCTTCGGCGGGGCTGTCTGCAGCCACGAGTCGACGAGCTGCTACCCGAGTGATGGGATTCTCACCGGATTGGATATGCGGCTGCTGTACATCTAAGGTCAAAAAGCGAGTGGGCGGCACATGGACGGTACAACATTGTCTGCCATGTCTGTAGACGCATATTGAGGCAATAGATGGATGTTGATCAAGCAGAACACAAGTGGCCATAGGTGTTAATTTACACTCGAGCTTCTGTGATGATTATGGGATCTGGAAATGTCTCCTCGCTTCATTGGTGCAAGCATGCCTAACTCGATTGCGCAGTGGGCGTTCGAGCAGATCTGGCGACCGAGCAGAAATGTGTCTCAATGCGTGTCCCGTAGATTTGAAGTTGGCAAGGACCGTGCACCGCAAGATCCGAGTACGCGCGAACGACTGCTCATCAATGCTGCATAACAGGTACAGGAGGCTGCAAGGTGGACATGCAGTTATTGGCGAAGAGAGATAGAGAGACCACCTGGGCAGGACAGCATCGCGAAAGATACTCTTTCTAGGTGCAGTCTAGAAAGCCCAGAAAGTCACTGGGAGCGACGTCATCTGAAACTTCGCTGCGGCGTGTGAATGGACTCCTCCGTCTCCAACCACCGCCTGTGCCACCGAATGATGAATGCCCTCAAGACCCATGATTCCAAGCCTCAGCCCAAACTCAAGACCCTGCGATTGTTCTACAAACCACGCTATATTGCCTGATTGTCTTGACACTCTTCGTCGCTCAATGCGCTGCCATTACCGCAATGATGCGGAGCAAGCCTGCCTCGTCGATGCAGAAGACATACGATGAGTGCTATTTGATGTGTTCCACTGCCATCTTCTTCGAGGGTCAGGTACGTGTGCCGGCGACATGTGACTATCGATCAGATACTGACTGGATGCAGAATAACGAAGCAGAGGCTCTGAGGTCCTGGAAAGAGGCCAGAGATGCCATCTACTACCACAACGCATACAAACTGCCTGCGGGCTATGCCCCTCGATCCGAAACCGAGAAAGCCTTGTGGGAATCATTGAAGCAATTGGAACTGCAATGTCGAGAACGTGTAGATCTACTCGAAGCCCTCAAGCAAAGCAGGAGCGATGCGGACAAGCCGGAACGTCCGTCAGCGAGACGAGGTAAGGCTCATACCGCGAGGACGCAAACAATCTGCATGATCAACACGGCTGGCTTGGTGACAATTCTGTCCCAGCAATGCAGTACAACGACCTGCCACAAGCCAGTCCAGCGCTACCGCCGCGGCCTTCAATGCAACTTCATCGGTCCAGCGATGCCACTTTGAAGGATCGCTCAGCCAGTGTTCCGAACAGTGCATCGACGTCTCTTGGGGCGGCACCCACGCTGCCCGTCCCTTCCAAGCAGACCTCTCGTAGTCCGAGCCCGGATGCTGGAAGGAAGACAATGAGGACGACATTACGAACTGGGCGCAAGGGCTTCCAGTCATCTCGGCCACGCACTCAGCCAAAGCAGCCACCGATGGTATCAAAAGCTGCCGGCATGGCATGGGACGCAAACCCTCGACACTCGCAGGTGGACAAAATAGCATTGGATCCGACCATTGAGGCCAGACTGAGTGCTACCGCTGCTAGGCGCAGTCTTGATGCCAATTCACCTGCCGCCTCACGTACTAATAGCATTGTGCGGATGCCAGACCCGGGTGACTATATTCCGCAAAGCCATTGGCGAGAACCATCGGATCCGTACCTGGATCCAGCGGCCTCTCAGTCTATGGTCGACTTGGCTGGTCTAGACCTGAGGCAGCAAACCTCAGTTGACTCCTTCGACGAGCCTCCAACTCCGCCACCTCATTCCGCTGGCGCATCGTCTCCTGCTATTACCAAGACCAGGACAAGTTCTCCACCGCGGATACCGAAAGCGCCTGATATTTCATACCGACGAGAGTACCCAAAAGCCACATCGAGCGTGCCACCATCACTTCAGGCCAATCTTCTGAACAGAGCATATCCTCCTAAGCCTCCTCCGCCAAGGGTCGCGCGAAAGCCAGTCCCAGAAGCGCCCTCGCCAAAGAATAGAGAAAGCACAGAAGCACAGGCTGATAGTGACTCTGAACGGGAAGTGACTGCGCGGCCCAAAGCGAAAGCCCCACGACGGCCACAAGCAACAAGAAAGGAAAGTGGGCAAAAGTCGAAACCAATGACGCCACCTTCGACATCGCCCGATGCGTCATCGAACGAGGAGAACGAAGAAAGCCCGGAGAGCGCGTTCGAGAAGAGGTCCAAGCATGTTTTGAAGCACCTACCACGAGGTATCGACCCAACGGCAGCTGCAAACATCATGAACGAGGTTGTGGTCCGTGGTGACGAGGTGCATTGGGACGACGTGGCAGGTCTCGAACTGGCCAAGACAGCGCTCAAAGAAGCTGTCGTCTACCCTTTTCTGCGCCCCGACCTCTTCATGGGCCTACGCGAACCCGCTCGTGGCATGCTGTTATTCGGACCGCCCGGTACAGGCAAGACTATGCTGGCCCGCGCAGTCGCAACCGAGAGTAAAAGTACTTTCTTCTCAATCAGCGCTAGCAGTCTTACAAGCAAGTGGCACGGCGAATCGGAAAAGCTCGTTCGCGCCCTCTTCTCCTTGGCCAAGGTGCTCAGCCCCAGCATTATCTTCGTGGACGAGATCGACAGTCTCTTAAGCAAGCGAGGCGAAGGCAGCGAACACGAGGCCAGTAGAAGAGCAAAGACGGAATTTCTGATTCAATGGAGTGATCTGCAGCGGGCGGCAGCAGGCAAAGAGAAGGAGACGGAGGAACTGGGAGGTGACCCGACGCGGGTGCTTGTGCTCGCAGCGACGAATTGTCCGTGGGATATTGATGATGCAGCGAGGCGAAGGTTCGTGCGGAGGCAATATATTCCGCTGCCAGAGCACGAGACCAGGGAGAAGCAGTTGAGGACACTATTGGGCTATCAGAAACATGATCTGGATGATGAGGACATACAGCGGCTTGTGGAGGCTACGGATGGTGAGTCTCAACTCCTTTCAATATATGGCTCGTGCTAACTTCTTTATTACAGGTTACTCAGGATCAGATATCACAGCTTTGGCGAAAGACGCAGCGATGGGACCTCTACGCAATCTGGGCGAGGCATTATTATATACCCCTCGAGATCAGATACGACCAATCTCCGTGGCCGACTTTGCTGGAAGCCTACAGAGCATCCGTCCATCGGTCGGCAAGAAGGGTTTGGAGCAGTTTGACGCATGGGCCAGTGAATTTGGGGAGAGAGGTGGTTAATGTGTATCATGCGGCGAGGTGTTGGATTGTTACTTGAGGCCAGTATGGCAGACGCTGCCTTTGCGGTGGTTGTATGAGGTATGAGGTCAGAAGTATTTCTTTCGGACGACCTATATGAAGTATCAAATGACTGATTTAAGTGATATTCTATAATGCATACTCTAGATAAGTGCAAGGGAAGCGACCGTTAGACTCGCGATATCAAGACCGGATGTTAGAGGCATGCCTGTGGAGAACCCTGCCAGTGGCGATGGCCCTACTGTGTAGGGCTTAGCTCGATAAAACAAGGCAACTACTCGTCACAGAGCTTCATTACTTCTTTTCCCTATGCTCTGTTCCTGCCGAAAGCACATCTCGGACCGAACGTAACTACACGTGCTCCATCCTCTTATCGCTGCAGGAGCTCTCGGTTGCAGCTGGCTGCCGCCAACATACTGCGATGTCGGCTTCGTTGGCCCCTGAATGTAATGAGGTCAAAGAGTACGTACCCTTTACATTTTCTGACGCTTGCGCCATGAACATCGTCCTGTCATCTCCTCGACGCCATGCAGCTGACCGCAGATCAGACGTTACGATACTTGCTTCCTCAAATGGTACTCGGAAAGTGAGTTATGTGCTCCGGTCCCGGTGAAGGGGGCCGCATCAGATGAGGACAAACATACTGATGAATGCAGAATACTTGCGGGGCAACTCTTCAACAGATGAGTGTGAAGGGTTGTTCAAGACGTACAAGACGTGTTTGAATGTGAGTGAAGACAACACGTTGCGTGTGGATCAAATACCTTTCGACAGGGAGGCATATAGGAGACAGCACTGACAGAATGCACAGAAAGTCCTGAAGGACAAAGGCATCGATGTTATGATCAACGAGGCCAGAGTCGATACACCTGAGACCGACGCCGAGCATCTCAAGCGATAGCACGGGCCGCTTAGAGCATGTCTTCGCAACATGCTTCATCAAGACACGCTCTCGACTCTGATGTACAACAGAAACTCTCAGCTTCCGCTTCGACTTGGCAACGTCACCGCCTCACGACGAGATCACTTCTCAGTACCCACTTCTCACCACGAACTACCTCTCGGCCTTCGTGCAGCATGCAGTCGTCATGATTGTGAAGCAACGCCATGCCAGTCTCCAGTCCAACTATGATTGGATCTGGCGCCCTCTGGCCCTTGCGAGCGGGCTCGGGGTAGAAAGCCGTCTCGCCGCCTTCGCACGTGGTCAGGTAGATCAGCAACGTCCACGTGGTCTTTCCTGGTGTTCTCGAGGGGCCAAAGGTCACTTTGTTGCTCTCGTCGTAATGCTGATCGAAGAATTGGCCTGTTTGGACATCAGCATGACAGCCGCCAAGGACACTGAAACTCACGCACCTGGCTTGTATCGATAGACACGAATGTTTGGATTCAGACCCAACACCTCGCCACGCCAGACTGTCTGCTCCTCGTAGCCTCTGACGAGATGCTCCAACGCGGTCTGCTCCCACAACAATTGCGCAAACTTAACGTCCTGAATTTGGAAACGGTCATTAACCCGAACCGCTTCGCCTCGCTTTGGTGTTCCAGGGGTTGTGGTGAGCGGAAGTGAGGATAGGAACGCTACGTAGTCTTTACAAAGCTTTGCACTCAACAAGTTGCGAATAATGAGAATCTGGTCGTGCAGTAACGTGTTGATGAATAGCGAATCTGGAGGTATGCCAGTCTTTAGAGAAGGCCAATTAGGCGCCGGGGAGGCACTTGTGGTCGGCGGCGCTGTTCCTGCTGCTGCTCCCGTCGCTTTGCTCTTGCCCTTTGGCATTGATGATATCGCTGCTTCCTCCCTGGCTTCTGACTCACTCGCATATGCTGTAATAATGTTCTCAATGAGCCTCAGGCCGATCAGCTATCCAGTCAAATACCAACTTTCTCCGCATTTGGTGGATGCTATTGGCTGCAGGGTCCATTTGTGGTGGAGATTCTCGAAAAGTTACCGCCGACGAGTTCACGACCTCGACTACTCGGACTGCCCCTTCTCTCCTCCCTCCAGCAGGACTCAACAAATCCCTCGACCTCGACGACTTACCTGACCGATGGAGCCGGCCTCTAGATGACGTCCCTAGAGCCGGCGACGGCATCGCATGGGGGAGGAGGACTGCCGTCCTGGACTTCTCCCCCAGCGCAGGCCCATGTGCCGCAGGACGAGTCCGAGCCCACTCAACAAGAACATACGGCCCGGAGCGATGAGCTGAATCGCATAGAAGAGTCAAATAACACGACATCCGTCGACAATATCCCGCCCCGACAATCCTCGTCAGCACCCGAACCCAACGACATCGATTCGAATCAGCAACAGAGACAAGGAGCACTCGACAATTTGATGGCAGCTCTCCAACAAAACCAGCAACCCATGGCAGCTGACGCTTCACAAGATGCAGGTTACTGGGGAGCCCAGCCAACCAACGCGCCACCTGAGCTGAGCAGTGACAAACGCGACGCTGCCAGTGCAAACGAGTTGTCACCATCACTCCTCTCAAATGTGGCACCCGGCCCAAACGTGACATCCGGCCCAACTCTCGATGAAATGCCTTCTTCAACTGCCGGTGAGCTTGACACCGACGAGCTGAACTTTGCACTAGAGAATGCTTTCTCACTAGCAGAGATGGAAGCGGCGACACAGCAGAAGCGCAAGATTGGCGCCTATGCCAAACTCACCTTTGACGATGGCCACTACTACATGTGTACACACTCGATGGAATTGGGTCGTGACGTTATAGCATATCAGGATGCACAAATGCGAGAACGAGAAGGTCAAGACGGACTACAACTTCGCGCGCGAAACTCCAGCAGCAGAATGTCACGACCATCGGATCGCATGAAACGCGGCCTCGACAGTCAGATGCCTGGCAGCGTCGTCAGCGAGTCTGGTGGCTTCGCCGGTCTCGACAACATTCCAACCGCTGAAGGCAGTTCCGGCCACGGCAAAGGTCATCCCTCGAACTCGTCACAAGTCAGCGACGCCGTCGATCCCTGTCATCTGGATCTAAGCAGAACTTTCGACTACGATAAGCGTGCAGAAGAGATTGCCGCCATCGATCCTGATGATGGCGAGAGGGCGGCTCCGGTGACGGCCGCACATCTGCCAAATCCAGACATGTGTCCATTGATCCCGATCCATGCGACGACCGACAGCGATGAACCTGAGACCGCAATTCACAAGAGAATTTCTCGCAGACATGTAAGAATCGAGTGGAGTGGAGAGGACGAGTGTTTTGTCCTCACAGTACTGGCAACCAATGGAGCTTTCCTTGATGATGTCTTTTACAGGAAAGGGGAGAGGAAGCTGAAGTTGAAGGATGGATCTCGCATTCAGATATCGGGAATCGAGATTCGTTTCGATTTGCCTCCCCCAGAAGAAAGCGTCTCGCCTTCTCTTCCAGAATTCGAAGGCTCGCCCGAGCGGCCCAGCACTATTACACCCATATCGACACCGGACCGATCAACGACACCTGCCAGAGTCAACGGTAGAGCTACAAACAAAAAAGCGTCACCGCGGACCATGCCAGCATCTGCAACAGCTGCGCCACTTGTCGGTCCAGATGGACAGCCAATTCAACGGAAGCGTGGGCCTGGAAGACCACCGAAAGATGGTATCATGAGCACCCGTGAACGAAAAGAGCTGGAGAAGAAGGCCAAAGCGGAACAAGCGAAAGCTGCTAATGGTGGAACTACACCGCCGCCGGCGGCTCGACCAAGGGGCGCGAGGCCCCCAACAGATGAGGAGTTGGCAAGGGCGACGGCTTCGAGGCAGGCGCAGAGCAACATCAGTACCAGTGCTAATGTCAAACGAAGACGGTCAGAGGACGGAGATGTCATGCAGTCCATCGAGGATGGTGAAGAGGACGATATCGAGAGGCGAGCAACGAAAAAGTCCCGGCAATCCAAGTCTCCGTCGCCAAATTATCCTCCAATGGAGTCTCTGACGGAAGAACAACTTGCCAGACCAGCGGACCCTTACGCTCGACTGATCTATGATCTGCTAATGGAAATCTACCCTCGAGCGCTGCCGCTGAAACAGATCTATCGAGCCATCAAGACCAAATTTCCATTCTTTGTGTACAAAGTAGAGTCAAATGGCTGGGAAAGCTCCGTTCGTCACAACCTCAACCAGGAATTCGACAAGCTATTCCACAAAGGCGAGAAGGAGGGCAAGGGCTACGCCTGGAGAGCTATACCTGGCGCACTACCTGCGCAGGGCGAGCGCAAGAAAGCTGCGGCAACAGGGACAGCAGCAAAGCCCAAGCCGCAGCAACCCCGCCAGCAGAACCCACCGAACCCATATATGGCGCCTAATGGGTATGGTTCTCCAGCTGGTGGTCAGTATCCGCCTGGCCAAGGTCCACCTAACCAGGGGCGGCCGTATCAGTCAACAGGGCATAATGCTTCCGGCACGACCGTCCGGGCTGCACCACCGACGAAAGTCCCCTTTCCTCCGAAGAAAAACAACCCGACTTCGGCTAGAGGGGTCTACGAGATTATACGATTTGAGTCTGGGATGCGCGAGCGGGCTGAGAAGAAGTCTGGCGCAACTGTCGCTCGTTTCATGCTGGTCTTCAATTCAGCCAAAGCTCGTGTCGTTCATGGAGCGCCAGCTTCTTTGATCCCAGGGCCAGAAAACAACGATGAGAAATGGATTGTGGAGCGACTCAAAGTCATCGTCAAGGATTACGCCAATCCAGAGTTTGAACGCTTTGATTACAAGCCACCACCGGCTCCAGTGGTCAAACCTGCTGCACCTCCTGCTCGACCACAGAGTAGCGCTCAAGCTGGACCTTCGCAGGGTCAAATAGCCAACATGTATAGCCAGCCTTCAGGCTCTGCTGCTAGACCGCCGCAAGGACCTATCGCTCCGCAGCAAGTACAGGGCCCTAACCGACCACCGCCGCAGATACAGAACCTTGGTGGACCATATCCAAGACCTTCTGAGCTTCGTGGGCAGAACAAACGACAATCGCCCTTTCCGCAACAACAACAAACACCTGGAATCACTGCTACCAGTGGTTCTGGCCCACAGGTGGCCGTGCCCAGACCAGGTTCCGCACTTGGTCCGTCGAGACCCGGTCCACCTGGCAATCCTGTCACGAATGCTACGCCTCCAGGACAGGCGAATAGTCCGTATCAGCATACTCCGCCTCGACCAGCGTCCGCGTATAGCATCTCGAGACAGGGTACACCTGGCACTGCAGGTGCGACTGCCCTGCCTCCGGGACAAGGAAATGGTCTCTATCAGCATGTTCCGCGATCAAATGGTCAGGGCAGTCCTCTGCAGCAAGTCGCTCGGCCTGCGTCGGGACAGAACCCACCTCAGCCATATCGGACACCTCAGCAGAGTCCGCTGACACAGCCGAATAGTCCTCAGTTAATGCCTCCGCAGCAAGCGCGACCAGCACAAGCATCTACGGCAATCAACAGCCAGCAGCCTGTGGCGCCAGTGCAGAATGCTCCGCAGCCCGTGTCGCCAAGAATCGGCCATTCGCAGCAAGTTTCGGCGCCCAACACGCAACAGCAGCCATCGACGCAGCGCCTGCCGCAGCAGGTCAACACACCTGTCGCTACTGGAGGCAGCGAAAACGCGCCCACACCTCCAGGTGCACCCATAGCTAGCACCACGCCAGCACCACGGCAGACGCCCTATCCGACTGTTGGACAGAGCATGCAAGCCGCCGCAGCAGCGTCTACGCAGAACGGCAGACCACAGCACCAAGCCGTTCCGAACTACGGTGCCAGCACCACGTCGGCCGCCGCGAGTTCTGTGCCGACTGCTGGATTCGCTCTGCACCTGAGCGACACCAACCACGCGGATGTTCAGGGCCATTTGATGGACGACAGCGGCGATACCACCATGAACACTACCGCTCCTGCGTTGAAAGCGACGACTGCTTAGACGGCATCAGTTGATGTCAATCACCAGCTGGACGAGCGTCTTCGGCGCCGGTCAGGCGGAAAACGCGAACCCAAGAATCGCGTCTGATTTAAGCACTTGCGTCATATTTTGTTTTCTGCGATGAAGAGGCTTTCGAAAATCGCGCAGCCACTCTTCAGTGGCCATACTAGCAAGAGTTGACTAGCAGGCCAGCGACATTCATTACCATCCAAAATTCAATTCTCACAAGCAAAAAATTTCTCGCCAGCCCACACACCAGTATGCTGTGCTCTGCACAGCAAGCCAGCCACATCTATTATTCACGACGATACCCAATGAACATGGACGAAGGAACGGACGCATAACGTAGGCACGGCGTAACACGGGCACGCATTCTGTTTATGGCGCTTATGAGGTACATAGGGGGCGGGTAATGCATGCATTCTGGGAATTGGAAAAGGCGCGAGAACGGTGTTGTGGATAGTCGCCAGGGGCTCTGGCGGGCAGTGCCTTGGTCGGCGTGGTATCTCGAAGGGCTGGCGTAGTTCTAATCATATTCATCACTTGTTGATCAATACTGTCGTTCATCGATTAGTTGGCCTTGGTCAACGGAATGGTCAGTACACCCTTGCTTTCTTTCTGTCTCGTGAGACCACCAGAATATATCTGCCGAGGAGATCATCCACGACTTCTCGGGTCATGTAGGTGCCTGAAGCCCTGCTCGAGAAATCTAGCACCCATCCGGTCTCGATCGAGTCAACCCTATGTCGAGTTCAAACGGTCTCTGGCGCTGTTCTCACTCATCACGATGTATCCCTATGGCAACTAGTCGGCCGGTCTCGTGGAAGGCTAGATCGGCCTGTCATCCGGCGCTAGATGAGCCCGAGACCTGGCCTTTCGCAAGACCGATAGTCATCCGGTCTGCGAAAACCGCTCCTTGTCAACCGGCGTCCTGAGGTGAAAAGGGGCACCGGGGAAGAAGTGCTGGAGGCAGGAGCAGCTCGAGGCAGGAGCAGCCCAAGGAAGGAGCAGCCCAAGGAAGGAGCAACCCAAGGAAGGAGCAACTCAAGGAAGGAGCAATTCAAGGAAGGAGCGCTCGAGGAAGGAGCGCTCGAGGAAAGAGTACTCGAGGAAGGAGCATTTGAGGAGGAAGCACTCGAGGAAGGAGCATTTGAGGAGAATGGACTCGCACGAGGAAGGAACGTTCGAGGCAGGATCACTCAGGCAGGAACATTTAAGACAGCCAGAACGCGCTTCAAAAGGTGAATTTGAAGAAACCAACAGATTATAGTCGTCAAAGAATCCTTCCAACGCCGTCGCTTACATATCCCTAGATTCGTTTCCTGATCAACCCATCATCCTCTTCACACCCTCCATTCCTGGTTACTGCCAAGATCAAGGTACAAGAACCCACTGAAACGATTACCATAGTAATCCACCATCCACTTCTGACTGCTTCCCAATTTCCCGCCCACCATCTTGTTCACTCTCACGACTTCGATCTTGCCACTCCAGTAGCCCTCCACGAACGGCTCGATCAAGCCTTCCGCGTCTTCCTTCCTCAGTCCGGATTTGAAACGCCGGTACTTCAGCATCTCGGCCTCGTACGCAGCTTTACGCTCGCGCCGCCAAGCGGACAGCTCAGCAATAGTATCGAGCTGTTTCTCCGGTTCCGGATTGGACTGTACTGGAGTGAGGGCTGGTGAGGGGGGAGATATGCCGTAGGGATTGTTGGTGTTGGCGGCATAATTCGCAGGGTGGGATGTTGGGCGCGACGGGATTCGTCGATGTTGGAGCTCTGGACTTGGCAGCGTGCCAGGCAACTCTGCTGTCGTGATGCCAGAGTTCGCGAAGGGGCGTTGATTGTGGCCGCCGTCGAAACTGCTCCTTCCATCACGGGACGAGCTGCGTCTACCAGCCGCCGGCTCGTTGCTTAGTCTCCTGTTCCTTCCCATCGGCAGGTCTCTCGGACTCTTCCACATGTTTGTGCCTCCACTCACAGTTGCTCCCCGAGTAATGGCATGAACCGGGCTCAATTGGCCACTTCCATTCCTTCCTCCAGGTGCACCGCCACCATGTACAGGGCTGTCCCGCCCAACAGCGGACTCCGCGTCTTCGGGGCTTAGGAGGACCTTGTCATCCCATACCGCCGCACTCGAGAAGTATTTTTCCTTCTCATGCTCATATATTCCACACTCGTCCTCTTCCTCACCACCGCCTTCAGCGAAGAAGCTGAAATCATCCGCTGCGGCGGACCAAAGATTCTCGGAGTCGCGATCGCCCGTGGATGATTTGGACATGTTCACTGCATTGCGTTGCCCGGATTGCCATGCTCGATTCCCGTTCCCGTTCACCGAAGATTTGTTCTGAGTGATCGCTGGTGCCTGAGCCAGTTCCAGAACTATGGTCTGAAGTGCAAATAGCTGTTTGGCGGCTGCCTTCTCTGCCAACGCTCGGGCTTTCCCGGGTGGTAGTGAGTAGTCAACAGCAGCATGTAGGCGTGACAGGACAGATTCCGCGGCGCAGGCAGCGATGAAAGCCTTGAGACGTGGTATGACAGGTGATGACTCCGGGACTGTCAATGGGACGGATGTAAGCACCAAAGTGCGAAGGTTTGGTAGATGTGACGGGTGGAGGCTGAAAGGTGCACTGATCTCGGCGGTTCCTGCTGGTGGAAGCTGTGAAGGTCGAAAAGAGAGCAGGTACTCGATTCGCGCTTGTCGCTGGCTGTACGGGGTGGGGAAGGGCGAACTTGCCCGTGACGTCGTCGCCGTAGCAGGCGTTCCGTTTTGCTGTGGGCCCTGCCTTCCTCGAGCTGTAACTGGCGGAGATTGTGTAGGTGTCGCGATCGGCAGAGGTGAGGGTTGACCTGGTGCAGATGTTGGATGAGGAAATCCTTGGAAATGCGTGCCACGAGCCGTCATGGGAGATACCGGTGAGAGGATCGAACGTCCTGTGCTGTTGGTGGAGCTCTCGTCCGATACATCGTGCGTGTGATGAGCCACGGCAGCAGTCGGACATTTGCCGTTCACGTGCGCGGATTCGTCGTGATCTGCGATAGGTGGCGGTTTGCATGATACGTACCCTCCAAGTTCACCTCAGGAGCAAAGGCACCTTCACCACGGATTGGTGCCTGGATGTCCGGTTCTGGATGTGCCTGGTTGTCTTTCGGCTGCGTACCGATAGGAGGACTCACTGCAAAGTATATCATATCACCTGGAAGCTCTGCCTCGGTTGCATTGGCGTGGCATCGAGCTCGAAAATTGGGTGATTATCTGAAGGCAGCTCCACGGCGTACGCCGTTGGCGCTGGCATCTCTGCAACATGTCGTTCGTCTCCGCCCATTTCTGCGGCATGTCGTCGGTCGCCAGCAACTTCTGCTATAGGCGAGACGGGCTCGTCAATGGACGGTCGAGGGGATCTTTTCGTCCTGACGATGGTGGCCCGTTTCTCAGCGGCCGCCGGCGGCTCGAAGAGACCTGTAACAACGGCATGATCGACTCTCAAGTAAGTCAAGTTCTTGCTCGCCGACTGCACAAGTACAGGAACGAGTTTTTCTGCCCCTGGAAACCTGACTTCGTCCACGTAACCTGTCGCAGTAGAAAGACTTCTTGTCCTCGAGATTGTCTTGACCGCATCAACACTCCCTCCATCCAGAAGATGCAGCCTTTGGCTTTTCAGCAGGCTTGATAGGCCCTCGACGCTCAAATTGTTCCCCGAGATGTAGAGATGAGTGAGGCCACCTTGAGGAATGTCCTCGAACGCCAGTCGGCCCGTCAGTGGATTCGTCAACTGCTTCAATAGTTCCATATCGAGATCCTCACTCCTCAGAGCATCGAGGCTGAAGAAGTCGGGTCCTGGTGCCATGCCCACAGGCCAATCCTCGACACGTCTGGTGTTCAGCCGATCAACCCCATTCCGCGGCTGCTGCCTGCTATAGCCCAGAAAGCAGGCCTGCATCAGGCTGCGCACGGCCATATCGGTCAAAGCGTTATCTCTGACATCCAACAACCTGACCCTGACACCGATCGAGTTGGCTAGGACTTCTAGCTCAGGGTCTCTCAGGCCAACGCCCTGCAACTTGAGTGCCTGCAGCTCTCCCATGCCACCCAAAGCAGCCAAGACGCCTGCATCCTTTGCACTTTTGGTGAAGCTCAGATCCAGGTAGACCAGGTACGGAAATCTGCGAAGAGCATGTTTCAGGCCCACGCTCGTGGTGTTCGGCTCGCTGCTCGCCAAGAGTAGCTTCAGACCATAGCCGTCCTCCCATACTCCTGGTCCCTCGATGACATCTCCATGAACATCACGCCTCGGCACCATCCTCGCCCGTAACGCCATCAGACTTCCATGATCGAAGAAGGGCAGCCCACCCACAACGAGGCTCTGCAGATTTGGCAAGCCTTCGAGTACATCACGGAGCCAGCTTGGTCGAGGACCGCCGTAGATTTCGCTGAGTGCCGGTGGTAGGTGCAGCGTGTGCGTCAAAGCCCTTGTCTCGATACGCGCCCTACGCAAGGTCTTCTTGAAGCGGGTAAGGGCGATGTAGACAGCATCGTTGGCGGTGCCAAAGTGAGAAGCCGGATCGCCCCAGAGGAAGGGAACGAAGATTGTGTGGAAATGGCGTGAGACCAGGCAGAGGGATGTGAGGGTCGAGGAGGAGAGGTATGGCGCGATCAGCGGGAGCGGTGATTGTGTCGTGGAGGAGTGGTAGGACGGGGGAACGTCGGTGAACGGCATGCTGCTTGGACGGTCGGTCCTAAGCAGGCCGGTCTGTGCTCGTGTGACTGTGCTTGTTCCCTTCTACCGGGCCGCTCTGGTGTCGTCTCGTGTATCGCAAAGCCCGTCCAACACAAGTACGGCTGGCATGGAGGGCACATGCGCGAGACTGCGCTTGCGTGCGTAGACTTCTGGCGACGCTCGACTGAGTGCCGCAGTGAGGACGTGGTCGCAGGTATATTGTGCTCGATACCGGGAGCTCGTGTTCGCATCCGCAACGGACCAGTTGCGGTCCTCGGCGAACTCGTGGGGACGTTTCTCTCGAGTGAGTGCTGGGATCCAGTGCTCCTGTATGAGTGTATAGTGCTCGGTCACGATTGTACGGGCGGCTCGGCAGTATGAGACGTGATCAGACGTCTAAGCGGGTGATCGAGTATTTCAAGTGTCGAAGACGTTTCTGCTCCAGCTGCCAATGCACAATTGCGTACGCGCAAGCAGTTGTCGATCGGATATGCGGCGGCTTGGTGTACGCGCCATGGGGGGTACCGTTGGGGGTGATCAGGGGCCCATATTTATGGAAGCAGCTGAACAGCCTCGCCGCCGATCCCTGTGAGCATGTGATTCATTTGCCGATGTCGAAGTACGTCTAGTCCTCAGAGAAAGGTCTCTGCATAAACTACTCGTTCAATTCCTGGCAGGTGCGAGAGACCGTCAGTGCTTTCCTGCATAGCTTGCGATCAAGTTGCTGGTGCCTGCTGGACCTCGTCGAAGCGACGCACTAGGCAGCTTCCCAGGCTCTCTGGGTGCTATACAAGAAGGCGCAACGGGAGGACTAAAAACACGCTGTCTCACTTGCTGCCGTCTGCTCACGACAATCTCCGCGGGTGTCTGACTCCAGCGCGATGTCTACGGTGAGGGCAATTGTCGATGTGATGTGAGGAGACTGTCTGGACCAGCACATTGAGCCACAGGAAGGCAGATCTGTCTCAATCAAGTACATTGCTAGCAACTCTCACGCAGACGCAGCGGCATCGCTAATTGGACATTACTTCTCCCTCATATGCAGTTGCTTCCTGCTGACACTCTCATCTGAGCCGTTCGCAAGCGGATGGTGCCCGAATTGTGAGCGCGTACCCAGCATGACGCCTCGCGCCTGCCAACTATGAGCAAAATCCAGGACTTGCCTCTCATACTCGGCCCAGCCAAGATCACCAGCAAAGACCTCGTCCAGCTTCAAGACGTCGAATGCGGCCTGCGCTGTGCTAGCTGCAGTGTGTGGCCGGAAGCCGGCCAATGCGTCACCCAGAATCATGCCTCTGCCACCCAGGAGTCTGCCAACTTCGGTGCCCTTCGAGGGAGGCTTCACGTCTGTGATAGCCTGCACGAAAGGCTTCTCTGTCTTCGTGACCAGCTCTGCGAACTGCGGTGGTAAATTCTTCTTGGCGCGGTCTTTCTGCCTTTCCCAGACATGTTGTTGCATCTTTCCGCCAGTTGGAAGTGTGAAACGGTGTTTACCACCATCACTATCAGTCATGATGTCGCCATACTCTTGACTCTCGTCCTCCACGTTCCAGTACCACACCCAGTTGACTCTCCGCTTTCCGACCTCAAGCGTTCCGTCCTGCCCAGGTATGGTATATGCTAGGATCTGGATGCCGTCTCCGTGAAAGAAGGTGAACTTCTCGACGAACACCGCCCGCGCGTCTTGACTCAACTCAGTCTCAATGACCGTCCCCCGAAACGCAACATAGCCAGCATATGTCCGCGAGGCGCTCTCATCCACTAGCAGCATAGACCTCAACCGGCTGCTAGGTCCATCCGCCGCGACCAAGAAGTCGCCTTCCTCCACACCTTCCTTCCCACCCTCCTCTGGCATCGTGCTCTTCCACATAATCTTCACGAGGCCCTGCTCCTCACTCAACCCCGTCACCTCCCTCCCAAAAGCATACTTGAACCTTTCCGATCCGGTGCCGTTACCGTCCAGCACCTCCCGTCCAAGCCCATACAATAAATCCCAACTCGTCATCTGCTGCCTCGTCCCCTCTCGATCGATGACTTTTCCGCCCTTATCCAAGTACAGCCTCTCCCGACTCTCCACACTCATCTCATCCTGCTTCTTCCCTGCAAACCTCTCACACCACTCCAGCACCGGCCCTCCAGCGACGATCCCCGCGCCCTGGTCGTGCAGTAATGGCGAAGGCGAGCGTTCTAGAATCGTGACCCGAGTCGTAGCGGGCAAGCGTTGCAGTAGCGCGACAGCCGTGAAGAGACCAGAAAGCGAGCCGCCGACGATGAGGACATGTGACGGTGCTTTCGGAGGCTCCATTTTCGTCCTGGTCGTTGTAGTATACCTGCGCGTCTTGGGGGAATATTGCTGGCGGGCTATAGCTAAAATCAGCGGGTGCTTGTTATTGCTTGCTACTGAACGTGACCAAATACATTTATAGACACGAATGCTATGCATTGCACATGTTGTGGTCGTCGTTAAGGCACTCAGCATAATGACATGGACGACTGCTATATCCGGTAGACAGGCCGCGCCTGATGTAAGCGACTTCTATGCAGTGATTGGTTCGAGCGTTTTGAAAGTTTGGTTCAATGATACTGTACCTACATCTCAGTGCCTACTCTTTTATCTAGGAATGGCGCTGGACGTCGAAAGATTGCTTAGCTGATCGATCGGCAGGCTTTTAATGCGCCTGTCGGATTTGTAACAACTTGAATAACATCCATTTCATTCTCAGTCTGCCCTGATAGTGATGTCCAAGCCGGATGACGACAGCCTTCACCGACTATCGCAGAGCGACGACACTACCTAGATACCCACAGCGCCCCGCCCAACATCAGTGTCCTTCATATTCGTCTCCTACATGTTCTCTTCCCGCTCCCAACTCAGTACAGCCCCAACCATTCCTTGATGTAGTTCAATTTAATGTCTCGGATCTGATCAGTGGCCGTCCTCAATCCTCTAGGTATAGTCGCATATGACATCGAATCCTCTGTATGGGCTAGATCGTGCATAGTAATCAACCTCGAATGGTCACGATCAGACGTCACTGTTAGCTGCGGGGAGCCATAAGCCGCTACAATATCCCACGTACCTGTACGATAAGTAGCCGCTCAGTCTGATCCAGTGTCTCCAATGTCAAGTTGAGTTTCTCGACAAAGTACTCGTTTGTTTCATTGAAGTCCGGCGCCTGCCAGGGAACGGCGTAGGGCGACCAGCAGTCACCCCCAACAGTGGTGTTGCTGGATGGCAAGAGGCTACCAGGCCGGCTGTCGCCGAAGCTGCCTGGAAAGTACGTGCACCGAATCCACTGGAAAGAGTCGCCGAAGAAGGTGGGCTGGCCAGTCAGGTTGCGGTTGTTGGGGTCGATACAGCCGTCTTGAGCCCAGCTGACGCCTCGAAGTGGGACTGCTAGGACTTCGCCAGGAGAGCTTGCGGCCAGTGTGAGGTTGATAGCGGTCTGGAGTGGATATGCCCAGGGCCAGACATTGACGAAGGCATAGTTGAATTGAGAGATGCTGTAGTAGGAGCTGGTGACTTTGCCATAGAGTTGAGTCCATTGCGTGGCGTTGGCTTCAGAGCATAGAGGAAGATCTGGCAGCGCATCTGAACAGTTTTGTTCTGTTGGCATATTGTCAGTCGTCTGAGGAAGTCTCGTCCAACGGGCGGTCTTACCAGCCACACATCTGGAGAACAACGAGGTGGCTTCTTGAATCTTGTAAGCTGCCTCGGCTGATTCGTCAAACCAGATATTGGAAACCATATCTAAGCCCGCGTAGTGGTGCGGATTGCCTTCCAGCGTTTGGCCACCGAACGAGTAGAGTAGTGGGGAAGATGCAATGGAACCATAAAAGGCATCAGGCTCACGTATGATGGCTTCGGCGGCAAGAAAGCCTCCATATGAGCCTGTTCGTGGCGATAAGCGCACGAAAAGAGTGGATATAGAATGGGTCTAACTCACCGCCATTGTAGATCACCTTGCTGTCCTGCGCGCCTGGAACTGTCTCCCTGATCCAATTCACAAAGTGAACACCATCCTTTATGGCATTATCTAGTGTCAGTTGCGCATAGTCATCAGGCCCAGGGTTAGCGAAATGAAAGTCTTCCGGATAGCTGGTCCCAAAGAAGCGGTGCTCGAGCGTAGCTACGATTGCCCCAAGCTCCTCTGCCCAGTCAATGAAGACGTTGTATTGTAGCAACACCAGTGGACTTTCAGCGCTCTGAACGAAAAGTATTGGTCCGCCTTCCCTGAAGTAGTCGGTGACAATCTGATACGATTGTTGGAAGGTCTCTTGGGAGTCCTTTGCAGAATGATCGAGCTTCTGAGTGAAGTTCAGGATTTCGGGGGTCAAGGTAGCTGAAAGCGGCGCTGTGGAAGCCTGTACCGCGTTGCTGACAACGGCGACGAGCACTAGTAGGAGAACGCAGAGGTGTGCAGTAAGACTGGAAAGCATGGCTGGGAAGAAGGAAAGTAGACTCGACCAACAGAATCGATGGAGGTGACGAGCAGCAGCTACCATCGGGACATTGTGAAGCTTTTATAGCTGCACAGCGTCGATCAAGCATCACTGAAGACCAACACCCTCCTTGTACTTACCCTGCCTCTGTTTGCGGCGTTGCATTCGTCGAGGCCCTAGCTACGCAAAGGGCATAGACAGACAGCAAATTGGCTGATCAAAGTTGGCACCATAGCAGCTGCTAACATCGTCATTGTCAGAGACACAGCCGTAGTGTGTTGCCTGATCTTTGCAGAAGTGATAATTGCCACCGCTGTAGCAGATGAATTCGCAGTAATAATTCGCACTTTCGAAGCAAAATGGGAAGAAGAGAGGTTGCAAGGATGATTCGGACGCCTTGTTGAAGGGTGGCGTCAGAGGCTAGGCAGCCTTGGCGCCAGCCCTGTACCACCCCCGGGGAGCCACTGGCCGCGGTTCAACAGGAGAGTAGGTACAAGACAATCTCATTGGCACGTTAAAGCATCGTCAGTGTTGTAGCATCGTCCGTGCCAGTGTGCAAGACAGCAGTGATGTGATCTGTTCATGTGCGGACTCTTGGCGACTATGCCAGCGTCATCGCATCCGTGATGCTTTGGGATTGTTGGCAGTGCTCGCCGTTTTCCACTGTATTCAGACACAGCGCATCGGCAACCCAGTGTAACCAGAGACAAAAAATCCTTACCAAATAGGAATAGCTCTGGCACCATTCATGGTGACACAGGACTCAACATCACTCGAGATAGAACACCCGCCTGAACCCTGTCATGTCATCGTAGACACAAACCTCGGGCGCCCCAAACTCCACGCCTTCATCCGACACTGTCCTGTTCTCCTGCAGCCACTCATCCAGTACATCGCTGACCTCCTTTGTCTCTTCCTCGCTCAGCCACTTCAGGCAGTATCCCAAGCTCATATGAAAGCCATACACACCGAAACCAGGCTGCCTCACCCCAACACTATCGGCCATCTGCTCTCTCAGGTTCCTCATGCGCTTTTCTTCCGTGGCATTCTCCGGCACGAGCTTGAAGGCGATTCCATCCGTCAGAGGCTCGAAGCCGGCAATACGCAGCTTGTATGGTGGACCGCCCCCGGTTGAACCGAGACGGAGAGTAGAAAGCCGAGAGATGACGTGTGCATGGCATTGGCCTAGAGAACAGTCGTATGGCAGTATTTCTGGGGCCGGCCAATTCGTAGATGTGGGGATGCGGTACGTGATGCCTTCGTAGAATGTCATATGGTAGCTCGATGGAGGCAGCAGGGCGAAGCAGTGGGAAAGACCATGCTGAGACAGGAGCGTGTGCAGTCCAGTGAGAGATGCGTGGAGGGCGGACGACTGTGAGAGGTGACAAAGGACTGTGTTTCCGGGGAACGGTAGCACCTGGCCAGTCGGGGTGAACTTGTGGCCTATCCAGCGTGGATATTGGTGATGGGGGAAGTCAGGACGTGGGATGGGCTCGACGCGTGTTGATGGTGAGTAGCCTTTCGGTACATTGCCATGAGTGGCTTGGGAGGCCGCGATGGTGCTGGTAGTAGTAATAGTAGTAGTTGTCATCTCGTCACTTTGCAATCTCAATTTATCCTGGGTCCAACGGTAAGAGATCGTGGACTAAAGCGATGATTTGAAGAACGAAGATCAGGATTAGTCTGGTCTATGTACCTCTTCAGGACAGTGAGAGACGCGGACAGGTTCTGATCAGCCGCAACCGCGTCGGGTGGTATCGACGATCCCTCGAGAGCACGTCAGAAGTTCTCTGCCACATCTTGTAAGCTCCTACCAGGGCGGTGAACAGCCGTCCTCGTCCCACGAAGCCCCGTCGTGGGACTTGGACGAAACCATGGCCGCCTGCAACTACGTGCACTGCTCGATTCAACGAACAATTTTGCCGCATTTGGACAGACTTCATGACAACCTCGCGCAGATAGTAAACAGGTGTCGGCAGCAGATAAGACTCTCGGTCTCAGATATAGTTTTGGCTGCAGGACGACAAGCGGATTAGGCCGCTATAAGTATAGCTTATGCTGTCCTCGGCTCCTGTGGAGTGAAGCATTGGCCTGTGATCCACTATAAGCGATCAGGAGCGGGCTGATGCTCCAGCCCAGGCACGTGGGTTCTAAAGTTCTGGTTCTTGCTACGGCATCGTTCTCGATGTTCTTGACCTCACGATGCCATCTGATATTCTGGAACCAATGTCGTCCCGACGAAGTGGCACGAGGTCCTCGGATCAGCGCAGACTTTGGACCTTAGGTGCAGTGTGCCCTTCTAGGGGCTACAACCGACGGCACTATAAGATACATCTGGGATCTCATCCATGATGTGACACTCAATAACAGCACCGCCAATTCACATCTGCAGTGAGAAGCCAAAGCCGTGACCACCGAACAACAGACCATGGAGAAGAAGGCCATGCAAGTCGGGAGCCAGACAGGGAACGCCCGATCGGACTTTGTCGCGGCTGCCGATGATGCCAACAACAAGGAGCACAGTCTTACCTTCGCTCAAGCTGTCAAACTCTACCCAAAGGCCATCGCATGGAGTGTCATGATGTCTGGCGCTCTGATAATGGATGGATACGATCTCAAGCTCATCGGGAGTCTGTTTGCTCAGCCTGCCTTCCAGAAGGCCTACGGCCACATTCAGCCCAACGGCTCCTACCAGATCCCAGCGCCGTGGCAGTCGGGCTTGACTAACGGCAGCAATGTCGGGCAGCTGTTCGGTCTCGTCATTGCTGGGTATATTGTGGAGAAGATCGGATTCCGGAAGACCATGATGCTTGCTCTAGCGGTGCTACCTTGTCTGATATTCATCCAATTCTTTGCTCACGCCTTGCCACAACTTCAGGCTGGGCAGGTAGTGATCGGTAAGTCTCTGTTTGCTTTGTACGTGGAAGGACATGCTTACCAAGTCCGCTATAGGCATGCCATTGGGCATATTTCAGACCGTGACATGCGTATATGCTGTTGAGGTCCTACCGACCGCTCTGCGCGGACATCTGACCGCCTACGTCAACGCATGCTGGCTGTTCGGTCAACTAATCGCATCGGGGACGCTCAGAGGAACTTTGAACATGTCGGCGCCTTGGGCTTACAGAGTGCCCTTTGCTGTCCAGTACGTCGTCAATGTGAGCATCTTGGTCCAGACTAATCAAGCTACAGGTGGGTCTGGCCTATACCACTCTTCCTGGCAACATACCTGGCGCCGGAAAGCCCGTGGTGGCTTGTCCGACAGAACCGTATTGAAGAAGCCAAAGCCTCGGTCCGTCGCCTCACGTCGGACCAACGAAATTCAGCCTTCGATATTGACAAAAACGTTGCGTTGATGGTCTTCACCACCGAGCATGAACGTGAGATCGACTCCGACGCAACCTATATCGCCTGTTTTAGAGGTAGCAACTTGCGTCGCACACTCATCGTTGCAGGCTGCTATTGTATGCAAGTGCTCTCGGGAACAACGCTTCGAAGTTATGCCAGTACGTATACTCGGACACCCGAAACTCGGGTTCTGTAAGCCCGTGTGGTCGCGTGTTCCATCTAACAGGGTCTATAGCATATTTCTTGCAGCAAGCCGGCCTGCCAGTTGATCAGGCATTCAACATGTCCATAGTGGGATACGCACTGGGCATCGCTGGAGTCGCCACTGCAGTAAGTGAAGTCAATAATTGGGATTTCCAGATCTGTGCCTAATGGCCATTCGCAGTGGGTATTGATGCCGCACATTGGCAGGCGTACTCTATTCCTCTGGGGATTCGTCGCCATGGTCGTCATCATGCTTCTAGTTGGTGGACTCGGAATTGCTCAGCACTCATCTTCAGCCTCGAGCGATCTGCCATGGGGCATCGGGGCGTTGTTGCTCATCTCACTCTTTATTGCCAATGCTGGTGTTACGCCGATATCGTACGCATTGGTCTCGGAGCTCCCTTCCTCGATACTTCGCAGTAAGTCGGTGGTCTTGTCCCGTTTCACATACGCAGTGATCAACATTGTGGCGAATGTCATCACGCCATACCAGCTGAACCCATCGGCGTGGAACGTGAGTTCTCCTTTTCGTCTCCAGACCTTCTCGAGTGAGCTCCACTAATACCTCCCAGTGGGGAGCCCGTAGCGGCTTCTTCTGGGCTGGCTCAGCGGCTATAGGATGGATCTTTGTGTTCTTCTGCGTGCCTGAACCGAAGGGAAGGACTGTGGCAGAGCTAGATGTACTCTTCGAAAGGAAGGTCTCGGCAAGGAAGTTCGCCAAGACGAGTTTGTCACTGGTCGAAGCTACGGAAGTCAAAGGCGCGGTCTGAGGCTCTCGCAGTCGACTTCGAGCAAGCTTGAAGGGGCCGAAATCGCTTTTAATGCTGCGCATTGCCTCTTCTCCGGGTGCCTGCAGGGTTGGAGAGACAGGTAGATGAGTGATCCGTGCGACTGGCCGTCTTCCAAGCTCATAGATACGGTGGTGTCACATCGAACGCCTCCAAGCAGAACCACCTTGTCGTGACCCGTCTTCTCTTCGCCCTCTGTGCCTGGCAGAGACCTTCTGCAAACCTTGCGAAGAAGTCACTTCGGCAAATAGAGTCCTTGATACGCCGCATCTCTTTTATTGCCCAAGTTGATTCGTGCTCGTACAGGCTCTCGATGGCATGGAGGAAAAGTGGTCGGAGGAAGCCCACTGGGAGGGCCTTGTCTGCTTCTTCGTTGGTATTATTCGCTTCGAGTTCCTCCATCACTAGATCTCGGATTGCACGCATATGGACTCGAGCTTCATCAGAGGCGAATGGAGGATCACTCAGGATCCTGCCCACTTCGACCACTTCGGTGTGGTACATTGCTTTACAGATCCTGGTTTGGCGTAGGAACGGGATCGCGATTGGTGCTGCGAGACTCTCACGAATTTGCACAGAATCGTGACGCAGAAGAGGAGTTCTTTGCTTCCAAAGGTCGTGTAGCTGGGTCTCTAGCTGTTTCAGGAGCATGTTGACCTCTTCTTGGTCATCGGCTGTGATGCGAGATCTGTGGTAGTGTGAGAGGTCCGCGGTGTGGCCAGCTATGATTTGTATGCGCGTGCACATGTCAAATATGGGTGCCGTGAGTGCGGCCAGTATCGAGACCTCGGTTGGAAGCGGAACCCTGGGATCTGTTGGCAGGACCGGTGGGAGCGGATGGGCATAGTAGTGGTGCTCTAAGCAGTTCCGTAGCGTTGACGAGAGCAAGCCGGTGTTACCTCCTCGCCGTGCTGCAGCGTGAGCGATGAGCAACCACGCGGCTATTCTGCTGTCTATTGTCGATACTGGGTGTCTCGAGAACGTGGCTATAATCCGCCGGCTGGCGATGCCGTTCTCGTCCAACAACAGATCGAAGGTCATCGCCTCTGGCTCAGTGCCTGGCCAAAGCTGAGTGTAAGCACGGTTGCGAACATCTCGTCGAATGGTAGTGGAGGGTCTCCTAGAAGCGAAAGCTGGAACTGAGCCACCGCGGCATGATACATGCTTGCTGCTTTGGTCAGGGCGATGCCATTGGCTTGACCTTTGTGGATGGCTTGAAGAGCACGGATCGCTGCGTCTAGTATTATGCATCGATCAGCCATCAGCGCTGCGTGCTCTTTGAAGAGCTGCCAGTTGATCGCATCGATCAGTGTAAGCGTGAAGCATTCAACATGATGGATGAAGTAATCTAAGGACTGCTGTGTGCCGTTCGCAGCCATAAGGTCGATAGTCGTACATAGATAAATATCCTGCGAGGTCATTGCAGCTTGTAGTGAAGGCGTCTGAAGCTGAGATATCGGCGTAGCTGCTGCGTACGAGGGGCTTGTTGTCACCACAATCGCTGATCCCGGTGACTCGACGGAGTGGTCACCTTCATCTGGAGGCATCACTGCTCTGGTTCCCGTTCCTGCTCTATTTTCCTCATTACTGCGGGGCGGCTTGACGGTGTAGACACACGGTCTCTGAAGCCGAACGCATCGTCTGCAAACAGGACGCTGCTCATCGCAGCGGACTTTGCTCTTACGGCATGCCAGACACCCAGTTCGGACGCGTCCTCGATAATGTGGATTCAGGTTAACGTAATTCGGCAGGTCCATATATGGGCTCGGTCCATGGACACACTACACGGTCGCGCTGTGTGTCTGCGCATTACAGCTGACGCGTCGCTGACTGACGCTTGATAGTGCGAAGAAGCAGTGTCCGAGGAGGACGCTGGATTGATGCGTGGTATGAAATGGCAACGTGGCCCACGTGTGACTGTTTACCACGTTTTTAATGCCGAGGTAAGCTTCATCCTGAACGTCTGGCTAATTCCCTGGCAGGAGTGTTTCCTGGTACTGGGACCTACCTCACAATTGCGGATGTGATCAATGGAAGCTACTATTAGTTCTCGAGACCTGTCGGACGTGGTTACGGCAGGCATTCTGATTGGCTCGTGACTTCCATCAGGGTGCTGAAGCTGCTTCATGCCAGACACTGGAAGCGACACTCAACGTGGGTGTGGAATATCTCACTTCCTGTGAACGATATTCACGAACGTACGTGCATTGGAGAGAGCTCAAGGTAAGATCGCTTCGCTGTATGTCACGCTAGCCACTTTTCCTGTCCAATGGACAGTCCTCACAACGGTCCTCTCGAATGTTTCGCTGTTCTCTCCATGCCGTGCCTTTCACTGCCAGTTTCATTATTCACATTCCTGGGCCTGCTTGTATCGGCCGTGAAAGATCCATCCTCTGTGCTGTAGCCATGCTTGCCATGCTTGCCGTTTTGCCCAGAAACGCCGCCGTTGCCAGCTTGGGAGAGTCTGACGAAATCTCCCTTGCCACGGGTATATATTTCCTGTCCAACCCATCTTATCTTCAGGTTCCTTCACATCACATACAGAAGATCCGTATCTGCAAAATTCGTTAGCGACTGCACACTAATGATTTCGGATAGAGCGAGACTTACTCAGAGGATGCGAGCAGCTCAGCTGCGGCTTCTGCGTATACTTGCTCGCCAACTCATCCCGTATACTGTTCAACAACTGCACATAGCTCTGATGCGGATTCTTCTTCAGCGCCGTCACGAACGCCCAACTCATCGCGCCCGTCGCCTGGCCCGCGATGTTCGCATCCTGACTCGTCTGCTCGTCCTTACTGCCACTCCACATAATGACATCTGCAGGACTCGTCTTAGTGACCTTGTTGCGCTCGTACGAATCCCGACCGGTAGTCGCTTTCTTGAAGAGTCCCATGGCGGTCGAGGCCATTCCGCCCAAATCGCCACGGGCGTAAGACGAGACGATAGAGAGCAAGCCCTGGCCAGCCTCCTTCGCAAGATTGGGCTCCTTGAGCACGCCGGAAGTGGAGTAGATGTACGGAAGGTCGAGGGCGGAGCCGGAGTGGCAGGAGTCGAAGATGGCGGTGAGGCGGACACCCGGACGGAGAGTCTGGACCATGATGCGGTGCATTTCGTCGTCGACGATGTGGCCGGCTTGGCGGAAGTCCACGGGATAGATGACTTCGTCGTAGCCGTCGTCTTCGTCTCCGTCGAGATCGGGCGTTTGGCCGCCGTGACCGCTGTAGTGGAAGAAGAGAGAATCGTTGGGTTGGGCGTCTTTGACGAGCCAGTGCATGGCGCGCAGGATGTTGGCTTTGGTTGGTTGGGACATGGGATTCTGCTGGTCGTCGGTCAGGCAGACCATGTCTTCTCGCGCGTAGCCGAAGTTCTGGTTGAGGTACGTCGACATGTTCTTGACATCGTTTATGCAGCCGCGCAGCTGGCCTCGCTGGTTGAAGTAATTTATGCCAATTAGCAGAGCTTTCCGCTTTCCCGTGCAATTTGAGTACTGGAAGCTGTAATTGTTGGGTGCGCCGTGGCCGAAAGATTGTGGGGCGGATGGTGGTGGAGGAGGGCCGCCTTGTCGTTGCTGGTGAGTGTTGGCCATGCCTGGTCGAGGGCCTTGAAATGTGTCAGCCTCGTTCGGCCAGTGCTGTGAAAGCTGCGACTCACCTGGGTAGCCATTAGGCTGAGGGGAAGGCTGTCCGTACCCGCCATAGCCTCCCTGTTGCGGCGGTGGGGGATTATTGTAGCCGTACGGCGCGTTTTGTGGCGGAGGATGGCTGTATTGATAGTTCTGCTGTGGAGGAGGTGTGCCGTAGCCGTAGCCGCCTTGCTGGGGATATTGCTGCTGTTGGTACGGCTGTGGTGAATATGACGGCTGAGGAGGACCGTATGAATGCTGTGCTGCGCCGTAGCCGCCTTGTCCTGGGTAGCCGTAAGACATGGGAGTTGCGCTCGCAGGGTTTTCGCCTCGAAGGCACTATGAATGGGAAAGGTTGGAATGTGTGTCTGAGGGTGGCCTTTCCTTGCACAGGAAGTTTCAGAAGCGATTGAGTGAAGAGTAAAGATGGAAGCGCAGATTAGACGGGGTCGTCGAGTTGTCGACGCTGACGCGGAAATGTCTGGGCTCTTCTGCCAGTCTCTTTGAGTCGGTGCCGATGACCCGCGTCAGAGGCAAACCCAGGGGTCCTGTGCGGCTTAAGTAAGCTCCAGATCCCCAGATCGGCGCTGTCTGTGCTTCAATCAACCACAAGGCAATTTCGACGTCGTGCCTAGAAGTGATTATGCTATGATCGTGAATCGTAGGAGTAACGATAGTGGTCTTCGAGGAGGCAGAGTTTTGTATGAGGGTCAAGTCTTGGAATTAGAAACACAGAGGCTAACGAACGGCGGGAGGTGATGAAGGACAATATCTAGCCGCCTGCACAGAGACACGGCCTACACAGGTCACTTGTATGGTTCTTCCTGCATTCACTCTCCAATCAATCCTCCTGTAAGCGAAATCGAGCTTCACAAGATATCCATATCAAACTCACAACGACTGGACAAGCGGTGTCGCCTGGCAGACATGCTAGCTCATGCATTTTCGAAGTTTGACCTTTTGCTAAACCGCACACAGAAACCCCCTCGTCCCCAGGCTCCCGGCCTGCTCCAGGCTCTCGTTTGGGCGAAGCGAGCACCTCTGCTGCCCTTCCTATCGCTACATTCGCTACAGATTCGCGTTTCTCATACCCGTTCGGGCACGCAGATGGTCTGTGCACACCGCACGCAGTACATATACAGTCGACAACGTGCTTGTGGCTGGCTGTAAAACCGATGCGTTGGTATCTCGTTAATTCGTCCTCGCCTGGCAGCGCGCACTCGAATTGACCTAGTGAGCTGACTCTGAGAACTTTCCCCAAACCGAATCAGGCGTGTCCATCCTCTGATCAAGCTGTCTTGGGTTTAGACTTAAAGCTTCATGCCCGAAAGAAGTGTATACAGGGCAGGAGACTGGGGGCAGTCTTCAACATGCGGTCAGAGCTGGGCTATGATCATGCAGGTGTCCAGCGAATAGAAGTTGGAAGGGAGGGACTTTTGGTCGTTGACAAGCTCAGACCCAGGTCAGCTACCTGTATGCAGTCTCGCTAACGCCCATTGCTGCCCCAGGAATGCTTTTTTTTCAGTCTATCCCCCATGGTTGTTACACGTGGTGACCCATGAACCGCATCGTGCCGGCACGCGATGCACCGTGCTTCTCAGTAATGTTGGATCTAAGTATTCGCTTCTTTTCTTGGGTATCATGGCCATCTCGAAAAAGTACTTGAGCCCATCTGCCACGCTCGTCTCATCTCCGCGGCATACCTCTCCCTCTGCCTCGCAACGCTCGTTGCGCTGCACCCGGCGGTAGGCCTCGTGCAGGTGCCTGCGGCTGTTGTGACTCTTCGTTCTTGATCGTCTCATCGACACTGAGGATCAGGCATGCTGCCTCCACGGCTGCCGAAATAGCATTGACCTTCACCAGTTCGGGCTCCCACACGAACGCCTCCATGTTATTCCGCACACCTTCGTGGTCGAAGTCGACGCCAGCCCAGACGTTTCCATTGTGGTGGTGCTCTACCCGTAGACGATTCAGGATATCTGTCGCGTCGAAGCCAGCATTGTCGCAGAGCTGTCGAGGGACGATTTCCAGTGCTTTTGCGAAAGCCTTGACGATCGCCTGCTGTTTGTTCGGCACGTTTCTGTCGGCGTGCTTGTGCAGGTATACTGACACCTCCATCTCGGTTGCACCACCGCCGGCCACAATATTCCTATTCCGTAGCGCTCGCTTCACGATCATGATGGCGTCGTGTAATGACCGCTCGGCCTCTGCAATGAATTGCTCCGCTCCTCCTCGCAGAATGAGTGTACACGTCTTGGCTTCCGGGCAGTCTGAGAACAGGTTGAATCTCTCACCACCGATCTGCTTCTCCTCGAACAGCCCACACGTGCCGAGATGTGAATCCTGGATGTCGGAACACGTCGACTGAATGACAGCACCGGTCGCCTGACATACCCGCTCCAGGTCATCGGCGGTGACACGTCCTGCGCAAAAGATGTCGCGGTCCGCGAAGTACTGTGTTGCTAGATCGCCAATCGGCAGCTTGCTGAGCACTACCTTCGCGCCCGTCTTGTATAGTGCCTCCATTTTGTTGTAGATGATCTGCCACTCCGCGTCCACAATCGCCTGGTATTCTTGCACTTGATCGACCCTCACTTCCGCGTTGTCCTTTTCGGCCTTGAGTTCGAGTTCCACGTTTAATGCCACGATCTTCGGATTCTTGAATGTTTTGGGCTGCTGCTCGAACCCAGCGTATGAGAACGTCTTCTTGAATGCAACGCCATCCACAAACAAAGAATCCTGCAGCGCACCGCCTGTGATCTTCTTGATGCCAATCAGTTTCTCGTTTAGGTCGTCCTGGTCTAGCGACAGTACTGCATCGACGACCATCTTCGTGAAGAAATCCGCGTTCCGGTGTATCAGTTTGCTGCTCATAGCTGTTGCCGCCAATTTCCGCAGTGTGTCGTATTTGTTCCCTTCCGTCGTACTGACCGAGATCTCCTTAATCTTGTTAATCGCCATGGCGCTTGCCCGCCGCAGGCCCTTCACAATAGTCTGTGTTGAAACACCCTGCTCAACAAATTCCTTCATCTCCTTTAGAATCTCACCAGCCAGTACCACAACGGATGTTGTGCCATCACCGACCTCCGCGTCTTGTGACCGAGCGATGTCGGTGAGTATTCGGGCTGCGGGGTGGACGATGTCGAGCAGGCGCATGACGGTCGCGCCGTCGTTGGTGATGGTCTGCTTTCCATTGCCGTCTACGAGCAGTAGATCACCGCCATAGGGGCCGAGGGTTGATTTCACGGTGTTCTGTACTGCTAAACATGCGTTGATGTTCGAAAGGACTTGGCCTTTGCCTTGGGACGCATCGGTGCCTATACCATGTTAGTAAAAAGTGCGGCGGCGGGAAGCTGCGTCGGCTTGCCTTCTTTGAGGACGATGATGGTCGGAGTCTGGCCTCCGAAGGCAGCCATTGTCGCTGTGGGAGTTTGAGGCTGTAGTAATGCAGGTGTCCTCCGTGAGTGTGTTCTGAGAAACTCGGCCGTTCTTGCACAAAATCTCGTGAACCGCAAACAAGGCTTCCACAGTGCCGGAAATGCCAAGGCGAGGCTCGCTGAGCGCAGGGGGGCGCGTGCCCAGGTGCAGGTGGAGGACTCGCGGAGCAGACAATGTGAGTGACTTTCAAAACATTGTCATAGACACGAATGTATCACTTGAACATGTGCATTTTATGATGTCTTTGCTATCGTCGCCCGTACTATTTCTTGAAGAGGCTGCTCTTCAAACGTCTATGCTGGGCCATGCATCGGCCGAAGAATCCTCCAACTCAACACTCTGCTCAAACCCCATCTCTTCATCAAGTGTTGCCAGATCATAATGCCCATCCAGCGCTCGATGAGTCTGCCAAATCATGCTTTCGTAAACGAAGGTTGTTGTCATAACGAATGTATCTCCTCTCTGTACACACGCTTCACGCGAAAGTGCTCCAATGTTGCCGCCTCCAGGGTATCCGAACGCCAAAATCAAGTCTATTGCTGTTTGTAGTCGCCCGTGTTGCCGTTGATATAATCCATTTGTGCCTGAGTGAGGACGTTCTGCATGGGCTGCATGTTGTTCAGCCCAGCGCCGTTCAGCCCAGCGCCGTTCAGTCCAGCGCCGTTCAGTCCAGACCCGTCTGTGCCATCCATAACATGATCGTGCTGCATCATCGCCTGTGCTGGGTTGTGAATGAATTGCTGCTCCGGATGTTGAGGGTTGAATGCTTGGGCATGATGCTGCGGGCTGAACGTCTGATCAGAGTTGTGGCGGTTGAATGCCGGATCGGAATGATTGCCATTGAACATTTGTTCCGCGTGCTGGCCGCCATTGATATCCTGGTCGGGATGCTGTCCATTGAAGCCAGGGTCAGCGTGCTGTGCATGAAAAGGATTCTGATCTGGATGCTGTGCCAATGTCACACCGTCCACATAGTCTGCAAGACCTGCCGCCTGACCATAGTCGTGGTGCTGATTGTCGAAGTCATCTTGGGCCATCTGCTGGATTTGGGCCAGGATGGTCGGGTCTATGTTCATGTCGTCGTATGTGGGGTCCAGCTCGTGAATTACAGCATCACCGCCCATGCCGACGCTTGGGTCCATGCTGTTGTACTGGTGAGGCGAAATATGGGTCGGAGATATGGTGCCGATGCTGCCAAGGGGTCGTAGGGTGGTGTCTCGATTTGCTGTGCTTGGTTTTGTGGAATCATGGGAGAGTCCGAGGGTTCGGGCGGTGTCTTGTCCGCGCTCTTCACTCTTTTCGTCGAGTCTGACCTTGAGGTACCTCCCTTATTGGTGGGAACTTTGCATGGCTCGCAGTCCTTGATGACATGACTGACGGTCTCCTTGATTCGTACCCAGTGATACTTTGTCGCAATCATGGCGGTAGTCTTGTTGATGCCGCCATGGTTGACGAGATGCATTTGCTTGGCGATATCATATTGAGCTTGCGGATCCGAGATGACTTCTTTGTCCTTCAACATCAGCTTCTCCGGTTCGCCGTCCTCGCTGGGTATCAGCTTGTAATGCGTAGCGGCACTCCTTAGGCGGCTTTTCTCGGAGCGATCAGCGCCTTGAGGGTAAGAAGAATGCCGCAGATAGTAGCGGATCTTATCAAATCGCTCTTCGTTGCCAACGAGCTCGCCCTCTGCTTTGAGATCTCTGCCGTATATTATAGCATCGACGGGGTCTTGAAACGACTTCAGCTTGCCACATCCTGGTACCCGACCAATCCGCTTGAAGCCCAGCGAATCCCAGATTTTGGTTGACGCTGTGTTCGTCTCATACACCAGGTTGAAGACTGAGTATGTGTAATTCTAGGCGACGTTAGCAAGATCCACATTGCACATACCTTTGAGACCTACCAACTGGGGCGCCCACTCCAAGTAGCACTGACCCATGGACTTGCCGACGCCCTTGTTACGAGCCGCAGGCGTGACAAGAAAGCCACCGTTGCAGACATGGCTGCTGCGACCAGGATAATTTGGCTTGACATAAAAACTGCCCAAGCACAGCTTATTCCAGTCAGCCCCAGCCTCTTCCATCTCCGTAACAGCCTCGACGCCGCCAATATCTCCCAAGATCATGACAGCGCCGAAATTACCGAACCAGTATTTTCCAAACGCCTCTACAGGCATCTGATCCATCATCGGATATGTATCGCCGCCATCGATCTCCTTATTAAGATTGTCGCCAAGATAGGCGAGCAATCTTTTCGGGACATCATCTGGCGTGAAGAATGGGATCAGAGTCGCTATTGTCACGCGATCTCGCAATGTGACTGTTCTGGGAAAGATTGACGAAGGAATCTGCGGGTTGTCTGCTGTTGCGAAAGGTCCTTCTCCGGAGACTCGGTACACTAATGGAGAAAGCGGATCTTCCAGCAGTGCAGGCATCCTTCAACAATGGAGGTGCGCCGGGCGCAGTCATCTGACCACCAATTGTGTCTGGTTGGTCAGGGCTCGCCCGCATATATAAACCGTCCAGCCAAGAAGCGAAGTTGATGATGTGGTAAAAAGTTGAAAGAAGACAAAATGGAAAGCGAAGTAGAGAGGGCTTCAAAGTCAGAAGCGGAGTCTTGGCAACGGCTAAATCACGTGATATTTGGCGAAGGTTTTGCTACGATGCCGATCAGATGTTCGAGGCCTTGAGACGGCACAGGAACTTTTCATATCCGAGAAGCGTCCAGCATTGGGGCGCGCCCGTGTGTCTCGACCACTGTATGGATGCCATCCAACTCAGCACCAATGCTCGTCCTATGTAAAGAAATGTGAACGGGCGGAATTAGTGAATCCGTCGCTAAGCATCGCAATCAAGCACCTTCACTTCCGAATTCCGCTGTCCATTCGGCACTCCGCTTCAGATCCTCACCGCTCACCGTCGGTCTCGATGCTTTGATAGCTTTGACGAAGTCTTTGACGACTAGAGGGGGCTCTAGTAATTTGTCCGATTCGACGTCCACCCAAGTCATTTCCATAGCACCGCTGTCGCCCGGAGAGCATGGTGTCAACTTGTCTTCGCCATCGACTGTAACCTGGAAAGATGTTAGCAAAACCGCTACTAGGCGTAGCATCGTCAGACTTGCCTTCTTATAGTGTGTCGCAGTCTGAATCTTTCGGACTGGTTGCATGAGCGCGTCTTGCACTGCTATGCTGATATCAGAGCCCGAGTAGCCCTCACTCATAGCCGCCAGCGTCTTGTAGTCCTGCTGTGACAGTTCGCACTTGGTGTCGCCCACGGCAAGCTCAAACATTCGCATTCTTGCAGGCGTGTCGGGCAGTGAGATGTGCACTCGCCTCTGAAATCTTCGTCGGATGGCGGCATCGAGCTGCCAGGGAATATTCGTTGCTCCCAAGATCAAGACGCCCTTCGAATCTTTGCCGACACCGTCCATCTGCACTAGTAATTCCGTCTTTATTCTTCGCGAAGCCTCAGACTCGCCCTCTCCACGCGGACCACAAAGTGCATCCACCTCATCGATGAAGATGATGGCTGGCTTGTTCTCTCGGGCCATATTGAACAGCTGTTTGACTAATCGTTCCGACTCACCCATCCATTTGCTGACTAGATCTGAGGATGATACGCTGAAGAATGTGCTGTTGGCTTCTGTCGCGACGGCCTTCGCCAGGTAAGATTTACCAGTTCCGGGAGGGCCGTAAAGCAGTATACCCTTCCACGGCTGCCGCTTGCCCTGGAAGAGATGTGGGAACTTGATTGGAAGAATGACGGCCTCCTTCAACGCCTCCTTCGCGCCCTCCAGACCCGCCACATCCTCCCATTTGACGTTCGGCTTATCAGTAAGAATCGCTCCCGTGAGCTGTCCTCGTAACTTTTTGCTGTCAGCATCCTCCTCTTCCTTATCGCCGCTGTCGCCTTTGCCACCACCGTTCACAGCTTTGCCGTTAACACCCATTGCTGCTGGTTTCTTTGTATCTTGAGCGTGTATATGTGCCTTGAGTTTCTCTGCGCGCTCCATATATTCGCCAGCTTTGGATCTGATCATCTCCTTGGATTTGGCGTTTTTCTCCCATTTCAGCGCGAGCATGAACAGTTCCAGTGCCGAGTAGTATTGCTGGTATGCCTGGTCGTAGTTCCCTGCGTTGTCCATCTCGATGGCCTTCTTCACCGTGTCGATGGCACGGCCCAGGAAGTCGGTGTTCGACATGTTGGCGGATCTTGACGACAGCGCCGTGCGCGGCTGTCCAGAGGCCTCCTCAGAGGTTGAACTGCTAAGTGGTACCTAAATTAGGTAGTGACAACTGTTGATATTCGGGCTGATACGGGAGGTGGGGTTTCGCGGTCAACTTTTGTGTCTGCCTGGAAAATCGCGACAGAGGCCTTCCTGGCACCGCAGTGTCGAGTGCAAAAGGCGTGCTCGAATTCTTGTCAATTGATCGAAGTGAAGCAGAGATGAGTGTAGGACTGATCTGCTAGTGAGGTAGTTGCCGCCCGCGGAGGCCGCCCCACCACCTCTAGCGCCGATTATCACTCAGGCACAAAATAACCCAGGCACTCTCCGCGCTTCTACTTAGTACTATCCAGATTACACAATCATTGTTCATATGGCGGAGCAACAACAACTGCAGCTGCTCTCGGAAGCACTGCAGAAGTTTCAAGATGGTACGCTGTCTCCCACATCACGATGCCTCTCCTCCTAACACCGGCTCGAACAGATCTCCAATCCGCGCTAGAAGCCCGCCAGAAACTCGAGGCGCAGCAGTCCGAGAACGAGGCAGTCAAATCCGAGTTCGACACCCTCAGCGACGGTGCCGGCATCTACAAGCTCGTTGGACCTGTTTTGCTCAAGCAAGAGCGCACTGAGGCAGTGAGTGCCGTGGATGGGCGGCTGGAGTATATTGGGAAGGAGATTGAGCGGACTGAAGAGAGGATCAAGGATTTGCAGGGTGCGAGCGACAACAAGAGGGTCGAGTTGATGCAGTTGCAGCAGAAAATGCAGCAGCAGCAGGGACAGGTGGCGGGTTGAGATCGGTCTCGAGTTTGAAAGTTGGGATCCACTGTGAGATTACACGGCTCAGCATCACAAGGGAACGACAATCCAGAGGAGACTTGGGTCAAGGAGGCTCAAGGTGTCGGATGCGCAGAGCCAGGTCCTCGAATTCCTGCTGCTGGACCAATGCGACCCTATACAGCTCTACTTGGGCAAGTCACCTCGACGGCTCACCATCTCTTGGGCGCCGAGATGACTTCGCGCTGGAAGGAAGCGCTGGCTACCTCGAGCTTCTTTGCTCGTTCACGTGCCACTATACCGGTTCTGTCAGTCACCGGCGTCGCATTGACGATCTTGTTGAAGTCGTCAAAGTCCTCATCCGAGCCAGACTCCTCGTCTGAATCAACCAGCGGCGGTCCAGGTGGCTCATTCTTGAGCATGGCGTCCGACCTCTGTGCATCGACGGGCTCACTCTTCTCCTCCTTCGCCATCTTTCCAGGATCTTGGAAAGGTTTCGAGGCGAGAACTTTCCGCCTTATCTCCGCCATCATAGCCTCTTCCTCTTCGTCCTCCTCATCGGGCGGCAGGTCTAATGAGACACCCTGCTGAACGAATCCACCATCTTCGTCTTCTTCATCCTCGTCCTCATCTTGATCGTCCTCCTCACTACTCTCATCATAGACTTCCTGCCTATTCAAATTGCCCCCAGCCCAGGCATCCCCACCCTCCTCGCCCTCCTTCCGACTCCTCTCATACTCCCGATCCAGCTTCTTCATCCAGTTCTCCTCCGCCTTCTTGACTTCCTCTTCATCCTTACACTTCTGATACCGCGCAAAGAGCTGACTGTTGATCTCCAAGAACGGCTTGCCGTAAGGAAAGTGCTGCAGCACCACGCGCCCACTCCTCCTTCCCACAGATCATGAAACATGCCGCCAGCGCCTCCACGCAGTTCAGCCGCCACGGCGTCCGTAGTTCACTGGGTTTGCCGCGACCAAGTAGGGCAGCAAGCGCTCGCACTTCCCGCCGATACGTGCCCAGGGAATCTCCTTGATGCGCACCCAACTGCATTCCACGACAGCGGCACCGTGCTGTTCTAGTAATTCGCGGTCGGCTGGAGAGACGACCTTCTTCGCGTTAGGCGAGATGACGACGCCGGGGAATTTCTGCCCAACTGCCATCTCGCGCATGAGGCCGAAGTGCATGAGGCGTTTGCCAGAGCAGCGTTTGGAGTCGCAGTGGTTGAAGTCCCAACAGGCGGCCTTGAAGGGTGGCTTTGCGCTGCCAGTGGTCGTTGTTGTGGAGGTAGGCTCGCCATTTTCGTCAATGACGCTGACGGGGATATCGAGGTCGGTGTCTCCTGATTTTGTGGCATTGCGAGGCGTGTGGCGTGAGTGACCGCTGGAGAATTTTTTGGATTTGGAGGACATGCCATCTTTCTTGTGGCGAACCATGGTGAGAACGTAACAGAATCCGAATTGGCCTTCGAGGGATGATGTTCAAGCAGTGAGACTGTCGGGCAATATCAAAGAAGTAGCGTTCGTTGCAATCGAGGCAATTGAACAAAATCATGATGACGATTCAACCAAGTGGATCTCGATGAACAAGTGGCGCATGAGAAGAAAGGTTGCCTTTTTGCCACGTGTAGTCGCCTTGTGAAGGCAACCAATTCGTTTCATTGCAAGAACATTATTCAGGAATGGCAATGTTGGAGATTAGCATAAGTCTAGAGTCCGTCCGGCCAGCAAGAGTCGCGCTCGGGTACAAGCAGGAACGACAGAACTGCAGGGCTGATGCCAGCATGCGATAGCTTTAGCTTTGCTTGAAGTTGGATGACCAGAAATATATCTCCCTGACTGCAGTAGACGCAGTGTTCTAAACTCAGAATCCATGAATGCATTCTACCTCATCTTCCTTTGATCAGCGCCGCGCGATGCAGAAGTATTGGCCATATCCAAGCGCTGAATGATTTACATGACCGCCTCGACCAAGTCTACCCAGATACTGGCCAAGCGTGTATCCCATGGCCCCCAAAACAAGGCGGTCGACTCGTCCTGCACCATTTCCTATCTTCTGACATAGCCTCTGGTCGACTGTGCCGCGTATTTGGAACTCGTTGGTGGCCTCAGTTACCGACCTGATATTGAATTCTGGTCTCATAATGGCTCTTCCTCCGCCTCTGGACTCAGACTCACTAAAAAGTCTCTAGTCATTTCGAATGACAGCCAGCTGCTCGCCATGCTGGGTGCGACTTTCAGCAAATTAGGCACGATGCCTTTGTAGAGCCCGAAAATGCCTTCTTGCGTGATGATGGTTTTTATGGCACCTCCGATCGACGAGTATTGGTAACCCATTCCAGACATTGTGTTAACCTGAAATCTCCGCCGCAGCACGTCGAAGGGATATGTGCATGTTTGGGCAACTGCGCCAGAGATAGCTCCTGCCGCAAGCTTCATGTACCAAACGGGGTTCTTCTCTCCCGGATCTGTAAAATATTTCCGAACTGATTCGTAAACCATGAAATTCAGACCGACGTATGGGGCCACCCCAGCGACGGTAGGGATGATTCCTCGGTAAAGGCCAAGTATACCGCCTTCGGTCTTGTACATGGTCTTCATTGTGGCGAACATGCCGGGTGGCTTGCCCTGAGTCTTTCCTAGCGCCTCGAAGGAGGCTGTCTGTATCGATAGTCGTGTTCTGACGATGTCCAGGGGATATGTGAAAGTGACCGACGTGATGCCTGCCACACCGCCACATACTAGTCTCATCAAAGGAGTCAAGTCGGCGCCAGGTGATGGCTCCATGAACTTTTTGTAGACGCTGTAGCTGCTGAATTGTACCGCCGAGTAAGGGACTATACGGATGCAATTGGTGCCATTTCCGCGCATGAAGCCACGCCAACCTTCGTCGACCCACATCTTCTTGAGCGCCTTGTGTATGGACATTTTGTATTCGTTCCGACCGACGGACTGGACCTGGTAGAGGATCTTTAATCGCTCGAGGGGTGAGACGACCGTTCTCGAGACCGCTCCAGCAACACCACCTGCGCAGAACGCTGCAGTGAATGGTGTGGAGATCGTGAGGCGAAATTGTGTTATTGGATCCATTGTGGCGACTGGGTTCTGTACATTGAGGTGATCAGCATTTGCAAACGAGCGACAGGCACAACGCAGCTCACTTCCGGGACATTAACCAGATCCTCCACCTTCAAGGAACTCTGACCGCCAGTTCCGTCAACGATCGCAGGCTGCTTCTCGCCCAAACGCATAGCAGCTTATCTTTACTCTACCGGCAACCTTCTAAGTAACAATGAGAAAGATCTGGTCCTCGTGCCATGTGAGCAACGCCGTTATTGCGACGGCGAAAGCATAATGCGTCTTAGAGAGCGGAGAAGTGTGGTTGGAACGTTGTGACACGTCTATTATCGAGCCCAGATAAAAAGTCGAGCAGACAGCCTTGCAGTGAAGCAGATTCGCGAATTCAGATCGACTATCGAAAGCACGGAGAGAATCGGGCAGGCTGTGGAGTTCCAAGAAGCGCGCTGTGGGATTGAATGGACGTGTTGAGGCCCGCTTGAGTCGAACAGATAACGAAGTGACTGAACTCGTACTGAGATTGTTTCTTGTAAAGAGCAGGGCGCATCAAGGAAACAGACTAAAGCTGAGCAGTGAATATGTCGAAGATTCAGATTCAGATTTGACCAGGGTCACTGCGCTTCCTTTGCCGGTTTGGAACTAAGCTCTTTTGGTTCTAGTGCAAACGGCCTTTTGGACCTTCCCTTCAAGTTGGACTCATGTTGCTCCTCTCTTCTCTGTTCGATACACCGTCCATCCTTCTTCTTATTTACTACCAGTCCTGTCCATAGGGAGCCTCTTTGAACAAGCCTGGAAGGGTCATCTCGACATGTCTCGCTCAGGCACCACTCTCTACGTCTCGGGCTTTGGTCATGGTACTCGAGCTCGTGACCTGGCCTACGAGTTCGAACACTACGGTCGACTTGTCCGCTGCGACATCCCGGCTCCCCGCACTGCTAGCAGCAGACTGTACGTATCCATCTCTATGCCCATCGATAGCCCTGCTGACGATGCATAGCTTCGCCTTCGTCGAGTACGAAAGTCGCCGCGATGCCGATGATGCCTACCACGAGATGCATAACAAGCGTATCGGCAGGGATGATGTCTTGAAGATCGAGGTGACACATTTCCTTCGGCCTCAACAATAGTTTACTAACATCTAGCAGTGGGCCAGAACGCCTCCCTCTGCCTCCTGGCGCTTTGATGCTGGCCGTGAGCGTGGAGGCGAGCGCGGAGGCGACCGAGGAGGTGATCGTCGTTCCGAACGAGGCGATAGAGGCGACCGCGGCGACCGCAGTGATCGTCGTGATCGCTCTCCCCCTCCTCGCAGAAGCTATGGTCGCTCTCAATCTCCACGTCGCCGCGACTACTCGCCCCGCAAAGATGATCGTCGCAGCGATCGTGACCGTGGTGACAGAGACCGCGATCGAGACTACGAAAAGGGCCGTCGTCGCTCTCGCAGCCCGGACGATCGTGGCCGCGACCGAGAGGATAGAGACCATCGAGACGACGACCGCGATGCTCCAGCTAATGGCGATGATCGCAAAGGTACGGACATCTCTGCTCCCGCAGTACAAGATGATATCATTATGGAATGGGCCTGAATGAAAGCTGACTCCCGTTTCAGCCGCTGACTCGCCACCGCCTGCTCGTGCGGACGACATCGAGCTCGACACTGCCGACAATTGATCGGCGACAGATTCATTCGACAACATTGGTCCACAGAAAAGCAACATGGAAACTTACACATTCTAGCCGCAGCCCCACGCCCGACATACGGAGGATGGGATACTAGGTCGTTTGCAAGGAACATTGTCCAAGGGCAATTCTGCACGTACTTGAGAGATCTGACTTTGATGTGGGATTAGTCTCGAAGCGAACATCCAGCGAATCGAATCGATACGAGACGCTACGGCGCTGAAGGCAGCTTAGATATCAGCAAACTCCACAGTTCCGGGAAAACGCTCCCATCGTTCGATCGATCGATCGATATTCGACCGGTACTCAGAAGCACCATTCCCCTCGCGCTCGACCGCTCCGTTCCCATTCCGTCGTTGCGACCACACTCCCCTTCCCTAACGTCCTCGCCGTCAAACGTCGTATCCCCAAATTTCTTCCAGCACCAACCGCTCCTCAATCGCATCGGCAGCGAAACCTGCCCTCACCTAGCAGCCTTTCGCCAAATCCAGCCGGCCTCGAAACAACGACGTCTAATATCACTACACAGACGGGAGACAATACACCGCGCTGTTGTATGTCCACTAATTTCAAGCTTGCCTAGTCGCATATTGTCGTACATTGACTCGTCGCGCGTGAAATTCACTCCTGTCATCGGCGCACGTCATGCAGGCACAACGGCCTAGGTCAGTAGGTTCTGCATCTACGTCACTGCACAGAGACGTATGTGCACTCGTGATGTAGCTTCGAAACGGCATCAGGACTAAGATGATATGAGCAACAGCTCTGATGAATTGTGGATCATCGAATCCTCATTGCTTATCTAGCAAAACACCACCAGAACTTTCAAAAGTGCCCTTGCCGATAACACCACCAGTCTCACCAGCCCAACAAACGCCATGCTCGCGCGAAAGTCTTTCTGTGATCAATATATGCAGGTGTGTTGAAGTCCTGCGTTGAAACAAAACCTACCTAGCTGAAGCCGACCATGTGCCGGATCAAAAAATCCTTGAGTCTCAGTGCCGCGCATCGCAGTGCGGCAGGAATCCCTTCAATTAAGCGTGCTGCGAAGATGCGGAAGACCATCGATCCTTCCAGCCTCGTCGACACAAGAAATGAGACAACCCTCAAATCTTATGCTGGCTCACCATCCACGTCAACAAGTCGACTTTGGTCACTATCCCGATGGGCTTCAATGCACCCTTATTGCTGCCTCCTATAGCGGACTGGTCTCTCTCGGTTACAATCGCAGCGCTTTGGTACTCCAGAAATCGATTCAGCGCGCTCAGTGGCGTGTCCATCGTGATCTCTGCGAATTCTTTCTTTCGTCCTCCCTTAATGGACTCATGGTGACCGTTTGTACCATTCGTCTCGCCGTTCTGACCAGCAGACTTCCCCTTCAAGCCGGACCCGAAATCCCTTGGATCAGTCACCACTTCCGAGATATTGCTGAAGTCGAACATGACCTCCGACACGGGACTGTTCGCTTTGGCACGGCCATGCGATATCCTCGACAGCAAGTTGCCCAGCGTGACCAGTCCGATCAATCGCTTGCCCTTCTTTGATGTCACGGGAAGCTGGTCAAAACCCTTGTCGCGCATGACTTCGATCGCAGACGCGCACGTGCTGTCCCCGGGGATGGTCTGGATTGGCTTGAGTCGGAGAGCACGGACGGTGGCGCCGGAAAACGGATCATTTGCTTCTTTGTGGGATGTTGTGCGCTTAAGTGGTGAAGCTGGCTCGGCGGGTGGTGTGGGAGGGAGTAGGTCATTCGCGGCGAGCCAGTCGTCGTCGGCGAATTTCGAGAGGTAGCTGCGGATGCTGTCCGGCAGAACGACGACCACGACGTCGTCTTTCGTGAAATGTCCGTCTCGATGGGCGGCAACGAGGGCGGCAATCGCGGAGCCAGACGAGCCGCCAACCAGCAGGCCTTCTTCGGCGATCAGGCGGCGGGCGTAGTGGAAGGAGTCACGGTCGTTGGTCTTGTACCAGGTGTTGACGAGCTGCTGGTCGAGGACGTCTGGAATGAAGTCGTAGCCAATGCCCTCAACTTTGTACGCCTCGTTGGCGCCGTCGTCGTTGAGGGTTGAAGGGAGAGCGAGGATAGAGCCTTTGGGATCGGCAGCAATGATCTTGATGTCTTTGTTGTGCTTTTGCAGGCCACGCGCTATGCCGGTGATCGTGCCGCCTGTGCCTGCGCCGGCCACGACAGCAGTGATCTTGCCCTCGGTCTGCGTCCACATCTCCTCCGCAGTGCCGTGCTCGTGGGCGAGTGGGTTGTCCGGGTTGCCGTACTGGTCGAGGATATGGGCGTTGGGGATCTCCTTCTGTAGTCTGCGAGCCACGCCGATGTGTGATTCAGGCTGTCGAATGCTGCCTCGGTTGGCGTGCGGATGATGGTGGCGTTGAGTGCCTTGAGAACAGACACCTTCTCGGCTGACATCTTCTCCGGGAGGGTGATGATCGTCTTGTAACCCTTGACTGCTGCCACGAGTGCGAGGCCAATGCCTGTGTTGCCGCTTGTAGCTCAATCAGTGTATCGCCTGGCTTTATCCTGCCGCTCTGCTCGGCCTTCTCGATCATGCGCAGGGCGATGCGGTCTTTGACGCTGCTGCCGGCATTGAAGAACTCGCACTTGACCCATACTTGTGCCTCGATGCCGAGGGACTGCGGGATCTTGTTCAGGCGGACGAGGGGACTATTGCCGATTTGCTCGAGGATAGTGGATTTAGCGGCGGGCGTGGTGGTGTGGAGGGGCTCGATTGACGGCGCCATGATGGCGGTGAATGTTGGTAGAGACTGTAGATTCTTGATCTTGGGAAGATACAAAAGAGTGTGCAGTAAGAAAAGAACGTATACCTTGAGGTCTGATGCAAAAGCCTCAAAAGAAGACGTGCTCTTCCTGCCTTGATGATAGACTGGAATGTCTTCCGCCCATGACTTTTTCGCTGCCGCCCGCCCGTTGATAGCCGGAAACCCCCTCCGGACATAAGAATGAGCTAAATCCTGGTACAATCATTGACGACGCCTTTCTTCAAGAGCGCCGTTCTCCATCCTCGGCGACACTTGCTGCAAGTCGAAAAGTCTTTCCTAGGCGTGCTATAGGTAGGTCTTCCTGTGCTCGTAGTTGACCCATCAGAGCGCACCGTGTAGGAGTACACGTTCTATAAGCTCAGTCAGCCACCATGCCTCATCCGCGCTTCACTGCAAAGAAGCGCAGCACTACATATGCCACCATCGACCCAGCTCGACCAGAGCTGTCCGTCAAGGGCAAGACCTTGTACGTGACAGGAGCCAGTCCTGGCACTCTTGGCGCTGGCATTGCCGCTGCTTTCGTGACTGCGGGAATCGCAAAGGTCGGCGTGTTTGGCAGGACCAAGTCCAAACTCCAGCAGACCAAAGCAGATCTGTTGAAGATCAACCCTGACGTTACCGTGTTCACACACGTTTTCGATGCCGGCGACGCCGAGAGTGTAGGCGTGGCAGCACATTGGGCCAGAAGCGAGATCGGAGGTAAATGCTATCGTTCATGCCGGAAACGGGGATTCCACCTTACTAACAGCACCTGATTAACAGCATGGGACGTCTTCATCAACTGTGCCGCCTTTCATTCACCAAACCCGGCCACGATACAAGGTAGCGAGGAAGACGACTGGTGGAAGACCTTCGAGCTCGGCGTCAGATCTGTACAGTACTTCACAAAGTCTTTTATGCCGAAAGCCAGGCCGGGAGCGACATATATCTCGATGAATTCCGATACGGCTTTCACTCGGCCAGAGGGATTGCCAAAGATGGCTGCGTATACGGCGAGCAAACTTGCGACGGCGAAGTTGGAGGAGTACCTCTCGGTCGAGAATCCTGGGATGAGGACGTTTACTATTCATGTACGTATACCTGTAAACCTGAATCGGGCGAGGCATCAAATTCCCGTTCCGGGTTCTTTTTCCCGATACATGTTCTGACTGACAGGCGCAAAAGCCGGGTGTGTACCGGACGGGCATGTTCGATCAGTGGGTCAGAGATCTTGGCTACCCGGAGGATTCACCTTCAGACAATTTGAGGTATGTCCCCTTTTCGCAAGCCTGAACCAGTGAACAACTGGGAGCTAGTCTAGGTTGAGCAGCAGAGACACTTGTCTTGGAGGCTTGATCCTGCCTACCCTGGTCTCCTGGACCAGGTGTTTCCTTTGTTCTGCCAGCCAATATGATCTCCTCCTAACGGCCACTTCGTGGTTGTTTAGCTTTTGATCTGTTTCCCCATCTCTCATCTCACACGTTCCCTCAATGTTCTGGTTCAGGCTAACCAATACCGGCGGTAAATAGTCTGGCGGGAAACTTTTGCATCTGGCTGACGTCGCCGGAGAGTGACTTTCTCAAGGGCCGCTATCTTGCCGCGACTTTTGATGTGGACGAGCTGCTGGAGCGGAAAGCAGAGTTCGAAAAGGACCCAAAGTTGTTGCGTATTACGTGGGCCGGTACGTATCTGTGAACATCCCGCTACGGGTCGTACGCGATGTTCCCTGAGGCCTCATTGTATTGCTGTTACATCATACCAGTGCTAGATGCTAGTTAAGTGTGCTCAGGCTAGGCCTAGGGTCAGGCTTTTGCTAGGAGGGATCAGTGTATGTGATTTTGCTAGGAGGGTTGTTCTGCTAGGAGGTTTGTCGTGCTAGGACAGGTTGTGCTGCTAGAAGGGTATGGTGCTGCTAGGACTGATGCTGCTATGAAAGTGCTTTATGCGAAGCCGGGACGCCTCTGCCTCGATCTCCTGGACTGCTCTCCAGACTCAAGTAAGGCATCGATGAGAGAGTCAACAGGGCCTCGAAATCAGCTGTCATGCTCAAGCAAGTGACACTTGACGCCAGGCGAGGGCACCATTGATTTGACTGTGACGCACAAGCGAGGGACCAATGACGGGAGCCGAAGAAGATTTCGCTAAAACAAACCAGTGAAACCCAACTCACAGCTTGCAGCCGTCGGCTGGTGATCGCGATCGTGGTAAATTCAAAAGCGTTCTTATATCGCGTGATATGGTGATCAAGCCATGCCCAGCGCTCAACCCGTGGCGCTAGAAACCCTTAAGCGAAGACTTCGTAGATTCGATTTCGTACTCCTCTTTTCCCGACAAGGAGGGCAACGTTCTGCGAGGCGCGTGTCGGAGACTCGTCACGGCCTAAGCTTACCTCCGCCTTCATCTGCGCAATCGAGATTCGAGATTGTGGCATGGCCAATGCGCATTGCTCTGCGGGCTATGACACGAAGATCCCGTACGTACTGTGCGTAGACACCGAGCAAGAATCACATCTGCCTTGTAACGAGCTATTCTTGCTACAAGCACTTTTGATGAATTGGAACTCCTCCCAAATCCCGCCCCGTCATTTCCTAGCTCACGTCGGTCGCTGCCAGGTCGTAGCGACGCCGCAGGCCACCGACGAGTCGAGGACGCAGAGGATCTGCCTCAAGTAGAGCGCCGGAAATTTCCCTCCTGGAGCGGAGCTGCTTGTGACAACTGTAGTGCCAGAGACGACTTTGCCTACGCAATGGCTGCATCACCGCACAGCATGATCTGCGTCAACTGCAACGGTTGCGAAGCAGAATTACATAAAGCGTCGCGGCACAGTCCGCAGCCCATGCGAGCCCTCGCCAACGGCATTTTCGGCATGAATCTTCTGTCGTCAAATTTAGCAGATTGATTCGTCGCAGCCGGGGGCTGTGCCATGTGGGCCAGCGCGCGACTGCAGGCATCTCATCGCAACTCTGCCCCTGAAAAGGTGAGCTTTGCGTAGGCGACGAACTTAATCCGAAATCTGAGCCCACAGGGGGCATAGAGGGGGCTGAAATCAAGAAAGACCGAGTGGTGGGCGTGGTTCTGGGCGTGTGATAAAGCCACATACCCCAGGCCTGGTACCAGCTCAAGAAAAAGCCATCATTACCACCAACGTCCCGCTCCTTTCATCCCTCGTTCCTTCCACTTGACAGATCCTTTGCATCCTGTGAAACACCAGCTTTACTTCGTACGATCATTATATACGGGTTTCGAGTTGATCTACTCATCATTTTGCGACACGACTTCTTCGAATATCTGAAGCACGATTCAGGGTCAATCTTAATTTACCCATATCGGTGGCCGTAGGCCCCACTTCCTTTCAGGGCAACTCGAGAACATCTGTAGTACATACTGCGATGATTTCCGACTTCACCACAATACTTCCATGAATATGGCGCCTCACAGTGAAGGGGAGACTTGGGGAGGACACCATGAATCTCTGGAACTGACTTCGCGCGACGATGCGCAAGACGCCAACCTGCTCACTGGCCGCGTTGTCAATAGGGGCAAGTACCAGGTCTCGAACCTTCTGGGCCATGTGATCCCGTCGACATTACGCTATACTTCATATCGACGCGCGCCATCACCTTCTCGCCGACGTCCAAGATTCTGCGGCCGGAGTCTGGCCCGGTCATGTGTGTCACTATCCTACATCACCCTGGTCATCGTGATACTATATTCGATCACCGGCTTCATCTTCTTCCCAAACTATAGCACCTTACCGCCGCAGTACGAAGCATTGCGCGAACAAGCGACCAGTTCGAACGCGCCGGGAAGTGGCAATCCTAAGCAACAGAAAGTGTTCATTGCATCGAACCTGTATGACCCGCACGGCCAACTTGCTGATGGGCCATGGGCCGACAACGTGCTGCGACTCATCCATCTCTTGGGCCCTGACAACACCTACTTGTCGATTTACGAGAACGATTCTGGAGATGTCGGCAGCGACGCCATGGATAGACTGCGAGCCAAGACACCATGCAACAATACTTTGGTTGTTGAGGATCACCTCGACCGCTCGGGACTTCCGAAGATCACGCTTGTTGATGGCAGGAAGCGAGTCAAACGGATCACATACCTTGCGGAGGTCCGCAACAAAGCCTTGGAACCACTGGCCGATGCAGAAACAATCTTCGACAAGGTATTGTTTCTGAATGATGTGTACTTCGATCCTGTGGAGATCCTGCAGCTGATATTCGCAACGAATGACGGCAACTACCGCGCTGCGTGCGCGGTCGACTTCATCAATCCTTTTAAGTTCTACGACACGTTTGCATCCCGCGACCTGGGAGGATACAGTATGGGTGTACCGTTCTTTCCATGGTTTTCTCGAGGTGGCGACCCACGTACTCACGACGACGTTATCCAAGGCAAAGACGCAGTACGGGTACGGAGCTGTTGGGGTGGTATGGTTTCGTTCGATGCAACGTTCTTCCAACCGAGCGATGAAAAGATCGCACCAATCACGGCGTCTGAGATCAGTCCGGCTAATTTGTCTGCCCCGTATCGCTTCCGGGCCGAAGAAGACACATACTGGGAAGCCTCGGAGTGCTGTCTGATTCATGCAGATATACAGAGCCCAGATCACGAGCAGTCAGGGATATTCATGAACCCTTTCGTCCGAGTGGGCTATACACCAAGGACGCACGCCTGGCTGGGATTCACTAAGCGCTTCGAGGCGCTTTATACGCCAGTCCATTATCTCGTCGATATCATCGCCGGCTTTCCTCATCACAACGCTCGCAGGGAGGAAGAGCCTTGGTCTGAAGTCGACGAGGTCGTCTGGGTTATCGACGAGAGCTTGGAAGAAGGCGGATCATTCCAGCAAGTGACCAGACTGGCTAGTCATTCGGCATTTTGTGGCCACCGAGCCCTGTCAGTGATGAACGAGGAGTATTCTGGAGAGGTGGACATCGACAGCTACGAAAAGATACCGCTTCCATCAGGAGGGCTCCCTTCGTAGTGCTTGGGGTTGTCATTTATTTTGTTCTTGTCTTGAGCGAAGGCGTTGGAGGAGTCACTATATGCACGTCATCGCCTATAGAGTGCAGGATAGGTATGCAATCGAATCGTCCAAAGGCGGGTCTCTTGCTTCCAAGAACGTTTACTCGACGATCGTCTTATTGAAAGATGATCGTGCTGTCATCGGTACGTGACTGCCTCGTGAGATGCAAAAGGACTCGAATGAGTCGAAGGTCTTGGCACTTTGGGTCAACGACTTGGAAGTCACAACTTGAATTCAAGCTGCAACAACACCACTCGCGTTATCCTCTTTTCTTCACCCGTTCTAACCAGCGTCCGTCTCGTGTACACTTCTTGACAATTGTTGATTCATTGTCGCAACCATGGCCACACAACCAGGTGCTTTCGCGGTCGACGATCCAAAGATCCTGGCGGCTTTTCTCGAACACCTTCCACAGCGACAGAAGAATTATGAGAGAGGCTGTATCCCTTCGGACAACAAGGTGAGCTTCCCTACCAACAGCATTAGCTTGGACCTCAAGTAATACTTGCATAGGATGAAGAAGACGGCGACGTGAGGAAGCAGGCCTCTGCCAGCGCCGGCGTTGAACCTGCCGACGATACTCAAGACCCGCCTGTTGGCACACCCCAACATGATAGCCACGTTAATTCTGCAGCCGCGACTCCCCCAGAAGGACATCGTGCACCTCCACCTACTCCAGATAGTGTGGCTGTTGCTATCGAGAGAGAATCCAAACACCTTGAAGTGATTCCGGAAGATGTCAAACTGTCTTTCGATTCAGCCGAGACCACTGAGCAACAGACTATTGAGGAAGCTCACGAAGAGGACTCTGGTGAGCTGAAGAACTATATCTGTCGAAATCAAGCTAATTGCTGTAGCTCCGAGCAACTCTGCGAAGGAGGTATCCAACGAAGATCGTCCACTCGAAGCTATCCTCAGTCCAACCACGGCTACAATTAGTGCGTTCGATGCGTTCACCGAGAAGGGCGGCAATGTTGGTCTAAAGGCCTCCAAGTTCGCTGGCATTGGACGAGTTCGCAGTTCTGTGGCACCGCGGTCTGTTCTTTCGACCAAAGACTCTAATATTCCAGCCCCTCGCTCCCCTGTCACGCCCTCCCGGCAGTTCGCGATGCCAGACAAAGTAGGTGAAGCCTACCAGGACTCAGTCGTTGAGCAGTTTCGCAAGCAACAGGAAGAGAAGTTGGAGAGTCGTTCTATGATTTTCAAGAAGTCAACCACCGCGAAGACTGATAGCGAGCCACGGAAGGTTACCTTCAACGTCGATGCTGCCAAACAGGCACTGGTTCAGAAGGTCGACATCGATACGATGAACTCCTCCTCACCCGATGAAAAGCAGGCCGACGACCCAGGTAGCGCCGATCCCAGTGACGATCATTCCAAACCTGAGCAGAACACCGCCAATTCTGTCAATACAACCAAAGAGAATATGCCGCCATTTGCTCCTGCCGTTAAGAAGGAAGACGCTCGTCCGAAGTTCGACGTCTCTTCCACGCCGCCGGAGTCGCCTGCTGCTTTCGAACCTGTACGTACATCTGCCGATAGCTGACCTGTCCGATCCAATGAGTCACCGGAGTGAATCAACAAGAAAGCTTGATGACATTGTCGACTGCTCCTTTCCAATACCTTGCTGGTGCATATGCTGGCTTGGCAACGCGTTCTAACGTATTCGCTAGCTTCCTCTCGGTCTCTTCAAAAAGCACGGGCTCAACTTTGACCGTGCGGCCGCGATAAAGACCACCGAATCCTCCACTGTCATCGCAAAGAATGACACCGAGAACAGTAGTGACAATGGCTTCCAGCCTGCCGAGAAACTTGCAGAGTCTGTCATCACGCCTGAGGATGGCCAAGATCGGGACAATGCGTCTTTCTTCACTAGTTGGGGTGCTCCGGCCGCGCGATCTGGTCCGAGTAAGTGCCTCCAAAGCCCTGAACGTGACTTACGCCAGATTGCAAAGACTGATACAGTGCACAGAAGCTGAGAAGCGTCGAGTGATCATCTCCGGACTGCCAGGTCTCATCGACGACTGTGCTCTCGCCGGCCTCATTCATGAAGGTCCATTGGAGACTTATCGTGTCAACAAGCCGTCTGAAGGCAGTGCAGCCCTTGTCAGCGCGATCGTTACATTTACTACGGGAGACTCAGCACAGGCGTTTTACAACAAATACCCTAATGGCCTCATTGTAAGAATGAGCGGCAAGAAATACGTTGCCACTGTCCAGATGGGCGAGAACGTCGATGTGATTTCTGATAAGTTTCCTCAGCCTGGTCGTCTGCTGGATCGAGTCTCCTCTTCTGACACTGTGACCACTAGGTGTTATGAAGCGCTATCTCGAGGTTGGTGCGACTCGGGTCGTACGTGCGACGGGCGCCGATGAGGACTGGACTCCGCGTGCACTGCGAAAGATGGCTGAGGGTAGAGGCCGCAAGCTTGAGGCTATTGCTGACCTCTACCAGAATGATGTAAGTCGGCCGATCTCCTTCCACTTTCCCAAGGCTGACCGATGGCAGGCGCGAACTATCGACTTCCGGTTCACCAATATCGCTGATGCCGTCGCGTTCCGCGGTCTTCTTACTCGCGACCACGAGTGGGAGGATTGCACTATCACGTTCGCCGAAGACCCTTGTGCCAAGCCTGCTGCCTCTACCGGAGCTTAAGGTCGATTCGCGACATCATGTCTAGAACCAGATGGTCCGAGAAGCGTGGTTCAGGAAGACTCTGGATGTCATGCCATGCACATGAGTGTAAAGGTCAAACTCTCTGTCACATGCTGCAATCGGTCTAGAGAGATGACTAGATGACCAGATGCCAGCAACGAGTCAATTCTGGTGTCTGCGAACAAAATGCATGCTCATGATACCCAAAGTCACGCGTTTCGGAGTGCTTTTCGTGGCTGCAATCGTGCATTCGTGCAGTTTCGTGCTGTATGACACCCTGTCGCTGATCTCGTGATAGAGCCCATGTCGTCAAGGAAGAGAGAAGCAGTACGCAGCTCGGTCAAGTATCCGACGGCTCAGGAAGTTACACAGTAAGCTCGCCAGAAATAAGCAATGCCGTTGTCGGAAAGCTACCTGCATTGTGAGCAGTATTCATAGGGGGGATATGCCTGAAGCGCTCTGATTGGTGGTTGGCTTCGCATTCGAGTCGAGGGAAGACGACGCGCACCCCACGCCCGAGAAAAGTTCAAGCTCTGATAAAAAGAAAGTCGTGCCCACTACCACGAGCTCCAGCATCTCCTTTGATCCTCCTCGCTGTCGAGTATCCCATATCTGAGACACTTCTTTCCATACTTCGCAAAGATGGGAATGCCATCAGCGCCGGCGTCCAACGCCATCATATACACCACATATGCACTTTTTCTGTATGACGCAATCTTCATCCGAGGCACACGACGACTTCAATGTTGCACGAGCTAACGCTCTAGCAGGTGCTTTGGCCTAGCTGTCGCGTGGAAGCTTCGCAAACAGTCCAAGGGTGAATGGCTGAGTGCCAATGGGACGCAGAAGGGTCAGATTGAATCATGCGCGCTGGCTGCGACTGCCATTCTCGCTTCTGAGTTTCCAGGAAGGTACTGACACGTTGCTCCAGGAATACCACTTGCCCTCAACTTTATTGCGTCGGGTGAGTGCGCACCACGCATTGCAGTGTGACTTCTTCATCGGACGTCATGCTGCAATGGCGTTGATATCCATTCCCATCTCAGCATAGGATGGGCGGCACTGTTCCATATCGACAAAAGATCGAGTCCCGGCAATCTTTCAAGCACTATACAGTAGCCTACCTCCGAAAGGAAGTCTGGCTATCCAGGTTCGTACGCTCGCATTACAAAACTTCATCGTTGGCTGTTTCTTGGCCTTTCTTCTCCTTTCCTCTTCTCGTTCTGTGTCTCCAGCTCTTCTCGTCTGCCGAGCTTGTCAGATCACTCAAATCTGCTAAATCTAGCATTCTGTCACATCAGAGACAAGTGTGGCTTTCAGATGAGTTCAAAGCTCCCTCCCGACTGGTTGAGCAGAGCAGGAAGAGGAAGGAGAAAAGAGGCCAGGACCAGCCAATGGCAGCACGACGGGTGCTTAGCGTCGAGCTCTCCGTGTCTCTCGTTCCTGTATCCCCAATGCAGATTGCCTGGCCTGTCCAGAGGTCACAACAACGGCCTGCTCAAGGGACTGGCACGATAGACACCGAGAGCACGTCGCGAAGCTGAGATAATACCGTTATGACTCGATCAAGTTAATGCTTGCGTGAGGAACGAGTGCTGCCTATGTCCTGGACCCCCTTCTATTGGCGGCGCGAATTGTGTTATGCTAACAGTCTTGTCTTACCTTCTTACAGCTCTCGGCTCAGGTATCCTCTTTACATATCCGCAAATTGCGACCATTGCAGGCGTGCAAGGCGTCGTCGTCTACGCTCTTGCCTCAGCGCTGCCGTTGCTCATCTTTGCTTATCTTGGACCTGTAAGTCTACTTCCCAGGTCACCGCAATCCATCCCTCGTGCTCTCTCGGCTAGCATGCTAATCGGCGTCGCGACATCAGATCATTCGCCGCAAGTGTCCCGAAGGCTTCGTCCTAACCGAATGGACCCGCCAGCGCTACGGCACACTGACAGCCCTCTACCTCTCCTTCCTCACCCTCGTCACCATCTTCCTCTACATGGTCGCCGAGCTCTCCGCCCTGCAACAAGTCGTCAACGCCCTCACAGGCCTCAATGGCCTCCCCGCCGTGATCGTCGAGTGCTTCGTCACGACCGTTTATACCTCCCTCGGCGGCTTTAAAGTCTCCTTCATCACCGACAACATCCAGGGCGCCATGGTCCTCGGTCTAATCATCATTGGCGTCATCACCGTGGGCACACAAGTCCACATCGAGCACGACCTTGTTGAGCAGTCAGGCTACCTCGACGCCAGCTTGCTTGGATGGCAGCTGATCTACATCCTCCCCGTCGCCATTCTCACAAACGACTTCTTCATCAGCGGCTTCTGGATGCGCACCTTCGCCGCGCGCACTGACAAAGACCTGTGGATCGGCGTGGGTATCGCCACCATTGCAGTAGCCATCATCCTCACTCTCCTCGGTGTCGCGGGCCTCCTGGCGGGCTGGTCCGGCTCGCTCGGTAACCCCATAGATGAAGAGAACGGGGCAATTGCCCTCTTCCTCCTTCTAGCGAGATGCCTGCTTGGGTGGTGGGGATCATTCTCGTCATGACAGTCAGCCTCAGCACCGCTGCCTTCGATAGTTTTCAATCCGCGATGGTGAGCACGGGGTCGAACGATATCTTCCGGAACAAGTTGAACTTCTGGTGGATTCGCCTAGCGGTCGTACTTGTCATCTTCCCGGTCGTGGTTGTCGCACTGAAGAGTCCGAGTGTCTTGCAGATTTATTTGATTAGTGACCTCATCTCGGCGAGCAGTATCCCGGTTTTGGTCATTGGGCTGAGTGAGAGGTGCTATGCATGGCGCGGGTTCGAGGTAGTCGTGGGTGGCTAGGTGGGATCCTAACGATCTTCTTGTTCGGACTGGTCTTCTATGATGGGGACGCAGACAAGGCCGCCAACCTGATGATCCTGACTGAGGGGCTGTACGTGGAGGACTGGTCTGCTTTCGGGGCCTTCGTGGCAGCGCCAGTTGGTGGACTGCTGTGGGCGCTGGCGGCGTTCGCGGCCAGGATTGGGTTCTGGTGGGTCAGAGCGAAGGTCAAGGGGGAGCCGTTCACCGCGCTTGATCGCCCACACTCGTCGGCCGTCGGACTGGGTGGACGGGATGGCGGACTGGGTGAAAATGATGTGTACAGAGATGGAGATGGGGTCGAGAGGAGTGAGACTGTGGCTGGGAAGTTCTTTTGAACGGCCAGGGCTCACACGATCAAATACGACGGGTCATGAGACTGAAACGACGTTCTCCAGATGGGGCAGAGCTTGGATGTGTCGGAAGCTGGACTTGTGAAGACGGAGCTGTGAGCCTGGAGGTCGTGGTGAGGGTCCCAAGGGCTCAAGTCTACGCGCCTACGGGACGGCGCGGTTCACTGTATATGTCGAATCGGTTAATGAAGAGCTGTACGGGGACCTCTAGGTCGGATCACATGAGCCATCATACATAAATGGCAATCATTCACTCGCTTGCAGTCAGAACTACCCTGCGCTTGTAAAACCCCATGAATATGGTGAGGTCGATGCACCATCTAGCCCTCAATCTGAGATAATTCAAGCTACTCGGAACTGACTACTGTCCACCACCCAATTCAAGTGATCCTCCAGGCAGCAGCCCGTTATGAATTGTGCAACGAACAGTGAATGCTTCCCGAGCGAGTTGGAGAGTTGCCTCGCATCTTCAATCTGTTAACGAGGTATAAGAAGTCGTCTTTCCCTCGAAGCTGTCCCCTTCTTTTGTTCTGCCACCTCCGATTGTGCTCGATCTCTTGAACTGCCATGTCAAGGTGGTAGCTGTTGCTGCTTGACGAGGCGAGCCTCTCTGCCCCGATGCTACCTGTGGTTAAGCACGCCCGACTCTTCCATCGCATCATTCCTTACCGTGGCTTGCAATCTACAGGACGAACTCGTTCCCTTGGCCTCCCTCCGACTGAATGATTGTACATCTCATCTACTTTCCCATCCCACCAAACCAATGCACCCCAGTAACCCTCTCCGCATGCACAACCGCTATCACACTCACGACCACCGCCTCTACGCTGATCCCGTACTTCACCCTCGACCCCTCAAACACCAATAGATCTCCCAATGTATCCCCTCCGCGCCACTGATTCCACAGCGCGACCACCTCGTTGGTCTCTGGGTGGATGAGCTTCAGGCTGCCGTGTTTGGTGCTTTCTGAGGAGTTGAGTTGGAGGTTGGTAAGATTGTGCTGCTTGAGGGTGTCCCGAACAGTGCGGGTGCTGCCTTTCCAGGCGAGGTCCGGCGGGCGTTTGGGGTCGTTGGAGTGGTCGTATATGGGTGGGTGACGGCGCCAGAGATCGTAGGTGCGGCCAGGGAAGATGACGCCTTTGCGGCGGATCTCCCATTTCTCGGGAAAGCGATCTGGATTCTTGGGATCGGTGGGCTGGCTGTGGTGGACGGGCACCTCGAGCTCGCCGCGCATGCGGATAATGCCCTCTAGCCCAAGTGGGATCCAGCGGCCAGCTTGAATGGTGGGAATCGTGTTCGGAATATAGAGCTCAAACATGGGAGGCTGCCCCAGCATGGCTTCGATGAAGGACATACTGCTGGTGACGAAGGCGCAGGGGAGGACTTGGTTTGTGGTGATGTTGATGGGGTTGATTGCGACTTGTTGGTTCTGGTAGAGGATCAGGCCAAGAGCGTGTTTCTTCTCGAGGCGGAAGGCGAGGATGCTGGATTGTTGACCTCTGCTGGAGGTGGAAGTGGTGTTTTCCATGGTGCTGTAGTCTGGTGGGATGATGGCTTGGGCTTCTGAGGAGGATGGGGCGGCGACCTCGAGACCCATTGATATCGGTGGTGCCTGGGGAACGAAGATCTTGGTGGTGTCTGTGTCTGGGTCAATAGGAGAAATGACTTGCTTCGCGGAGTCAGTCGTCCGCGAAAAGGTCTCCTTGTCGGCTCCATGAATTGTGTCGGCACTGTAAAGGACAGGCGAGGCCAGGGGCTCTTTCTCATCGTGAGGCTGGACTTGCTTTTCCGTCGATGCCGATGCTTCTGCGTAATTTGGTGGTGCTGTGGTCACTGATGCTCCTGTTTGTGATGAGCCTTGCATGATGTCCGATTCCGGGGCGCGATCTGTCGATGCGACAGAGGCTGATCGTGCCTTCTTCATGTCGGCGGTCGCTGTTGTGCAGCACAAATGACGCGCACTTGCTGGGTACTTAGCTTGCTCCTGGCGCTTTCAAGAGCAGTCCCGGACTCTTTGCAGCACGTGTGGGTGACATTTTCGTACATACGATACAGATACGTGGTCCAGTGGAAGGCATATGTAGGCCGGGCCTGGGGTTTTTTTGATCAAGTTCGAGGTTCCCAAGACTAGTCCTGTCGCGTATCGGCACGTGCAGTTCCATCCTGGGTTCTTGCTGCTCGGGTTCGCTTCGGCGTAGGTAAATGGTGTGTGGGGGCCAAGAAGCTGTCGTACGTTGTGCTCCATGAATAGCACGTATTTGCAATCGCCGCTCGTACTTGTGATCCTGTGATCATACCAGAGGCACTTAGAGACTGGGAAGTCCGAAGCCAGTATAGCATATATAGGATTAACATTTGATTCGTACATCCAATTCAAGAGCTTACTACTTCAAAATATTGCTATATAGGACTGGCTTGTTGGCTCGCTGGCTGTCTGCGAACGTATGTTGGGAGGCTTGGGAAACAGTGTGTGCTCGTGGAGACTCGTTCGAGCCTTCCTATGTCAGTCACAATCACGTTCCCATTGCTCAACCCTTTCTACCCATTTCATTGGAGCCGAGACCATTACCTGGTCTTCAGGGATCACCTCGTCTTCGTGCACAACCTCAACTTCCATACTCTCTTCTTCTTCTTCCTTCTGTCCCTCGACTTCTCCCATGATCTCGTCACGCTCCTCCGCGTTGACTTCTTCCATCTCTTCATCTTCCGTGTTCTCCCCGTCCACATCCATCTCTTCAATTCTTCTGTTTCCCTCATCTGCTTGCACATCTTTCTCTACCTCCATGTCGTCCTTGGCGATGCGATCTATGTCACTATGAGTATCAGGATCACCCAAGCCAATGGTCTCGGTGTGCTTGAGGTAAATATTTGCGGTGTAGCGATTCCGCGTGCGACGGTCAAGATTTCTAAGGCGAGGGTTACTCCGCATCGTTGTCTCGTCGAGGACAAACCACAAGTGTTCGGCGGCGCGTGGCGGTGTGACAGGTGAGTCGGATGAAGACGGGGCTGTCGCAGCTGTCGTCATGGATTGATCGGAGTCGAGGCTCATACGACCTCTTTTGACGGGCGATGCCCAACAGCGACCATCGGAGGATGTAGCAAGAGGATGTCTGTTGGCTGATGCGGGGGCTGTACTGCTCGTGATGCGGGTGTTGATCTTGAGAGATGGACTCCTCGACCACATAGGTTGCACGGGGCTCGGAGCACGCGGCATCTCCTCGTCCGCGGCTTCTTGTCGGATGGAGAGCCGTCCAAACTCGATTCTGCTGATGTCCGACATAGATTGGTCAATGGGGTCGTCCTCGGCCTTTTGTTTGCCCTTCGACCGAGAGGTCGAAGTCTCTATTGTGCTGAGCTCGATGTCTTCCATCTAGAAATGGGCTAGATCAACACTGCGACGAACAGATCAGGAGAAAGCGATGAGGGACGCCTGCACGAAGAACATGTAGTTAAGATATAAGGTAAATTCAGCCGAATACCTTTTCGTGGGCCAAGATCGTGCAGGGCTGCACAGTTGTTGGTGGTGCTTTCGACATTATGCCTCAGCTGTGCTGAAGCTGTGGGACGTACCATAGAAACCTGAAGTAACGGCTCAAAACAGCCTATACGCATGTGTGGTTAGCATTTCAAAGCGCTTGTTCACTTCGTGGTGGGGGCTTCAAGAGTCATCGCAGCGTCCCTGGGGCCGCGAGAGCATGTCAATCGTCATCTCTTGCCCGCGGACGCTCTCAGCTGAGATGAGGTAAAGTTGACGGTAGGCACGGGGTTTCCAAAGACCAGAAGGCAAGAACGTCTCGCATGTGCAGAATCCTGCAGGGGCTTGGCAGCGGAATTTGCTTATCTAGGACTATCAGACTATCAGAGTGCCTCGGCACAACGTGGTCAGCGAATCAACGTCATGCTGTCGCAGGAACGACTCGCGAGCTTTCGGGAACTCTTTCTCGACGCATAGATAATCCCAGCGACTCCTTCCTGACCTTCTGACCTTGAACGTCGTATACGTCGACATCGCAGGCGCAGCTCACTGAGCATCTATCCCAGAGACGGTCGACAAGACCGTTTCCCCGTCTCCCCTGAACGACATCGCCAGAGCATGTGCTAGGAAGACGGAGCAGAAACAAGAGCCTGCTCCTCGACCCAATACTACACCACAACTGTCTTTCCGCCTCCTCTTCAGCAGCCATGTCTAAACACGCCACCTTAATCAAACCTCCCAAATCCCTCGGCCACCACTCCCCCATCGAGTCCGTCCTCTCGCTCCTCCCCCTCTCTGACATCGGTCCCGACATCTACACTAACGCCCGCCCACTCTGGCACCCTCCCGGTGCACGGGGCATCTACGGCGGCGCCGCCATCGCCCAATGCCTCTCCGCCGCCCAATCCACCGTTCCCACCAACTACACCGTGCACAGCATGCACTGCTACTTCGTCCTCGCCGGCAACTCCGAGATCCCCATCCTCTACCACGTCGAGCGCGTCCGCGATGGCAAATCCTTCATTACGCGCACTGTGCAAGCCCGGCAGCGCGGAAAGCCGATTTTCACGACGACGATAAGCTTCCAGCGCACCGATGCGGCTGGCGGCGTGACGGTTGACCACCATCTGAAGCCTCCACCTAACGTCCCCGTGCCGGATGAGGGCGACCAAGCGGCGTTTCAGACACAATGGCTCTCTCGCGTGACTGGGTCCGGCGAGACTAACCCCGCGCTAGGCCGGCCCTTCGAAAGCGTCAAAGTCGGCATCACGCCTCGTGGGTCTGCACCTCCAGAGACGCGGCGCATCGTGCAGTGGATTCGATGTCGAGGCCGCATCAGCGACTGTCCGCAAAACGTCCGCGCCGAGGAAGAAGCGACGCAGCAGAGGCTGTTCAAGCAAGAAGAGGGGAACCACCAGGCCCATTTGAGTGCGCTGGCGTACATGTCTGATAGCTGGTTCATTGGGACGGTAGCGCGTGTGCAGCGGTTGCAAAGATTTAGTGACAAGGAGCGTCGGCAGGCAATGCTGGCGTCGTTCAAGGGAAGCAAAGAGGAGTTGGAAGAGATGAAGCAGGTGATGGAGGAAAATGCTAAGGAAGAGGAGGAAGAGAGGCGGACGGACTATCCAGGCTCTTCGTCGTCGCAGAGTCAAACTGACGACGGACCACAGGTCGGCGCCGCGAGCCCACCAGTAGGCGCGCAAGGCCACAGAATAGGCATGATGGTCAGTCTAGACCACACTATCTATTTTCACAACCCGAGGGCGTTCAGGGCGGACGAGTGGCTGCTCACGGAGATGGACAGTCCATGGGCAGGCGATGCGCGAGGCTTGGTGCAGCAGAGGATCTGGACCAAAGATGGGGTTCTGGTGGCAACGTGCTACCAGGAGGGTGTGGTAAGGCTGGACCAGGGTGATGGGAGGGCGACAAGGAGTTCTGGAGTGAAGGAGAACAAGTTGTGAGTATCGCGTACGGACGACTTGTGGGCTAGGTACGGTGCATTCATGGCCTCGTGGCACCGAGAGAACGTTTCCGGCTGCATTGCGACGATATTACGCAAGTAAGCGATTCACACCTTGTTCTTCTGACTTACACACAACACATCAGCGAAGTCGATTCCGCGGGTCTGTGAAATCTCGATCCGTCCTTGCAGCTCTGAATAGACCGTGGTACAGACGTGGGGCTGTGTGACTCGATTGCTGGTCCTGTGGTTGCCTTCTTTAGATGACAAAACGTCGGTTCTGCAACTATCACCACAAGCCACGAGGCAGCTCGAGAAGAAGCTCACTCGTACCTTTTACTATTGCATACCTAGGTACTGAAGCCTGGAGCTACTTACACCCCTCCTTGCCAGGGAGGACGCCGTACCATTGAAATTCAGATGGCTACTATTCGACAAGCAACCCTTCGTTAACGGTCAAGCAAATCTAATGTGACGTTCAATTCATCTCTACTCAGAGGCTCGGTTCACCAGCACTGTGACAATCGAATGATTTCCAACAGCCTCAAAGGCACGTCACACCTAACTTCAAGCACTCGCAGACGGACTTCACAATGGCTGCAATACTTCACTACCCACTTCACGTGCTGCTGGCCACGACTGTGAATGCTCTGAACCAAAAAGAGATAAATATCTCTGACTGTCACCAATTTCTGCCACCGCACAACCTACATTTCAACCAAGTCCTCTCGCCATTTGCAGTCCTCTGGTGCACGACCACGACGGCAATCATGCAGGCCTCACTCAAGATGCTCATCCTCCTCCTCTCCACGCTGATCGCGGTCCTCGGTCAAGCCATCCCAAAGCCAGTAGAAAAGTACGACATCTGCGAATGGAGAGATGCGCGTCCTGCATTCGGTATCTGGTACACCTATCCCACATGCACTTCGCCCTGGTATCCTGATGCGAACGGCAACTGTCCCCCCAATTCTCTTGATACCAGCCATTACGGTGGTCACTGCGACGCCTTCTGCCTACTCAGAACCAAGTTCTAATATGGCCTAGAGCAGCCTATGGACGCCGTCCCTGTGTGTCGTGGTCCCGAGAAATGTACGATCAAGGAGAACATCCACGTTGGATACAAATTCGACTCAAAGCCGCTCGACAAGCTCAAAATCCCCGTCCTAGATAAAGGTCTATTCGGCGGCTTCACCGCGAGGGGTGGCACGAGTCAGGGTTGGTCTCTTACGAAAGAACTCAAGAAGGGCGAATGGTTCGTGTCCCCTCCTATTTCCTCGCTGAGGCGGCTCCATGGGAAAGGCGGTCTTGACTTGCAGCGCTAACAGTGTCAAAGTGGCTACTGGACGTTCGTTCCCTATATCCACTATACCTGCGGGCTCTACACCGAATACATCAACACTCACGCCTTCTGCAACCAGAACAGCTGTTGCGAGCAGGTCGGAACCACCAATCCAGACGACTGTGCCGAACAACTCGTTCAATTGTCTGGAGAGGGACTCTGGTGGCCACGGTCCATTCGTGGCGATATGATTCTCGTCAGAATCGACTGCGAATCACAAGAGCTCCTACCAGATGACAAACAAGACCCGATCTATAACTGGCCAGGTGTCAAACAGCCTCGACACTATCCACAAATGCAGGAGTTGATGCAGATGTGGAAGGATACGTAAGTATTGGAAGCTCAGATCACCGGAAATACTGACACAAGCATAGCGCCAACGACCCAGCCTTCTACACTGCCGCCGCTGATTCCGACATCAAATGCTATGAAGCCCGCCCCGACGCTGTTCCCGACTATCTCGTTCCGCCCGACTGCATCGACGCACTGGGCTCCCTGCGCGACATGGCTACATCCAAGATCACTGGTACAGACGAACTCATGCTTGCTGTAAGTATAAACACCTCGGTTCTTCTATGCTCTCCAGTCGAAGCAATCAAATACTGATGTTTCTTCAACAGGCTGCTGGAAATTGCACCATCCACGCCAAGATCAACTGGGACGCCCCAAGCGACTGTGACTTCTCCTACATGGACGCCGCTGTCGCCACGGATAAGCTCTTCGATACGTGCAACAACAAGCTCTTGATCCCGGGCTCGTACCCTCTGGTTTCCTCCAAGGATCCGAAGAGATGTCGTGGACGCGTTGCTATGTGTGGACCTAGCAAGAACGCTTGCATGTGACGGGTGCTTCAGGAGCAGCTTAGTCGGCGCGCAGATGACAGTGACGTCAAAGTCCAGACTAGATCAGTTGGCACTCGCATGACGGTGAGGTGAAGCTCACGATTAGCTCAGCGGGCGCTTGCACGATGTTGAAGCGAAGCTCCAGAGTGGCTCAGCGGACGATTGCAAGGCGCAGATGCAGAGCACGTTTAGAGGTCTCCCCAGAGAGTAGATGGGTCCGCCTATCCAACTCGCAGCATTTGAGATAGAAGAACAACATGAACATCTCGACCTCTCCAAAGTGCTTGCTCAACTTTTCCATTAATCTATGCCAAAGGACTCCCCAGCCTTTCATCAAAGTCTATGAACACGAACGTCCAACAACGCCTGAGTACCAGCCAGTACACAGCCCTCGAAGTATCAAGCTCCCAGCCCGCCTTCCTGCAAAGTACTCCGCTCAATCTCCATCCTCCTCCGCTCTCTTTCTTGATGCCTCTCCATCTTGATATCCGCGACCGTCTTTGCTCGGGTGGGCATAGTTGACGGCATGTCCACCGGTTCTGGCTGTGCCTTCTTACCGCCTCCTGAACTCAACAGATTGCCAAGGCTCCACCTCTTCCCCTTGTCGGCCTCTTTGGGCGGTGGCGGAAAGTTCAGCTCCGTTGCACTTGGAACACTTAGGCCTGGTCCGCCGGAGCCAGTGTACTCCCTAGTCCCACGCCCACGGTTCGAGAGGCGACTTCGGTTGTTCTCCCTGTCTTCGTCGGTGTAGAGCATCGCATCGTCTTCGTCGTCACTGCTGGTGGCCCCAGGCCAGTCGATGCGGTATGTGCTGCTTGCGCCTGAGGGCTCAGGGCTGGGGTTTGCCGCTCCCCTGCCACCAGCACCTGATGGGTCTGGCTGTTCTTCTTGCTCTTTCGCGATCAGCAACCGCAAGAGCTGGCGTCGTTGCGCCTCGTCCTCGGGAATGTTCATCTCGGCATTGTGCATCTCTGTCGAGGTCATGTGCCGGAGGGGCGGTGGCATTGGCATCGTCGAGAGGCTATGAGGAAGTGGAGGGGTGGGCGAGATGGCAGAACGCGGGCCGAGGCCATGGTATGCGGAGTTGGTGATGGCTGGCGGTTGGGAGTGTGAGAGGAAGGGCACCGAGGATGCGGAGATGGCGGAGGCTGGCGGTTCGGCGTAGATGCTGGGTGGACGGCCACTCTCATCGGCGTGGATGGTGTGGTTGTAGTTGAGCTCGAGCTGGCTTTTCCGGGAGGACTCGACGGCTTTCTGGATCTTCAGTCGCGTGTTGATGTACAGGGCAGCTCCGGCGAGGAGCAGGCTGAAGACGCAGGCTGTAACCAAAGGAATGTATATGTAGGCACCAGTTACGGGGATCGTCTCGTGCAGGACATAGTTGAGGACGAACTCGAAGAGTCCTCCGATGCTTGACAGCAGGACTGGAAGCACAACGCTGTCGAGCTTGAATCTTAGCGACTTTGAGAATATGAATGCTATCGTGGCGCCGGCGTAGCCCGAGGCGAGGGCGATGCCGCCGAGTGCACCGAGCACATCTGCACGCCACTTGAGGTCTTCTCTTGGCGCGGTGAGGGCGACGGTAAAGAAGGAGTACCCTGCGAGAACGATCCAGGAGGCCGCGATGGCAGTGGCTCGGAAGAACCAGGTCGATTGTGGTGCTTCGGGTTCGTACACTGATCTGCGCAGCCAGGTAGACGAATCACGCATGCTTCATGGCCGGGTCGTTGGGTCGAGGTGAGTGTAGCGAGCGTGAATGGTAGGTCACCAAGTAACAATGTACTCGGAGGCTCTGGGAGAGTTTGAGCTCGGACGTAGTACAGGACTCGAGCGCGGAATGTTGTTGGTATGCGGTCAGAGTCAATCGGCCGGGCCGTGGCCTTGCTGACGACGAGGCAACTCGATCGTGGCGATTTTGGTCACTATTTGATATCAGTGGTCTCAGATCTGCATGCTGACTGCGGAGGTCGTTTAGTGACAATTCCGGGGTGGCTGTAGGGCTGCCAGTGTGTACTTTGGGGCCAACAATAAGGCAAACTGAGGCGGAGTTCGCAAGCTGAGCGAGATATGCACTTCAGTACTGTACTTGTTTCACAGGAGACGTGGCAATGCATCAGTCAGTCAGTCAGTCAATCAATCGGCACGTCTGCGAGACCCGAGCCGCAGGCAGGGAAATTGGACGCCTCGCGAGACGATCGACGTTGAGCTTGATCTCGCTAGGTAACAATATGTCCACGGCAGCGCTTGGCTTGCCCATGCGACATATATTGTAGTCAAGTTGTCACGAAGCATTGTGAGGTAGTTGGTCGCCAACGGCCAACTTCAAGCAAGATGAGCAGGGAACTTGAAGATAGCACCTGCCGTTGATGAAAATGGGATCTAATAACAACAGGGAGGACTTTGGACTCGAAGACGGAATGCAACTGCGCGTGACATGGAGACCGGTTGACAGCGCAGGAGATCTTATTTCAGACCGGATGAGTGACAATTGCGTCGCGCTTCGGCCACCGTAGCAGCGACTTCTTGACACATGGCCACAACTTTTCGGGGACGCCAGGAGGCCTTCACGCTATTCAACTGTCTGTCGCTCCTTCACACATTGTCGTTGATTTCTGTCTGCGTAATATCTGGGCTGCGGGCTACAGCCGCTTTCATTTCATACTCACAGCGCCTTCCCTGGCGTTATTTGTCGACTCCTTTTACTGCACGCAGCAGACGACATAATACCCTGTACTGATAGTCACCATGTCGTCCGACTACAACTACGACTCCGAGGGCCAATTCTTCCCGTTCTTCCTGCTCACGATCGCCTCCCTTGTCACAGTGCCTCTCACATATAACGTGCTGAAGGCATCGGACGAACTAGAGCAGACTGGCGAGCGGATACAATCTGACTTCAAACCAAAAGATGCAGAGATTATCGCAGCACAGGCGAAGCGGCAGAAGAGGAAGGAGCGCAAACACAAGCGCATTATCGCCGTCATCTTTGGCTGGATCACTATGGCATACCTAGGGTATCTCGTCAAGCAATCAGAGGCAGAGCGAATCAAGCTATGGGACCCATATGACATCCTTGGTGTCTCCAGGAGTGCGACCGAGAAGGAAATCAATAAATTCTACAAGAAGGCCTCCCTGACCTTTCATCCCGACAAGGCGAAACTTGATCCAGAAAAGAACATAACAGCCGAGTTCGTGAACGACCGATGGGTCGAGATGACAAAGGCTTACAAGGCGCTGACTGACGAAGAAATCCGCAACAACTACCTACTATACGGCAACCCTGATGGCAAGCAAGGCACAAGCATCGGCATCGCACTGCCAGGTGGATGGTCGAAGAGGGGAATCGCTGGATTGTTGTTGCATTCTACGGTCTTTTGCTGGGCGTCGTCCTGCCATATGCCCTGGGAAGTTGGTGGTATGGCACTCAAGCTCGCACGAAGGAGGGCATCCTCCACGCCAGTGCTGGAAACCTGTTCCGCGAATACAAGGAAGATATTGACGAAGAAGGCGTCGTCAGCGCGCTTAGCGTTGGAGAAGAGTACAAAGAAGCCGTCAAGGCCGATAAGTCTGCGGCTAAGGTCGAGAGCAAAGTTATGGCCAGCGGCATTCTGTCAGAAGACGCCAAACAGAGCATCAAAGGCATTGAAGACCCTTCACAGCGGAAGACCGCTTGTCTCCTGTGGGCCTATCTTGGACGCATCGACCTAGGAGATCCTGACCTCGAAAAAGAGAAATACTCGACTGCGCCGACTGCTTTCTTGCTCAACAACTCCCTCTCATCAATGACTCTACCATTCCAGCATCTCAAGCCTCTCCTGGCTACATATCATACAGCTCAGCACCTGATGCAAGCAACCACGCCCAACAGCTCCCCCATCCTCCAGTTACCACATTTTACTCAAGATATCGCTAAGAGAATATCTGGCTCCAAGTCCAAATCGCCTCTCACTATCCAGAAGCTCATGTCGTTACCAGCGGAAGTCCGCAGAAACCTGTGCAGCGGCTTAAATGACGCCCAGTACAAAGAAGCCATGAGAATCGCTACTCAAATGCCACACATGAAGCTCGAGAAGGCTTTCTTCAAAGTCATTGGCGATCGCGTGGTCACACCAGGCTCACTGGTGCTTCTCGTCGTCAAAGCACGCGTCATACCTCCTGGTATACCCGAGAGTAGCATCCCTGCAGTCAATCCTTCTGACCTCGAAGACGCTGATCCTAAGGAGGGCGATATCGATGCAATCAAAGGACGTAAGAAGGAGAAGGAGACTCAGCCGTCGCTTGCCCATGCACCATATTTCGCTGGCGACCATGCGCCACGCTGGCACGTCTTTCTCGCGGATCAGCGTGCTGGCCGCATCGCTGTTCCACCATTCACCTTCTCCACTTTCGACAAGGCTCCCTTTAATGCTGACGGCACGCCCACGTTCAACGTCATCACCTTCCGATGCCAATTTCAAGCACCACCGAACGTGGGTCAGTACCCATTCACAATGCACCTGATCTGCGACAGCTATGTGGGCTTCGACATCAGGTCTGATGTGACCCTGGATGTGCGAGATGTCAGTGAAGCCGACAAGGTCGAGAGCGAAGACGAAATTAGCGAGCCTGAAGAGGACAGCATCGCCGGAGCGATTCACTTGATGAAGACTGGCGAACTGCCTGAGCAGAAGAAGCCGAAGAAGCAGAAAGTCCAGGAGATCGACAGCGATGACGACGAGAGTGATACTGATGGAGATGTATCAAGTGACAGTGAGACGGATACCGACACGGAAGATGAGTCTTGATTGATGTTATGATACGGAGGATGCATTACGCGGTCAGGGCGGGCTTTAGACGAGACTGGCAGAAATCGAGATAGAATGACATCTCGCCCGTCCGGTCATCCTGTCCAGTCATTATGCTCTCATTCCACACTTGCGCTTTCTTGCAATACTTACCGCCGAGTTCAGCTGGAGTCTGCCGTGGAGGCATCCACCTCGACCGCGACCCATTTGACGGATTTCCTCCTCTTGTTTGCTTGTCCTGACTTCTTTGCGCTCGGCCTGCTTGAGCTCCGTGACTCACATTCGGCTTCAAGACCTGAAACACCAAAGACAAGACGCCAGATCGTACGAACGGCGATACGCACCGGAAGTGTGACAACACATATTATCCACACAAAACACCGCAAGATTTGCACAATAATCCAGACAGCAAGGCAAAAGACCAGGATGCCAAGGATTACCAACAACAGCGTGATGGCCCACGACAGGAGCAAGAAGAGGACGACGGCAATGAACGACATGGCTTGGATGAGGCTTCGGTTTGATGCTGATGGACTTGAGGCAATTGATCGGTTTGTGATGGTCCGCTTGGGTAGGTAGATCTGTTGGAGGAGACGTGCTTCGAGAGTTCGGATGGGTATATTTAAGAAGACGTAATATTCCAGACTTTCTGTCCACAGAGCTAAAAATGGCTCTGGCATCACAAGGGAGATCGAACCTATGCACGGACCGACACTCGCCAGCAAACTCCCGTCGCTCAGCCTCATCGTACCATCCCGTGGAACAAAGCACCAGGATCATGTCACAAAAACGCTTGACGTCTTTGTTGGATCACAAATGCAACAACACGAAAGATGAGAGTGATACTGATGCAGATGTATCGAGTGACAGTGAGGCTAACATCGACGCCGCGGATAAGTCTCGCTCAACATTACTAGCATTAAATAAGATGATTTGCGTACGACGGGAAGTGCTCCAGACCTCGGACCTGGTAGGCCTTGGGGGGTTCTCCTTTTGTCGCTATTGCCTACCACCTATGACCGTACCCGTCTTCCCATCCCTGTCTATTCTGGGCCCATACTTTTTCATTGTGGACATACATGGCATGACCCGCAAGCCAGAAAAGCAGACCAAGTAGACCAATGGTTATACAAACACGTAGCGTGAGTAGGCGTCGTAGCACCAGCAAAACACAGCGCGAAACTCGCCGAACAAGCCAGCAAGCAATACGCAGCACCTCGATGGCAAGAAGTACTGTTAACAGAATGATCGCAATCCATAAGAGGGCGTCTCCACTGAAATAGATGCCATTTTGTGAGTAGGAAACCAGCTTCTTGGGAGGGATGTAAGCCAGGGAGAAGATGTAAGTTGCTCCTAAAAAGGGGATGCGGACGACAGAGGGATTCGTGAGGGCGGACATGGCCTCTTTGAAAGACATGGTTTGCTGGTTGAATATAGTTAGCTGGAACATGGTCTGAAGATTTCGTTGTCGACTGGTGATGTAGTCAAATGCAAAGACGAGGAGCCGTTGAAACTGGTGTGGTGCTTCTGATAGTCAAGATGCTGGAGACACGCACTGGGGTTTGGAATGAGAGCACTTAAGACAATAATAAGCCATCCCGGGCGTCGCTGCCAGAACACTCGGACATGACTTCAATTGGAGGGTGTCGAAAACCGTGCACAGACCAGACCTCAACAATGGACTCTTGAATCCGATATTTTTGCGCTTGTGACATCGACAAAGCTAAGGAGTGTATTTGTGGCACAATCCGAGTGCCTTTGTCACTCCATGGATGGGACAAACGATGATGAGATGCGTAAGCAGTGCATCGTACAGAGTAGAGGATCTGTTGACCCGGCGCCAACAGCTGCGTTGCTCCTGATGTCAGCAAAGGACGAACTCGCGATCGTAGCACATGGATGTCGCTTTCTTGTCAAACTAGTCCGTTGCGGGCCACATGCTGCTCTGATCTTGAGATGAACTGTGGTCTTCGAAAAGAGCCCTAGCTGTGCTGTTGCCCGGTGATGTGACATTTACGGAGCAATTGTGGCCCCCAAAGCTCAATTCCATAGACCTTTGATGAATGCCCAAACAAAGTGTAGCGAGTCTTTCCAGAACGTGTTGCAGTCGTTCCATCCAATCTTGGTTCGCATGCAACAAGACGGGATCGCCACCAAAGGAAACAATATTATGTTTATGATGTAAAAGGACATTATTGTGAGCATGACACCAGTGCCCAACAAGGTGAGGAAAGTGAATATGACCAGTTGCACACCATCGACAAGGGAACGTGTGCCAGAGGGACTTTTCTTCGAGTGTTTTACCGAATGTGATGTTGCTTGGGCACTGCTCGCAGACGGCGAGATTGGCGACTGAGGAGGCTGAAGCTGAGCTTCAACATCGGTCGCTGACCCTGATGCTAGAGATCCTGACTCAGTCCGGGCACCACCCTGCTGCTGCAGCAGCACACTAACACGTGGTTAGAAGCAGATCTCTCTGACAAGTGGAAGCAGCTCACCTCGTGTTCCACGCATTCAAGCCGTGTAACTTACTATCTATATCGCTTCGGATTTCCGAAGCACCGCCGGCAGCAGCCCCGGCGATCTTGTCTGTGAGTTTTGGCGACTTCGTGCCCAGGCTACTGTATGTTTTGAGGCGAGCATCCACGTTCTCCAGCAGGTCTCGCAGCGGAATGATGCGAGCTTTCAAAGATTTCTGCTGTTCTTCGGTCAAAGTTCCCTATCGGCAGACACTCTGTATTGTGTTCAGGATATCAGGTACGCTGAGAGCTTGGTCTGAAAGTCGCCTGAATTCGCCCCGAGACGCACTGCACCGAGTGTGAATCTGATAGCTGAGGGTGCAGGCGCTGGAAATGGCGCCCGCAAATTCCATTCTTCGATTTAGTAGCTTGAGCCGTAGACAGGAGTGTGGTCGACAGCAACATCTGTTCGAGAGATTCCTGTCAGTGCACCAGAATTGCTAATTGCATGCCTCTTGTTCCAAATTCGGGATACCTGGCTTATCACTCCCCTGCCATTATTGTTGCGGCTGGGGTTGGGCATATTCGCAGAGAAAAGGAAAATCGGGCTTTGTTCAGTCATATGGGACTCCGGTGTTGCAAATGCGATACGAGTGGGATGCGCTACCCCTCCCTGTCTGTATGGCAGTGGCGCTCCAGATATTCTCAAACCAATCTGAAATGGTGGCAGTCTCGATACAGTATAAATTAAAGACAGCACATACATCAGGCTGGGAAGCTGTCGTTCAAATTTACCTGACCGCGCCAGTGCAGGGTCCGAGGCACTGTCTGCCGCCAATGGATCCTTGTTCCGGGCAGACTGTTGCGCGGAGCCCTTCGATCACAGGCACCCAGCGTGAGGCTACACACCAATGCTGGATCATCACAACGCCATCGACCAGCTTGACTGGCCTACCGCATGGGCGAAGGTCTGAATGGTCGTCCATGGTGATGACGTCAATCCCGATCCAGGTTGAAGCCAGAGAAATATGCAACTACTGTCTCGTATTCGACGCGTCAGCGTTATTCGAGCAGAAACTGACCCTAGCCTTGTTGCTAATGATAGAAGACGCTTGCGCCAAAAGAACAGGGGGGGATTTTTTGATGAAGACCGGATGACAAGAGATGCTCGCTGGATGCCTTTTTCCATGGCGTCAGGCAACCTTCAAAACTTCTTCATTGCCGACCCCGTGGTGCAACTTGGTCATTCCTCATCACAAAAACTCGATTGTCTTGGAGCATACCATCAACCAAGCCGCTCCAGGTAACACTATCGACATGCTTACAGCCTTTTGGTGTCTGGTAGGCCACTTCTCCTTCCCGTTCTCCATGTCTCCAGTTTGCGGGGTAGGTCGATGTGCCGCGATTTCCGCTGGTCGAGTAGGCAAGTACGTATGACATCTGATTCTACCTCGTACGTCTCCGACCATCTTCAAATTCACACGACGACTCTTCGACCACCCTTCTGCAATCATAACAGTGCCTACAGCATGCCTTTCCAAACCTCCCACTCCCAACATCCTCCCTTCCCATCCAACATCCCTTCCGCACCACTGGTCTCGATCTCCCTCGCCAAACTGGAGTCACACGATGCAGCCGAATCCCAAGCATTCTTCAACGCCTGCAAATCTCTCGGCTTCTTCTACCTGGACATGAAAGGCTCCGCGCTCGGAGAGGATATAGTCTCGCTGTCTGAGGAAGTGCACGCATTGCAAAAGCAGTTTCATGCCCTGCCGAATGAGGTCAAGGAGGATTACTTGAGGGAGAAGATCGATGCATTCTTTGGCTATCGAATTTTGGGCGAGCGGGAGATGGAGGATGGGAGTGTTGGAAGGAATGAGAACTACAACGTATGTAAAGTCATATCTCCAACTCTGCCTTCCCTCTTGTCTTCCCCTGGACACAGCACAACACAGTAAGCAGCTCTTGACTTTTTCTGTCCCCACAGATGCGAAAGGACGATCTCCTCGACAACTGCGCACACCTACCCTGCCCACCCCTCATCACGAACCACCGCCCCGTCCTCGCCACCTACGCCCGCAAATGCCGCACCGCAATCGACATCCTGATCACTCATCTGGAGGCCAACCTCAACCTGCCACCCGGAACAATCGCAGACTTACATCGTCTCGACCACATGTCAGGCGACCACATCCGCTTTAACAAATCCTGCCCGGCCCCCTTCTCCCCCTCAGCCGCCAAAGCTGGCGAACACACCGACTTCGGCTCCTTCACCATCCTCTTCAATTGGCTTGGTGGCCTGCAGATCCGTCATCCGGAGACGAATGAGTGGCTGTACGTTCGCCCCGTGCCTGGGTCCGCGATCGTGAATTTGGGGGATGCGTTGGTCAAGTTCACTGCGGGGATCGTGCGGTCGAATGTGCATCGGGTTGTGCCGCCGCCGAGTCCGCAGGATGGGGTGGACAGGTTTAGTCTGGTGTTCTTTTCGAGGCCGGAGGATGCAGTTGTATTGAGGCGGTTGAGGGGTGGGTTGATTGACGAGCAGCCAGTCGATAGGCAGGAAGACGTGGAGATGACGGCTGAGGAGTGGACTTGGAAGCGGAGTGTGGGAGATCTGAAGGGGGTGTATACGCATAAGGGGGGTTTGGAGTTGAGGACAGTGGTGGAGGGGAAGGCCTAGATGTATTGTAGCATCTCTTTTGAGGAATGATGTTGGGTGCCTGGTGACGTCTGTCGAGATTAATGGGTTCTACGGTTGTGCTGGACTGAGAATAACCAAAATAAATTCTTTACTGCCAATCGATCTGGTTGCGAAGCAATCGCGCCTAAGCACGAAGCTCCTACTGGCTGATGCTCGGCGTTGGGTGGGAAGCATTGAACACAAATTGGAGTGGAGATGTGAACACTTCTCAAAGTGATACCTCACCTACCAGAGACAATTCCAAAATGTCTGGAAGAGGCTTTTCTGGACTGAGCGGCGGCTCTATAGGGGGAGTGAGTAGATGCTTCCGTTGTCGAGGACGCATTCCCCAATCTGCGGCGGCGTCCCAGTCCTGCAGCGCGCTCGATTCGTAATCGTAGAGTGTAACTTTTGACTCCTGACGGCTCATCAGCCATTGATATGCCGCAGATGCCATGCTTTGTGGAAGCCATGCGCCTGATTGGAGCTCCTCTTCGCATGTGATCTTGATCTTCCAGAAAGCAGAAGGACACACAGAATCGTCCATCGTGAGTGTTGCGTGTGTATGCACCACGATCGTTCGATCACCTTCCGTATCCCTGAAGCGCAGTACGCTCACACGTGGAATGCGATATTCTGTCATCATCCGCAGGACATCCTTCGTTGTGACGTCCCGTACTGCCGCTCGAGACTCGAGCATCTCCAGATTCTGTCGATGGGTAGAATTCCTCTCGACAAGAGATATGACAAGGTCGGAACCATCAACGCTGGCCCAGCCCAACGCTATCAACCAGCACTCGAAAGCCTCTGTTGCCCACTTTCTCTCTTTTCGATTGTACGGACGTACCACCAACCTCAACAGCGCACGGTCGTAATGTGACCCTTGGGACACCCCCGGCTCAATGAAGAATACCTGGTCCTGCACATCGAAAGTGCTGCTTGGGGAGGCGCGGCTGAGCATGACCCAAGTACAGTGCTCCATCTGTAAAGCGACTGCCCTGGTCCTCGCAACTTGGAGAGGGGCTCCCAGGCGCTTCCGACGCTTCAGGTCGCTAGTCTCTTCGATGAGTAAGTGCTTGTCGGCTTCGCTGATTTGGAAGTTCTGAGGTACTTCGAGCAAGGTCCATGGATCTTCGTGTAGAAACAGTCCTGCACCGCATTTCCGCAATCTGACGGCCTGCATCGATCCATTTCCTCGATTGGCCGTAATTGGGAGCAGATACCTCATACTGCTCTCATCGGTAGAATACTGGGTGACCACAAGATCGCGGGACTTGATTCCTAGGTTCGTCACTGTGTATTCAATGACTGAGCTCATCTCCGATCTCTTCAGCGACGAAGCATGACGGAACGCTGCAGGCGATGGTGCAAGCACTCCGCAGTATACTGTGTCTCCGAGTGGTTGCTTTTGCTCGTCGCTATCTCTTTGCAGCTGCCAGCTAAAGATGGATGGATCGGACGTTGAGGCGATCTTGTTATCCTTGTTCATCTCGAGCAACTGCTCCCTATGCGTTTTCCACGCAGCATGTAAAATTGCGCTGGCCACGGATCGGGAGTTGCTGCCCCGCGACCCGAGTCAAGGCAGATCCCGCGAACGCAAGCTCGATTTCCCATCCCTCGACGAAGAACCAACTTACCATACACTTCCAGCGCATGCGCATGAGGTATGCACGTCGAACACGACGACATTCTCGCCATGCGCGTCGCTGCGAGCTTTGCATCGCCTTTCTAGTGAGTGAAGGGTCAAATTGCACGCTGCTGTCTCAAGGTGTTCCGTTATCCGTCACGAGAAATGCAGGTTGTCTTACCGTTTCACTGCTTTCTTTCCTAAACTTCTCGACGCCGAAAGGGCACGCAAATACGTGATGGCATGTCTCAGGGTCCCGAAGGTCCTGCTCGAGCACTACAATTCTGCAGCATGCGGTCCCTTGATTGATTGTATACTAAGTAGGAAGCCCAACCACCGCGTAACAAGGTTTCCGACATCCGCTCAGCTCGAATTTCCCGAGTCCGGCGCCCCGGGTCAAGGGCCAAGGCCAAACATTCCGCCCGAAACGCTAAATGTACCTATTCAGATTCTCAGGGTTCGCTTCACCTGTACAGCCGCACTCGGAGAACAGTCAGCTACGAAACCAGTCATGCGTTGCCTGCTAATTGAGAATCATAGGTAACCTGGGTGCCGTCAATAGCATGCGAACGAATGCGGAGCTGTTTATAGTTGCAAGGGCTGAAGGGACACGAAGCAACGGACCGTGCTTGCCTTT